CTCCTTCAGTGACCCGGGTCGAGTGACAGCCCCAACCCCTCCCACCACCATGACCCTCAGGACGTTGGGAATTGCCACGGCATTTGTCTGTACGGGTGCGTGAATGCTGGGGGGGGGGGGGGGGGGTCATGATGGAGGAAGGCCGAGGGATTGGGGATGTGACGTTGGGTGCATGATCGAATGGCAGAACGTTCTGGATTTGCGGAATGTGTCGCGCAAAATCGGCCGTTCTTTCGATTCTCGGTAGACACACATAAGAAAAAGGGTCTAAGTCGAAAAAAACTAAAAAGTGGCGGGGCTGGTTGTTGTCGCTGGGTGTGGCGGGGTGGGGGTGAGTCTCCATGCGGCGGTTCACCTCGTCTGTGGATGGATGTGCGGGGCATGCGCGCGCGCTGTACGGGGTGGTACCAGAACTCCGGTGAGCAAACAGATAAACGATCGCCCTTTAACCGGCAGGTGACGCAACGGTGCCGGGCTCCGGGTCTGATAATACATCAGCGGTCTGCTCCTCCCCTTCGCAAACTCGTTTTCCTTCTGCCGATGGAAATTGGTCCCCGTCCGTCCCGTAGGGAGAAATATTCCAGGACGGTCACATGTGACGGCATCGGAAGGTCGTGAGTTCAAATCCTGGTTGGGCGGTTTTACTTGGCCCATCATCCCTCCGTGATCCGTAAAAAAAGGTACCACTTTTGGGCGCTTCTCGATAGTGCTTGTCCTATATATGGATTATCTTCCTCTCCTCCTGCCCCAGTCTTAGGAATATGGAATTTCCACCATAGTCTCACCGGGTGAGTCTGTGTCCATGTATTCTGAACGTTACTCTCATACGCAGAGCGGGTGGGCAAGTGCCTGCCCCACCCCTCCTCTGCTGTATGGTCGACCAGAGGTCACCTGACGGGATCTTGGAGTAGCTCTCTGGTGTCCGCTTTCGCAACAGCGTAAGAGTGCAAATCGCAGGGCCGCACCTTTTACCTGGACGCCGTTTTGCGTCACCAAAAAATTCAAAATCGACAACCACACCAACAACACGCGAAGCTGTCACCAGCAGAGACGACCTGCCTCTTCCTGCCGGTTCCACTGCCGCGACTTTTGTTGTTATTGTTGTTGTTGTGCGCGTGACGTTTCTGCGGCGCGTGAATTCTGTCTTGTGTGTGTGCGCGTGCCACCACGGCCACCACGGCGCAGCGCGCGCACGCCGAGTCCGGGCGCGGCCCTCGCCACTCCTCGGCAACTTTCTGCCTCGGTGGCGCGACTCCGCGGTGACGTCCATTCGTTGTGAGCACGCGGCCGTTTGCCCAGGCGGCGTCGTCGTAGTCGTCGGTTAAGTCGGCAAAAGGGCGCCGCTGTGGAGGGGTGAGGTAGGTGGGTGGATGGGGAGGGTGAGTGGGGTGGGGATGGCGGGTGGATGGGGAGGGCGGGCGGATTGGGAGAGTGGGTGACGGGAGGGTGAGGGGAGGGAGTGGAGGGGTGGGTGAGGGGAGGGGGGCAATTGGTCACCTGTGTCCAGATACCCGCGAGGTCAAAGGTCACGCCGCAGTGGAACGGGTCGCAGCACTTTGCCGACGATGGGGTGACGAGGTGGGAGCGCTGCGTGTGGGTGACGAGGTGGGGTGACGAGGTGGGGTGACGAGGTGGGGTGACGAGGTGGGAGCGCTGCGTGCGGGTGACGAGGTGGGAACGCTGCGGGGCAAGGCACCGACAATTTCAGTTTTACCACCCCACCCACTTCTAGATTTGAAGCTTTCGTGACTGCAAGGATTCATATTCTTAGGTTTTTTTCGATAAAGTCACGTAGGTAAAAATTTTAAATTACAGCGTCTCGACTCAGCGAGGCGTCAACACAACAACAACATCAACATCCTCTTCAGAAACGCCCAGTTGTTTGTTATCGGCCCTCAGCTGTCCACGTCTCCGTGTGTGTGGGTTCGATCCCGACCCTGACGCCTGCTGGATAGTTGGAGTTTGCATCTCTCTCTGATCATCATCACGGTGGCTAGGAGATGTTGACTTACTCGCCTGGTCTACAGGAGGGCACGGGTTCGATCTCGAACCTATCTCGCATTGAGAGGGGTAGAGTTACATTGCCTGTAGACTAACACTGCCCACAGACTAACACTGCCCACAGACTAACACTGCCCACAGACTAACACTGCCCACAGACTAACACTGCCCACAGACTAACACTGCCCATGGACTCACATTGCCCATAGACTCACATTGCATGTAGACTAACATAGCCCATAGACTCGCATTGCATGTAGACTAACATAGCCCATAGACTAACACTGCCCACAGACTAACATAGCCCATAGACTCACATTGCCCATTGCCTAACACTGCCCATAGACTAACACTGCCCATAGACTAACACTGCCCATAGACTAACATTACCCATAGACTAACATTGCCCATAGACTAACATTACCCATAGACCAACATTGCCCATAGACCAACATTACCCATACACTAACATTACCCATAGACTAACATTTCCCATAGACTAACATTTCCCATACACTAACATTACCCACAGACTAACACTGCCCATAGACCAACATTGCCCATAGACCAACATTACCCATAGACTAACATTACCCATAGACTAACTTTGCCCATAGACCTACATGAGCCATTGACAAGGACCTCCCCTGTGTCTGTTTCACTGCGTACGTGGCTTGTGGTGCGTGCAGCCTGGGGGGGGTGGAGGCGAGAGGGGGTGGTGGAGGCGGGGGGGTGGAGGCGAGGGTGGAGGCGAGGGGGGGGCGAGGGGGGGTGGAGGCGAGGGGAGCTGGGTGACGGCTCCAGGCACGCTGGGGCGTGGTGCCGTGCGCGGTGTCAGCGGTCACGTGCGCGTGGCTGAGTTATGGGACGGGGAGCGGTGGCGCAGCGGTTCCAACAGTCTGGTGAAGGTTACACGGGGGACCTTTGTCTTGTGTGGACAGGTGTGGCCTCACCTGTGAGGTGGTTGGGGGCGGGGTGAGGGGGGGTCTCCTTGGATCTTAGCCAGGTGCTGTGGGGGGGTGGGGGCTGCATTTGGACGTTCGTGGGGGGGTGAACGGTGGCGCAGCGGTTAGCGCACTGCACTGCAAACCGCGACCACCAACAGTTCGATTCCCGCTCACGGCCAATAATAATGACGATTATCTGTATCGGTCCTGGACCTCCTCGTGGTAGACTCGGCCACAAATGAGTAACTGGTGCGGTGTTTAGACCTCGTCACCCGGGGGTGTCTGGGCGTGGTACTGGCCACCCGACCCACCCCCTCGTGTGCCGTGTCGGCCTTCACACCTGCCCTAACTGCACTGGCCCCAACAGTCTGTTACGGCTATATGGGAGGGGGGGAGCCTTTGTTTTTGTCTACGAAAGCTCAAAGTTGCACTTGTGAAGACCGTGGAGATGCCAGGCGGATGATACCGGCAGATCCACACACACAGCTCTAAACTCATCACATTACTCAATACCATGTGTGGTCCTGAAAGGAAAACGATAAATACAAGTAAACCCGTAAAAACAAAGTTTTTCACTATAAATCCTTTATATGCGTGGCATCGGGGTGGCTAGAGTCCTCTCGTCCTCTGGCTTGAGATGGCTGCCACCTATGGGTCAGATGATTGTCTGGCAGCATTAAACAATTGGTAATTAAATATTTCATTTTTTTTCCCTAAACAGTGTAAAATTTTGGATTTTTTTTCTCACGAAAATGCATTGTCACGCACAACGAGTTTGTGTGCAAACTGTCAGCTCGATTGGATCTCGGGAAGTGGGTTCAAAAACGACCGAAAGATTTCCACGGTCCTAAGCAAGCAAGCGAACTTAATATAAAGGATTTAATAAAATATCAAATGACTGAGGCAGTGTTATTGAAACGTCAAATCGTTGAGCTATCATTTGTGGCCAGGTCGCTTCTGAAGAATAGCTCAAATTAAATAAAAGTTAACAATTTAGTTTTTTTTTTTTACCCAAGGAAGTCGCACCGAGGCCAAAATATCGTTTCGCAGGAGGTTCCTGCGTTGGGATGTTTGGCCAATACCAGGCAAAACTTATTTATTTATTTGACCTGTAGGATGAGGACACGGGGGAATTCAGAACATGGGGAGAGAATACAAACGTCCGTTTCATTTTTTTTTTCATGTATTAGGTGTAGCCCTGTGAGCCATTCTGCTCTTGAATCGGGTGCAACCGCAACAAACAAAAAAAACAAAACATGAACGAGAAAACATCTTAAAGTGAATATGTGACTGAGTGCAAACAGAAAATCCAAGAAAAGACAGCAAAATATTGCAGAAAAAGCACCGTACACCAACGCTGTGTGCAAAAATCCCAGTGGGATGCAAGTCAAACAACAACAACAACCACAAGACAACTTAGATTAAGGCCATCAGTCTAACTCTGTACTACAACAAACAAACATGGCCAACAGCAAGGGCGGCGCCCGAGTCGGGAATCGAACCCGAGTCCCTCTGTCCTCGTGGCTGGTTATGCCTTGCTGTGGGGGACGGATGCCGTCTTGCAGAATCCGCCAAATCATTTGGTGCCGATGCTGCGTTCACTGTGCTTTGTGCACCACTGGCGACACAAACGCCGCGACTCATTTGTCACGAAAACCGCGTGGCCCTTGACAGTGTAACAAACGGCCATTTATTAGGTGTAAATACATTGTCAATTGCTGGTCTCATACTCCAGAGGATACGGTATAATGCACTCAGATTTGCTCAGAGCACACGCGGGGGCGTGGGTAGCTGAGGTGTCAAAATCATTTTGATGACACAGAGGGCCTTGCTTGCGGGCATCACGTGCCTCCGTTACGGTGTTTGGACCCCCCCTCCCCAGCGCTGTCACCACCAAAGAATTTGCTGTGTAATGTGGAATTCGGGCTCGGCGCTTCTTGGTGGCGGCTACGCTGCACGCGCGCCGCCCTGTGAACCAGCACTGGCGGCAGAAGCCAGGGTTGGTGGGTCGTCGCTGTGGAACTCCCGCTCCCTGTGGTTGTGCGCGTGCAGGAGGCGCCGTACCCCTCGCTCGCCGGGAGGAGGCGGGAGGGCGACTGTGGGCTCCACCTGTGTGCCTCCTGTACGGTTGGGGGGATCGAGTGTTTCCCCCTCGCACGGCGTTGGGTTTCTCCGGCTGCTCCGGTTTCCTCCCACGTGTGAACAATTCGTTAGCCGGCCGATAACACCGGCAGCTTGTCGCAAGTTTGCATTCTCCTCGACTTTGGTTTGAGGCTCAACGAGGACACGTGACTGTGAGCTGGCAAGCCCCTCCCTCCGCCTGCCAGCTCCGCCCACTTGTACATGAACACGCCCACTCAACCGCTAGCCCCACACACACGGGCAGCGATCTGGAGGCAGAGAGAGGGACAGATATGAATACACGGAAAATGAGATGTGGACATCAGGACATCGACACAGACAGGCACGTCGAATAAGATGACCTGTACCTCGCCCTATTCTCACCACACCACACCACGCCTCACCGATCATAAGCACAAACAGCAGCCCGGAGGGTCTCGCCCCATCACCCCTTCTACCAGACCCCTCACCCCACGCATCGTCACCGACCCTCGCCACCAGAGGCCAACTCGCCGTGCCTCGACAGCAGCGTGAGACGCGGCGCGGTTGATCAGAAGTGTAGAATGCACTTGGGGATCAGAATCTGCATTGATGCCGGAGGAGGAATCCGATGAGCTGTGAAGCTCTTTTTGTTCACAGATGGTCCAGGAGGGGCACGGGGTCAGAAAGTTACAATAACAAACAATCGAAAACACGATAGGCATGCGAGATGTTGACTACCTCGCCTGGTATTCAGGAGGTCGTGAGTTTGATCCCGACCCTGACGCCTGCTGTTGTATATTTGGAGATTGCATGTCTCTCTCTCATCATCATCACGGTGGCGAGGAGATGTTAACTACCTCGCCTGATATTCAGGAGGTCGTGAGTTTGATCCCGACCCTGACGCCTGCTGCTGTATATTTGGAGTTTGCTTGTCTCTCTCATCATCATCATCACGGTGGCTAGGAGATGTTGACTACCTCGCCTGGTGTGCAGGATGTCGTGGGTTCGATCCCGACCTGACGCCTGCTGCTGTATATGTGGAGTTTGTGGTGTCTCTCTCCGTGGTCGTTTGGATTTTTCTCCGGGTCCTCCGGTTTTCCCCTCCACATTTATAAGCGACATCACGCGTTTTGAGAGTGTTTGGCCACTGTAAATCGTCACGTGATGAAAAGCCATTTTCGTCGAGCTGTCATTTGTGGCGGCCAGGTCGCTTCGGACAAAGAGCTTCAGAGCTCAGTGGGCCTCACCTGCTCGAGTAAAAAAAGCGTTTAGTTTATAGTTGAGTTTACTTAAGTCAAATCGGCAAGTTGGGCGTGGTGGGGCAAAGTGTGGGTACGCCCACCGTTCCCAACACGGGCCTGTCCGACGTGGCAGAGCAGATGCCAAGCGCCCCCTCCGGAGTTCGCTCGAGCCCGGGGCATCGTCCGCCAGCAGTGACGTGTGAGCGAGCAATTGCAGGGCTGCGCCTCTGCTGCCCACGCGCGTGTGCACGCGTGGTCCATCGGCCAGTCGTCTCAGTCAGTCGTCTCAGTCAGTCGTCTCAGTCAGTCGACCCGTGGCACCTGCCAGGTCTGCCCCGTGACCTGCTGCCAGCGGGTGTTCGACACTTAACGTGGCTACAACGTGCACGTAGCCTGGCACAAGCGCCGTGGTGACATCACGGCCACTTATTGGCTAATGGCTGTTGTCGTTATATGTGTCACAGTCTTTTACAGGCTACACGGGGGGAGGGCGGTCTTTGTCAACGCCGGGTGAGCCGGTTGTGGGCTGGTGGGACCCGGGGCTTCAAGTGCCGCCGCCCAGGAGGTGGAGCGTTGACGGGAGGGCGCCGTGTCGTCGTGTCATTGTTCTCTTGACGTGCTCTACAGCATCTCTGCTATGTGTCATACATGTAAAGCACGTCCTGAGATGTTGTACACCGCCCATTTGTCAATCCACTGCTGGATGGATTGACGCCGCGGGTGGCGAGATGTCAACTCCCTCGCCCGGTGCACAGGGGGCCGTGGGTTCGATCCCAACCCTGACCCCTGCTGCTGCTGCTGTATATTTGGAGTTTGCGTGTCTCTCTCTCTCTCCCCGTTGTGGTCGCGTGGATTTTTTCCTCCACATTTCGAGACACGCGTTTCGAGTGTTTGGCCGCTGTACATTCCCACGTTATATACCACTTAATTGGGCTGTCATTTGTGATGGCCAGGTTGAATTCTGACAAATAAACCTACCTCAGTGGGCCCAGACTCCAATGTGCCTTACTCCAAATAAACAGGCGACAACGTCGGGATCGAACTCGCGAGATCTGCGTTCCCATCTTGCGTTTGTTGACCGTGGGATGGGCTCCTCTTCCGGAACGACGCCTGTGTATTCTGCGGTTAGATTTTCCACGCACGTCTACCGTGTGCGTGTTTATCTGTGTATCCGCCGAACAGAGGGAGGGGACATTTAGTGAACAACTCGGAACGAAGCGCACGGCGCGAGTGGGAAACCCAGTTGCCACTGGGCCCCAACCCCGACGTGTAAACCAGCAGCATCATGACAAACATCACGTACCAGGACATGTTCACCGGTAACCTCACGTGACCCCCCCCCTCTCTCTCCCCCCCCCTGCCTGTGTTACAGCCAGCCGTCACTGAAAGCAACGGAGTCAGCAGTGAACAATCCGGTTTGGAACCAGATACTTCGACGGATATCGAAGTGACTTACAAGACCGTATCAACAGAAAATGTACGTCCGTGTCGGTGGTGGTGGTAGTGGTGTGAGTGGTGATGGTGGTGAGTGGTGGTGGTGGTGGTGGTAATGGTGGTGAGTGGTGATGGTGGTGTGAGTGGTGGTGGTGGTAATGGTGGTGAGTGGTGATGGTGGTGTGAGTGGTGGTGGTGGTAATGGTGGTGAGTGGTGATGGTGGTGTGAGTGGTGGTGGTGGTAATGGTGGTGAGTGGTGATGGTGGTGGTAATGGTGGTGTGAGTGGTGGTGATGGTAATGGTGGTGAGTGGTGATGGTGGTGGTAATGGTGGTGCGAGTGGTGATGGTGCAGGTAATGGTGGTGTGAGTGGTGGTGGTGTGAATGGTGGTGGTAATGATGTTGTGAGTGATGGTGGTGGTAATGATGTTGTGAATGGTGGTAATGATGGTGGTGGTATGTAATGATGCTATGAATGGTGGTGGTGGAAGCCCCCCCCCCCCCCCCTTGAAAATGAGTGAAGAACGCCGCTCTAAAGTTGCAAAACGGCCACTCGCTCGCCTCCACTTCCGCCTGCCCGCCCGCCTGCCCGCCCGCCTGCCCGCCCGCTCACTCACTCGTCCAGTCCCTGCCAGTTTCCTCCTCCTCCTCGATCAACTCCCTCCTCGTTGTCGTGCAACCAGTTCGCCGGCCCCTGCGACTAAAGAGCTTCACAGCTCATCGGATTCCTCCCGCAGTCTCAATGAACATTCTGACCTCCGTTGTGCAGAGTGACCTCTGGACACATTTTATGGAGTAGGGAGTGGTGGGGGGGGGGAGGCATCGGGCAATGTCTTTGTGGCTTCTGGTGATCACCGTCCGTGTCGCCCGTGGCTGCCGGTCTCGGCGGTTGTGTAAGAGGAAGAAGTCTCGCAGCGCTCCACGATGAAACGGCAGCGCGAGAGCTGGCTGTCGGGGTGACTTGGTGCGGTGGGGGGGTCACGGACCAACGTTTCGCACCGAGGTAGATGGCCGCCCTAACGTGGACGACCCTCTTTGATGTGCGCGAAAGCTGGGCCGCTGACGTAATTTGTGACCGCAAGGGCCGGCAGTTAACTTGTAAAGAGAGATTAATCATCACAAACTGTAGCGTGTGCGTGCGGTCTGGCACTCCGTCTCGTGCGGCGCTCGCACGAGTCGCAGTGCCAGACCGCACGCCGCGTTTCACAACATGTAGAGATGGGGGTGGTGGGGGGCAGGGGGGGGGCATATCAAGGGACAGCTGTCACTGCGAGGTGACCTTCCAAACAACGTGGTGAGATTTTGGTTTGCCGATCGTGGGACGAGCGTTGCTCTGCAGCAGGTGGCGTGGCGGTGCTGCCCCCTGCTGTGCGCGAGCCAGAGGTCACGTGTCACGCAATTGGGAATCCAACACGCGGAGCACGCATCATCGCTCCCCGAGGCGAGACCACGGAGTAATCATTGCCGCCCCCACCCACCCCCCCGGTACTGTCAGACCAATGTGGCCGCTAGCAGACCAGGTGCTTGAGGCACCTCGTGCCCCACAGGGGCCGCTGCCGCATGCTGGAGATTTGACGCAAGGCGCTCCGAGACGCCCCCAGCGTAAAGGAGGGCAGCCCCCCATACCGAACCACCCCCTCCCCCCTCACCTGACCTCCCCCCCCCCATATTGCCCCTCCCCCCCGGGCCCCAGCGATCCGCATGCAGCAACTCCCGCTGGCGGTGCTTTATGTCAGTGACTCCGAAGTGACGACGCTTTTGGGGCCAAACCGGTGCTGTAAACATTGCAACGTCCCGACGTTCGCCCGATCAACGTCGTCCCATCTTTTGTTGAGAGGTCAACCCCGGCGGGGATTTGAACTCGAGGCCCTCGCAGCTGTCCCATGTCCCCGGGCCCCCCAATGAGACCGCCCGCGTGTCAACTCACGGCGGGCGCGTGCACGCCCGTGCGCGTGTGCGTGTGTGTATGTGTACACCTGCGCTACGAACCCGGCGATCCGGGTTCGATGCCCGCTCACGGGCACCGACACCAGCGACGGTTATCTGAATCGGTCCTAGGCCTCCCCCATAGGTCGACTCGGCCTCAAATGAGTACCTGGTGCGGTGTGTGAACGTCGCCATTGGGGAGACAAAGGCGGCCGGGCGTGGTACTGGCCACCCACCCTCGTGTGCCGTGCCAACCTTCATAGGTGTTACTCACTAACAGAACTTGTCCCTACAGTCTGTTAATGCTACACGGGGGATCTTTGTCTTTATGCGTGCATCAAACCCTGATGACCTTTTACGGTTAAAATTAAGGTGATTCAAGGCGTCCTTGTTGGGGCAGGGATTTTTACGGTGGTGAAATCAGTGAGGCGGCCATTTACCATGGTGTAATTAGTGAGGGGATAATTTTGTGATGGTAAAAATAGTCGTGCCCTTTCTGAAACGACGGCGAGACTGCCCTGACCAATCCAGGGCCTTTGGTGGCTTGGGCCAAGTGCCTGGCGCACGCGAGTGGGCGGGCCGGTGAGAGAGCGGGTGAGCGAGCGGGCCTGTGAGAGAGCGGGTGAGAGAGCAGGTGAGCGAGCGGGCCTGTGAGAGAGTGGGTGAGCGAGCGGGCCTGTGAGAGAGTGGGTGAGCGAGCGGGCCTGTGAGAGAGCGGGTGAGCGAGCGGGCCTGTGAGAGAGCGGGTGAGCGAGCGGGCCTGTGAGAGAGCGGGTGAGCGAGCGGGCCTGTGAGAGAGTGGGCGAGCGAGCGGGCCTGTGAGAGAGTGGGTGAGTGGGCGAGCGGGCCTGTGAGAGAGCGGGTGAGCGAGCGGGCCTGTGAGAGAGCGGGTGAGCGAGCGGGCCTGTGAGAGAGCGGGTGAGCGAGCGGGCCTGTGAGAGAGCGGGTGAGCGAGCGGGCCTGTGAGAGAGCGGGTGAGCGAGCGGGCCTGTGAGAGAGCGGGTGAGCGAGCGGGCCTGTGAGAGAGCGGGTGAGCGAGCGGGCCTGTGAGAGAGCGGGTGAGCGAGCGGGCCTGTGAGAGAGCGGGTGAGCGAGCGGGCCTGTGAGAGAGCGGGTGAGCGAGCGGGCCTGTGAGAGAGCGGGTGAGCGAGCGGGCCTGTGAGAGAGCGGGTGAGCGAGCGGGCCTGTGAGAGAGCGGGTGAGCGAGCGGGCCTGTGAGAGAGCGGGTGAGCGAGCGGGCCTGTGAGAGAGCGGGTGAGCGAGCGGGCCTGTGAGAGAGCGGGTGAGCGAGCGGGCCTGTGAGAGAGCGGGTGAGCGAGCGGGCCTGTGAGAGAGCGGGTGAGCGAGCGGGCCTGTGAGAGAGCGGGTAGCGAGCGGGCCTGTGAGAGAGCGGGTGAGCGAGCGGGGCCTGTGAGAGAGGCGGGTGAGCGAGCGGGCCTGTGAGAGAGCGGGTGAGCGAGCGGGGCCTGTGGAGAGCGGGTGGCGAGCGGGCCTGTGAGAGAGCGGGGTGAGCGAGCGGGCCTGTGAGAGAGCGGTGAGCGAGCGGGCCTGTGAGAGAGCGGGTGAGCGAGCGGGCCTGTGAGAGAGCGGGTGAGCGAGCGGGCCTGTGAGAGAGCGGGCCTGTGAGAGAGCGGGCCTGTGAGAGAGCGGGCCTGTGAGAGAGCGGGCCTGTGAGAGAGCGGGCCTGTGAGAGAGCGGGCCTGTGAGAGAGCGGGCCTGTGAGAGAGCGGGCCTGTGAGAGAGCGGGCCTGTGAGAGAGCGGGCCTGTGAGAGAGCGGGCCTGTGAGAGAGCGGGCCTGTGCGAGAGCGGGCCTGTGAGAGAGCGGGCCGTGAGAGAGCGGGCCTGTGAGAGAGCGGGCCTGTGAGAGAGCGGGCCTGTGAGAGAGCGGGGCCTGTGAGAGAGCGGGCCTGTGAGAGAGCGGGCCTGTGAGAGAGCGGGCCTGTGAGAGAGCGGGCCTGTGAGAGAGCGGGCCTGTGAGAGAGCGGGTCGAGCGAGCGGGCCTGTGAGAGAGCGGGTGAGCGGCGGGCCTTGAGCGAGCGGTGGCGAGCGGGCCTGTGAGAGAGCGGGTGAGCGGGTGAGCGAGCGGGCCTGTGAGAGAGCGGGTGAGCGGGTGAGCGAGCGGGCCTGTGAGAGAGCGGGTGAGCGGGTGAGCGAGCGGGCCTGTGAGAGAGCGGGTGAGCGGGTGAGGGGGCGAGCGGGCGCTGTGAGAGAGCGGGTGAGCGGGGTGAGCGAGCTGGGCCTGTGAGAGAGCGGGTGAGCGGGTGAGCGAGCGGGCCTGTGAGAGAGCGGCGTGAGCGGGTGAGCGGAGCGGGCCTGTGAGAGAGCGGGTGAGCGGGTGAGCGAGCGGGCCTGTGAGAGAGCGGGTGTAGCGGGTGAGCGAGCGGGCCTGTGAGAGGAGCGGGTGAGCGGGTGAGCGGGCGGGGCCTGTGAGAGAGCGGGTGAGCGGGTGAGCGGGCGGGCCTGTGAGAGAGCGGGTGAGCGGGTGAGCGGGCGGGCCTGTGAGAGAGCGGGTGAGCGGGTGAGCGGGCGGGCCTGTGAGAGAGCGGGTGAGCGGGTGAGCGGGCGGGCCTGTGAGAGAGCGGGTGAGCGGGCGGGCCTGTGAGAGAGCGGGTGAGCGGGCGGGCCTGTGAGAGAGCGGGTGAGCGGGCGGGCCTGTGAGAGAGCGGGTGAGCGGGCGGGCCTGTGAGAGAGCGGGTGAGCGAGCGGGCCTGTGAGAGAGCGGGTGAGCGAGCGGGCCTGTGAGAGAGCGGGTGAGCGGGTGAGCGAGCGGGCCTGTGAGAGAGCGGGTGAGCGGGTGAGCGAGCGGGCCTGTGAGAGAGCGGGTGAGCGGGTGAGCGAGCGGGCCTGTGAGAGACTGGGTGAGCGGGTGAGCGAGCGGGCCTGTGAGCGAGCGAGTGGACGAATGGTCGAGCGGGTGAGCGTGCAGTTGGGCGAGCTTTGTGTCATTGTCGTGTTCCCGGCAGGACCTGGTGGACTGGAGCAAGCCGTTGCTGTGGCAGGTGGGGCACCTCCGGGAGAAGTACGACGAGTGGGTGCACCAGCCGGTGGACCGGCACATCCGCCTCTTCGGCTCTGACCTCGTCGAGTCTTGGACCAAGACCTCGTGGTGAGTGGGGGGACGTGGGTCGGGGAGGGGGAGCACAGACAATGGCGATGACAGCTGATAAAACCCAAAAATATTTTTTTAAACATTTTTTATTTTACCAGGTAAGGCCTACTGAGCTGCATAGATATTTGTGATATCCAGAAGCAACCTGGATATCACAAATGGAAGCTCGACACAGTGGTGGCTTATCTACATGGGGAAATGTACAGCAGGCAAATACTCTAGATGCACGTTGATTATAAATGTGGGGGGACAAAACGGAAGACCCGGTGAAAGATCCCCGTGACCAGCAGTGCTGGATGAAGCTCGTGGCGGGGCCTGTAGCATGATGTTATAAAGGGGCCCTAAATAAAAACAAAACACGTAAATATTAAAATACAAAAATTTTACTTGCAAAGTAAAGTAATTGTATTTTTACATTTGCTATACAGCCAGATAATACGACACATCGCTAACCTTAAATACACAGTCGATTGTAAAATTTAAGGCAGCATAGTACTATAGTAATAGAGCAAGTGCAGAATCATTGAACCGGAATTGCTAGCTCGAAAGCATTTCGCGCGGGGCTCTTGAAAGTGTGGGGTCCGTAGCATACGTAGCTACTTGTGCTACGAGGATAATCCGGCACTGGCGACCAGGGGGAGAACATACAACATGCAAGCGTCAGGGTGGGGATCGAACCCACGACCTCCTGTATACCAGGCGAGGTAGTTCACATCTCGCCACAGCATCAAGAATACTGGCAGAGAAGACCAGCAAATTGAATCAAGGTTGCCCGAAACTTGACGATAAGAAACCCAGCGCCAAGAGAGTTGCCTTGCTGGCGGCCCAAGGCCAGAACGTCACCGGCGTGCCTCGCCCTGCCGCCTGCTCTCACCACGGTTATCAGTGCGTTGTCGTAGTTGCGCGTGTCTCACACCGCCTCACTGCGCCGTGTGTCCAGGTACGTGGTGCCGAGCGTGTGGCTGCCGGTGGTGCTGCTGTGGAGCGTTTGGTGCAACCGCGAGTTGGCACGTGGCGACACGGCCCTGCACCCTCCGCTGCTGACCAGTGAGTGCACCGTTCACGCGCCCACGCACGTGCCCACACACGTGCCCACACACGTGCCCACGCACCTGCGCACGCACGTGCCCACGCTCACCCACGCTCGTGCCCACGCACGCGCCCACGCACGCGCCCACGCTCACCCACGCTTGTGCCTACGCACGTGCCCACGCTCACCCACGCTCGTGCCTACGCACGCGCCCACGCACGCGCCCACGCACGCCAACATGCACGCCAACATGCACGCCCGTGCACTTGCCCAAGCAGTTTCCTCATCCAGGCGAGAGTCCAGCTCAAGTATGGTTACACAGGTCTACAGCCAAAATGCTTCCGAAAAAAATGTAGTCCAACTTTAGTCATTCTGGGCCACTCAGAATGAAAATGATGCTTTAAATTGTTGACTGGCTCTAGCCTTCAAGATACGCTCCTGGGTCAGTATATACGACCCTTGACTTGGGAATAGCGGAGGATAAGCGAGTTGTAACGGGAAGGGATCTCAGCTTAAACCAGAAATGACTAAATACATATTGGACTGGATCTGTGAATATATCTATGACTGGGCTTGGACAGTACCTGCTTTTTGAGCACAACAATGAATGATGCAACCTGAACCTGGTATTGCATCATCCATGATATGAATTACATCCCTCTGCTGAACAAATTGCCCCATGTCAGCTCTAGAAATCAGACAGTGTCGTGCTCTCTTATTTGTCAGTGTTTGATTTTGCAAAGGGACACATTTCTGTTTAGCCAAAGTGAGCAGAGATGCCTCGTACTTGTGTGAACAAAGCAGATCACTTCTGCTCTGCTTGTGGTGAAGTGAGTTTTGCATCACAAAGCGCACTATAACCACTACGTTTAAGAAAGCCTATCACCTTTATTTTGGCTGCAAAAAGCAGTGGCCAAACACTCTAAACGCATGATGTCGAGTCTAAATGTGGAGGGGAAAAAGTAGAGAACCCGGAGAAAAATCCACGCAACCACGGGGATAACATGCACACTCCAAATATACAGCATGTGTCAAGGTCGGAATCGAACCCACGACCTCCTGTACACCAGGCGAGGTAGTTAACAACTCATCGCCACCGTGGCGCGCGAGGCAAAGCCGGCCGGGCGTGGTGCTGGCCACCCCTCCCCCTCGTGCACCGTGCCGGCCTTCATAGGTGCTACTCGCTAACAACACTTGCCCCAACATTCCGTTAAGGCTACACGGTGGTGGCGGTGGTGGTGGCGGTGGCGGTGGCGGTGGTGGCCGTGATGGTGATCTTTGCGTGTTTGTCTTTGTAGGCGTGAGCGTGACCGTGGGGCAGGAGTGGTTCCCCTTCCTCTTCCTCCTGGGCATGTTCATCTGGTCCTTTGTGGAGTACAGCCTCCACCGCTTCCTCTTCCACATGACGCCGCCCGCCAACAACTACTACCTCATCACGCTGCACTTCCTGCTGCACGGGCAGCACCACAAGGTGAGCGACCATGACCCCCCCCCCCCCCTCTCCTCACCGATCTCTGCTCCATCTCCTATCTCTCCACCCTCACCTGCCTCTCCATCCTCACCTGCCTCTCCACCTCCCCCCTCACCTCTCCACCCTCACCTGCCTCTCCACCCTCACCTGCCCCTCCAACCTCACCTGCCTCACCGACCTCTCCCCCTCACCTCTCCCCCTCTCCGGCTGCACAGTCCCCGTTCGACGGCTCCCGCCTCGTCTTCCCCCCGCTGCCGGCGTCCCTCTTCGTGGCGCTCTTCTACATCGGCTTCCGCCTGGCGCTGCCGAGCGCCGTCACGGGCTCGCTGATGGTGGGCGGCCTGGCGGGCTACGTGATCTACGACCTGACGCACTACTACCTGCACTACGGAGCGCCGCGCCGCGGCACCTACCTCTACCACCTCAAGGCCTACCACGTCAAGCACCACTTCGAGCACCAGAAGCTCGGTAGGTCGCAGGTCGCGGCGACACCGCCATGTGTGACCCCTTGGGGTGGAGGGTGGCGGCAAGACCGCCCTCGCGCAGAGTTGCGACGACGTACGTGTACGTCGTCGCAACGGAACCAGAAGAACATCTGAAATGAAATAACTGTATCGGTAGCGAGGCTCCCCGGCAAGGCCGTGCGGGAGGGCTGCGTGTGGCACAGCTCGTCGCCGGCTACCGTCGGGTGACAGCGGCGGTCGTGCGGCTGCGGTTCTCTGCGGCGAGTCACGACGTCGTTAAAAACAGCGGCGCTGCTGCTGCTGCTGTAGCTGCTGTAGCTGCTGTAGCTGCTGCTGCTGTAGCTGCTGTTGCTGCTGCTGCTGCTGTAGCTGCTGTAGCTGCTGCTCTAGCTGCTGTTGCTGCTGCTGCTGCTGTTGCTGCTGTAGCTGTTGTAGCTGCTGTTCTAGCTGCTGTTGCTGCTGCTGCTGCTGTAGCTGCTGTAGCTGCTGCTCTAGCTGCTGTTGCTGCTGCTGCTGTTGCTGCTGTAGCTGTGGCTGCTGCTGCTGCTGCTGCGCCTCTCTAAGTCAATTGGAGTTGTCTCGGAACGGGGGAGAGGGTTCAGTTCTTGCTCCCTTACCGTCCCCTCCCCACAGAACAGTAAAACACAACCCCCCACTCGTGGTGGGGGGGTCCCCACTTGGGTGAGGCAGTGAACCCAATCCCCTCCCTCCTCCAGACCCAGGAGCACAGAGCTTGGTCTGCGGTGGCTAGGAGATGTGAACAACCTCATTTGGCATACAGGAGGTCGTGGGTTCCATCCATTCCCGGACGCCTGCTGCTGTATATTTGGAGTTTGCATGGTTCTCTCTGTGGTCGCGTGGATCCTCCGGGTTTCCCCCTCCACATTTAGAATGAACATCACGCGGTTTAGAGTTTTTGGCCACTATAAATTTCCACGTGATAAGCCGCTTCATTTGGGCTATAATTTGTGATAGCCAGTTCGCTTCTGAAAAAAAAGAGTTACATAGTTCAGTGAGCCTTACCTGGTAAAATGGAAACAGTTTAGTTCAAGTTCTTCCCCCTTTATCTTCCCCTCCCCACAGAACAGTACACACAACCCCCCGCTCGTGGTGGTCCCCACGTGTGTGGGGCAGCGAGCCCAATCCCCCCTCCCTCCTTTAGACCTAGGCACACGGCGTTTCGGAACTTCTGTCCGCAGAGTTTCCGTACCGCCCCTGCCTGCGTCGCGGTTTGTGCTCTGTCCCGGGCTCTTATTGAAATAGAATAAAAACGTGTGTGTGTGTGTGTGTGGCGGGCTGGGTGGCGTGCCCCCGTGTGTCTCCGTGTGTCCGGCGAGCAGGCTTTGGCATCACGAGCAAGCTGTGGGACTTCCCCTTCCAGACGCTCATCCCCAAGGAGACGTTTGAGAAGTCTCACTGACGCCCGCGCGGCAAGCCGCTGCCACCGCTCCTCCTCCTCCTCTCCCTCCCCGGGGCAACGTCTCGATTCTCAAGACTGGTCGTCTCACTCCGGCCCGCAGCGATGGGGGGGGGGGGGATACCGTGGGGGGGGGGGGGATATGGGGGGTGGGCGGCGGGTGTGTGTGAGTGGGGAGGGGGCGAACGCCACCACTTTGACCTCCGCAGCATCGAGGGGATCATCTCCTCCCCCGCCCTGCCGCTCTTCTCTGTCTTACCGAGTCCGTGCCTTTGATGATGATGATGATGATTGTTGATTTCACTATTTACATATCTCCCATTCCACTGCAAAGTCCTTCACACACGAGGATCCCTTCCCTTTGTGCATCCTCCCACCCTTGACCTCTCACCCTTGACCTCCCACCCTTGACCTCCCAGGCATGCCCCCCACCAACCAATATACTACTCCGCCCCCCCCCATGGTCACTTGCCATCACTACTCCTGGCACGTCCGTCACCTGGCCCCTGTCCATCTCCGCGAGCCCCCCCCCACCGCCACCCCTCCCACTACCCCTCCTCCCCACCCCCACTTCGTGTGTTTATTGTAAAAAAAATAATTAAAAAGATAAACGGGGGGGGGGGGGGTTGATATAGAAAAAATGGTGAAGTGGCTAATGAGAATTAGCGGCGATGTTGCTGCTCCCCCACGCTCTCCGGCACGGCGCACTGTGATTGGCTTTTGCTCTGTGATGCGACTGATTGGCCCGTCTGCCCACCCGTGTAGATATATATAATATGTGTGTGTGCGCGTGCGTGTGTAATAATTGTTTAATCGACGCATCCCGTTTATATATAATCTGCATATACACCATCGCCTCTACTTTCATGTTGGTATTTTTTTCTAAACTTTTTTTTATTAACGCAACCAACCACCCCCCCTCCCCCCCGTCGATAACCGACGGGTTACGGAACGGACGCAGTAACGTGGAACGGTGCACAAGCCCTCTCGCTCTGTGTTGTGCCTTGAAACATCACGGCAACCCCGGGGGTCATCCACCAGGGCCAGCCACGGTCTGACGAGCGACTGGGGAAGGGAGGGGTCAGGCAGGGGTCAGGCAGGGGTCAGGCAGGGGTCAGGCTGGGGTCAGGCTGGGGTCAGGCTGGGATTAACCAGGGTAAGGTTGGGGTCAGGCTGGGGTTGGCCAGGTAAGGTCAGATCAGGTTCAGGCTGGGTTAACCAGGGTCAAGCCGGGGTTAACCAGGCCGGGGTCAACCAGGGTCAAGCCGGGGTCAGGCCGGGGTCAACCAGGGTCAGGCCGGGGTCAACCAGGCCGGGGTCAACCAGTCAGGCCGTGGTCAACCAGGCCGGGGTCAACCAGGGTCAGGCCATGGTCAACCAGGACCAGGCCAGGGTCAGGGTGAGAGTGTGCGATGGTAGAAGCGGAGCCATAATAATAATGCCTGGGAATGAACGCGCGGCACGAAGCTCGGTGTTTGTGCACTACAATAAGCTGGTGTCGAGATGGCCGTCGCCACTATTTATGACTCCAAAAGCATCATAACTTCTCTTTGCTCTTTTTTGCGTTAAATTTATTTTAATTTAATTTACACTTCGTACCTTCAGTTTTCTTCCCCCCTCCCTCCCCCACCACCACCTCTGCTGTTGTTGTAACAACGAAATGGGAGCAATGACGTCTACCGACTTTGAGTTCCTGTGTTCGACGCGCAGCGCGCGTGAGACCCGCCAAGAGGGTTCCAGACGGGGTGCCCGCAACGCCTCGCTCGTGCCAATCGCTACGGGGGTAGACTCCTGCCCTCTTAGGGGACCACCACACCCCTCACCCCCCCCCCCCCGATCCTCTGTAAGAATGTGTGTTTGGCCTACTCTTTCAGATGATCTCGGGAGAGGTTGTGGCGGGGGAGGGGGGGAGAAGGGAGGGGGGGTACCCATACTTTACTGCAGTGCATGCAACCGCCGATTGATGATCTTGTAAACCAATTTACTGGCGAGAAAAAAAGAAAGGTCTTAATCGCACCCACGGTGTCCTCTCACCCTGCCGTGCGCCCCCCCTCCCTGCCCCCCACTCCGGGGGTGGGGAGGCCGGGAAATAAAAAAATACTCGCTGAGTCGTTGCCTGAACGGAGTGAGCCCGGGGGGGGCTGAGCCGGGGGGGGGGGGGGGGCGGCGAGCGACAAAATGCAAACAGAGCAACTTTTTTAAAAAATGCCATAGCCTATTTTGTGAATAATAAACTTTAAAAGAAACTATATATATGTACGTTGGGGGTAACAACTTTGTAGGTTTTAAAGAAAAGGAACGTGAATAAATGTAAACTGTATTATCTGCCCGATTGGTGCGCGCCTCCTTTGTTCTTTGATGCGCAACCCCACAAAGGTGCCCCCGCGCGGCGTAGCCTGCGTACGCTGCCGGGGCAAGTGCGCGTGGTTTGACGAATGGAACCAACGGAGTCCGGGGCGCTGCCAGGGGGTGGTGTGGCCGGAGCCACCCCGCCAGGCTGCCTCGCGCAACCCCAAGACAAAGATCACCCCGCATGGCCTCAACAGACTTTGTGTCCGTGTGGACCGGCTCTGGCTCCTGCCACCATGAGGAGTGGACAGTCCTCTACTCGGGGCAGGAGACTGCCAAACAACAGGGTGTGGCTCTTCTGAACAAATGGCGGGGTCGGGAGCAAGTCTATCCATACGGCAAACACTGCTCGCCTCCTCACGAAGTGGTACTCGATTTATCGACCCAACTAGGATGATGGGCTGAGTCAAGTCCCCCCCACCCCCAACCGGTAGGATTTGAACTCGCGACCTTGTGATTGCGAACCGCTGAGCAACCTGGGTGGTGACCCCCCCCCACCACCCACCAAAGATCCCCCGTGTAGCCTTAACAGACTGCTGGGGCAAGTGCTGTTGACGAGCGCCTTAGAAGGTCGGCACGGCACACGAGGGGGCGGGTGGCCAGCACCACGCCCGGCCGCCTTTGTCTCCCCAGTAATGCTATTTACACACCGCACCAGGTACTCACTTAAGGCCGAGTCGACCTAGGAGAGGCCCAGAACCGGTTCAAATGTTCGCCACCGTTGTTGGGCGTGAGCGGGGATCGATCGAACGCGGTCGGGTTCGTAGCTTCGGAGCGCAGCGCGCTAACCACTGCGCCACCGCTCCCCCCCTCCCCACCATCTCCACTCAAACAAAATCAACAGCACAATCGGTGAATGGGATTTTTGGCTTTTCCCAATGGGCGAATACAATTATTACTAAGGATTATTTATCACTACTTATTTATTACTAAGTATTCATTACTAAATATAATTAATTATTAATTATTATGTATTACTAATTATTATCTAATACTAATTATTATTTATTACCGATTATTATCTAATACTAATTGTTATCTAATACTAATTATAATTTATTACTAATTTTACTTATTACAGATTATTATCTAATACTAATTATTATTTATTACTAATGATGATTTATTTCACTTCGAGCCTGGTGCCATCCACTTCCTCCGGTGCTGCGCCAATCTTCGCTTCCCCCTTTGGGCCTAGCCCCCCCCCCCCCCCGGGGTTCCATCGCGACCGGCGATCAGCGGTGGGTGGTGGCACCTGCCCGGAGTCGAACTGAGCCATGGAGGCGGTGGCGTCGTGCGTGGCCGTGGCCGCAGTCTTCCTCGTGGCGAGGGCGTGGGGCGCCGCTCCGGGCATTCAGCTGCGCATCTCGCAAGGCGGCTTGGATTACGGTGACACACTCTGTGTGTGTGTGTGTGACTGTGTGTGTCACTCTGTGTGTGTGAGACACTGTGTGTGTGTGTGACACTCTGTGTGTGTGTGTGTGTGACACTCTGTGTGTGACACTCTGTGTGTGTGAGACACTGTGTGTGTGTGTGACACTCTGTGGGGAGCAATAGTGGAGCGGTTAGCGCGCTGCGCTATGAACCCGGCGACCCGAGTTCGATTCCCGCTCACGGCCAACACCAGTGACGATTATCTGAACCGGTCCTGGGCCTCCCCTAGGTCGACTCAGCCTCAAATGAGTACCTGGTGCGGTGTGTAAACATCGCCACTAGGAGCCGACACGGCGACTCGTTGTGGGGATACACTCACAGAGATATTGCGCAACTTACAGCAGAACATTGGTGTCGCGTCGCGTCGGGAAACTCACACCGTAGATTCTTTATTGGGTACGTACCCTTCTTCTCAGCAGAGAGAGAGTAATTACATGACGCGGTGGCGAGGAGATGTTGACTACCTCGCCTGGTGTGCAGGAGGTCGTGGGTTCGATCCCGACCCTGACGCCTGCTGCTGCTGCTGTGTATTTCGAGTCTGCGTGTCTCTCTCCCCGTGGTCGCGTGGATTCGTCTCTGGGGCCTCCGGTTTCCCCCTCCACGTTTCTAAACAACATCACCACACGTTGAGAGCATTTGGCCGCTGCTGTAAACTTCCACGTGACGAGCCACTTCAATGAGCTCTCATTTGTGGGCCTTACCCGGTAAAATAGAAAAAAATTGTTTCGACCTTCACAAAGCGGTACTTATTTTATCAACCCCCGGAAGGATGATGGGCTGAGTCAACCCCCGCCCCTCCCCCCAACCTTTCGATTGCGACACCCCGGGGATGGGGCGGTAGGGGGGTTGGTTGGGGGGGGGGGTTGGTGGGGCGGGAGGGGGGTTGGTTGGGGGGGGGGACTTCCAAGTTTCCCAAATGGAACTTCTCCCTCCACGGGCACACCGCAGGCCACGTGGCGACTCTCACCCGCGCCCCTCCGGGAAGCCGCGAAGGCCGCCGCTGAGTCGCCAACGTGGGGGGGGGGGAGTCATCGTGGTGCTGGGACCCCCCCCCCCACCCTTGTCAATGTGCACTCCACAAGAGATGGGGAAAGATGCAGACGAGACGGATGTTAGTGAGATGAGGGAAGAGTTACAGAGATCAGCATGGGAATGAGAAAGATGAATTATACGTGAGATGACATTATTGACGTGTGCTACTGTGAGGATGGCTGCGCGATGCGACCTTGACGAGGTCAGTGGCGAGGCGCTGTGGTTCAGTTGTGTGGAGGGCTTTGTTCGTCACGAGCGCGAAGTTTCACTGTGTTCTTTGAGCAATCCAACGCAGCTCGGCCAAGCCAGTGCTAGTAATGTTACACAAAATTGAAACAATCCCGGACCTCTCATGTCCTTGGGGTGGCTGCCGGAGATCATCCAAGACGCCTCGTCAACAACATGAGGACCATTCCGGGCAAACCGGGACAGGTGGCAACCGCACTGAGAGCCCGTGCATAGAACGCCTTTGCCGATATCACGTATGACGCCTGCCTGGGAGGTGTGTGTGTGTGGTGTGTGTGTGTGGTGTGTGTTGATGTGTGTGTGTGTGGTGTGAGTGTGTTGGTATTATATATATGTGTGTGGTGTGGGTGTGTTGGTATTATATATGTGTGTGTGTGTGGTGTGTGTGTGTGGTGTGGGTGTCTTGGTATTATATATGTGTGTGTGTGTGGTGTGTGTGTGTGGTGTGGGTGTGTTGGTATTATATATATGTGTGTGGTGTGGGTGTGTTGGTATTATATATGTGTGCGTGTGTGGTGTGTGTGTGTGGTGTGGGTGTGTATGTGTTTGCGTGTATGTATATGCGTTTATTGGTGTGTGTGTCTATGTGGGAGGTAGGTGTGTGTGTGTGTGTGTCTATGTGGGAGGTAGGTGTGTGTGTGTGTCTCTATGTGGGAGGTGTGTGTGTGTCTATGTGGGAGGTGTGTGTGTGTTTCTGTCGGAGGTAGGTGTGTGTGTGTGTCTATGTGGGAGGTGTGTGTGTGTGTCTCTGTGGGAGGTGTGTGTGTGTGTGTCTATGTGGGAGGTGTGTGTGTGTGTCTCTGTGGGAGGTGTGTGTGTGTGTCTCTGTGGGAGGTGTGTGTGTGTGCGTGTGTTTGAATTTGCAGCCGAACCGGGAATTCCCCGGCCCCCCAGCTCGCCGGGATGTTTATTTCGAGACATCTGAAAACACTTCCTCGTTACGCAGCGAGGCGTGGCGTGGCGGCACAGTAGTAGACCCAGGAAGACATCAGCAGCGCACAGGTAGACCAGGTGTTGCACAGGCAGACCAGGTGTTGTACAGGCAGAGCAGGTATTACACAGGCAGAGCAGGTGTTGCACAGGCAGACCGGGTGTTGCACAGGCAGACCGGGTGTTGTACAGGCAGAGCAGGTGTTGTACAGGCAGACCAGGTGTTACACAGGTAGACACGGTATCACCACCACCTCCCTCCGTCACCATGCCTCTGCGCCTGGTGCCTCTGCTGCTGCTGCTGCTGTGTCTCTGCCTGGCGGTGCCGAGCAGAGTTCAGGCCGGCAGCCCCGACACCGCTGGGTTCATGGTGAGACTCACCGTACCCGGACTTGACTACGGTGAGTCTGACTCGTGGCCAGGGTGCGGGATGCATGCTGCTGTACAGGTTGGCGACATCCCCTCACCTGCCACGTGCATCACGTGTTGGAGAGCTGGCACCAGTGACGTTACGAGCGTGGGGGGGGGGTGCCCCCCCTCATCTCACCACTGGTGGCCAACGTGGCGAGTCGGAGGCCCCCTTGAGGACCGCCGTGATGGGATTTGTTTATTTTGAAGAAAACACAAATGTTGTGAAGAGGATATTATTGATCAACATGCATGTGCTACTTTGTGTGTGTGAGCGTAACTTTTGCGTAGCTAGAGATGTGTTATTGGAAGTGACAAGGTAGAGTTTTAACCGCGAAAAAACGTCAATACAGCGTTACTTGCTTTGAATGACAGCAACTTGACTGAAGGAACATTGGACTATAGAACTCCGTTAAAGGGATATGTATTCATGAGATACGCGTCAATTACATTGCAAAGAGATACAACTTCTGCGGAGCTGTGGCGGTTGCATGTGTAACGGGTTCCGGAGACACTTGTAGATGTAACTTCTTTATTACAATACAACACTCCAACAGTCCTGATACTCTGTTACAGCCTAGGTACACAGCCTAGCTACACAGCCTAGATACTCTACTCTGGCTACGCTCGCCCTCACAAGGTCGTAGAGTCGGGAGTTCCAGAGTCCCAGCGCTGGCTCTCACAGCATCCCAGGGTCTTCAGATGGCTGGTCGTGGGTCTTGGGTCTTGAGTTACAACTGGGCCCCGATAGTCCAGGGAGCTCTCCTTTTATGCCTGGTCCAACGAGGGGTGGGGCCGTGTGCGCCACCAGACATCCCACAGAGCACACACAGCCCCCCCCCCCCCCATTGGCGGCGCCCAGGGGATTAAGCGCCTGGGAACTCAACGCCTGGCGCCCAGAGGCTTAAGCGTCTGGACCCCCTGGGAACCCAGCGCCTGGCGCCCAGAGGCTTAAGCGTCTGGACCCCCTGGGAACTCAGCGCCTGGCGCCCAGAGGCTTAAGCGTCTGGACCCCCTGGGAACTCAGCGCCTGGCGCCCAGAGGCTTAAGCGTCTGGACTCGCCTGGGAACCCAGCGCCTGGCGCCCAGAGGCTTAAGCGTCTGGACCCCCTGGGAACCCAGCGCCTGGCGCCCAGAGGCTTAAGCGTCTGGACCCCCTGGGAACCCAGCGCCTGGCGCCCAGAGGCTTAAGCGTCTGGACCCCCTGGGAACCCAGCGCCTGGCGCCCAGAGGCTTAAGCGTCTGGACCCCCTGGGAACCCAGCGCCTGGCGCCCAGAGGCTTAAGCGTCTGGACCCCCTGGGAACCCAGCGCCTGGCGCCCAGAGGCTTAAGCGTCTGGACTCGCCTGGGATCCCAGAGCCCCCAGCAGCCCCTCCCTTCTTATGTCACTACACATTTAGCGAAGACGGAGCGGGGCCCCTGCAGCGTTAGATGTTCGAGGCCGTGAGGGTCACAACGACGACGATGGGATTCGGGCAAGAGGAGCTGCGATCTAGAGCAGCCTCGAGGTGATGCCAGGAGACGAATCAAATACTGGGGCCTCACCTGACTGATTGATGCATCCCCTGAGCTGATAATGTAGTTACTACGCCACTGATAATGTAGTTACTACGCCACTGATAATGTAGTTACTACACCACTGATAATATAGTATAGATAATGTAGTTACTACGCCACTGATAATGTAGTTACTGCACCACTGATAATGTAGTTACTACACCACTGATAATGTAGTTACTACACCACTGATAATGTAGTTACTACACCACTGATAATGTAGTTACTACACCACTGATAATATAGTTACTACGCCACTGATAATGTAGTTACTACACCACTGATAATGTAGTTACTATACCACTGATAATGTAGTTACTACGACACTGATAATGTAGTTACTACACCACTGATAATGTAGTTACTACACCACTGATAATGTAGTTACTACGCCACTGATAATGTAGTTACTACACCACTGATAATATAGTTACTACACCACTGATAATATAGTTACTACGCCACTGATAATGTAGTTACTACCCCACTGATAATGTAGTTACTACGCCACTGATAATGTAGTTACTACACCACTGATAATGTAGTTACTACACCACTGATAATGTAGTTACTATGCCACTGATAATGTAGTTACTACGCCACTGATAATGTAGTTACTACACCACTGATAATGTAGTTACTACACCACTGATAATGTAGTTACTACGTCACTGATAATGTAGTTACTACGTCACTGATAATGTAGTTACTACACCACTGATAATGTAGTTACTACGCCACTGATAATGTAGTTACTACACCACTGATAATGTAGTTACTATGCCACTGATAATGTAGTTACTATGCCACTGATAATGTAGTTACTACGCCACTGATAATGTAGTTACTACACCACTGATAATGTAGTTACTACACCACTGATAATGTAGTTACTATGCCACTGATAATGTAGTTACTACACCACTGATAATGTAGTTACTACACCACTGATAATGTAGTTACTATGCCACTGATAATGTAGTTACTATGCCACTGATAATGTAGTTACTATGCCACTGATAATGTAGTTACTACACCACTGATAATGTAGTTACTACACCACTGATAGTGTAGTTACTACGCCACTGATAATATAGTTAATACGCCACTGATAATGTAGTTGCTACACCACTGATAATGTAGTTACTATGCCACTGATAATGTAGTTACTATACCACTGATAATGTAGTTACTACACCACTGATAATGTAGTTACTACACCACTGATAATGTAGTTACTACACCACTGATAATGTAGTTACTACACCACTGATAATGTAGTTACTACACCACTGATAATATAGTATAGATAATGTAGTTACTACGCCACTGATAATGTAGTTACTACACCACTGATAATGTAGTTACTACACCACTGATAATGTAGTTACTACGCCACTGATAATATAGTTACTACACCACTGATAATGTAGTTACTACGCCACTGATAATGTAGTTACTACACCACTGATAATATAGTATAGATAATGTAGTTACTACGCCACTGATAATGTAGTTACTACACCACTGATAATATAGTATAGATAATGTAGTTACTACGCCACTGATAATGTAGTTACTACACCACTGATAATGTAGTTACTACACCACTGATAATGTAATTACTACACCACTGATAATGTAGTTACTACACCACTGATAATGTAGTTACTACACCACTGATAATGTAGTTACTACACCACTGATAATGTAGTTACTACGCCACTGATAATATAGTTACTACACCACTGATAATGTAGTTACTACGCCACTGATAATGTAGTTACTACACCACTGATAATATAGTATAGATAATGTAGTTACTACGCCACTGATAATGTAGTTACTACACCACTGATAATATAGTATAGATAATGTAGTTACTACGCCACTGATAATGTAGTTACTACACCACTGATAATGTAGTTACTACACCACTGATAATGTAGTATAGATAATGTAGTTACTACGCCACTGATAATGTAGTTACTACACCACTGATAATATAGTATAGATAATGTAGTTACTACGCCACTGATAATGTAGTTACTACACCACTGATAATGTAGTTACTACACCACTGATAATGTAGTATAGATAATGTAGTTACTACGCCACTGATAATGTAGTTACTACACCACTGATAATATAGTATAGATAATGTAGTTACTACGCCACTGATAATGTAGTTACTACACCACTGATAATGTAGTTACTACACCACTGATAATGTAATTACTACACCACTGATAATGTAGTTACTACACCACTGATAATGTAGTTACTACACCACTGATAATGTAGTTACTACACCACTGATAATGTAATTACTACACCACTGATAATGTAGTTACTACACCACTGATAATGTAGTTACTACACCACTGATAATGTAGTTACTACACCACTGATTGTAATGTCGTTACGACACCACTGACTGCTACCATGTGTACCATGTTGGGAACTCTCTCTGTCTCTGTCGCTCACAGGTCGGAGCGTGGCTGTTGGGATCCTGGTTCAGAAGCTCCATGGCATCTCGATCCCGGACCAGAGCGGCTCTTCTGGCGAGATCCACTACACCCTGTCCGGGTGAGTGTGGGTTTGTGTTGCCCCAAATTATCATCACAAACCCACACTACGCCCTGTCAGAGTGGGTGTGGGTTTGTGTTGCCCCAAATTATCATCACAAACCCACACTGCGCCCTGTCCGGGTGTAGTGTGGGTTTGTGTTGCCCCAAATTATCATCACAAACCCACACTACGCCCTGTCAGAGTGGGTGTGGGTTTGTGTTGCCCCAAATTATCATCACAAACCCACACTACGCCCTGTCCGGGTGTAGTGTGGGTTTGTGTTGCCCCAAATTATCATCACAAACCCACACTACGCCCTGTCAGAGTGGGTGTGGGTTTGTGTTGCCCCAAATTATCATCACAAACCCACGCTACGCCCTGTCAGAGTGGGTGTGGGTTTGTGTTGCCCCAAATTATCATCACAAACCCACACTACGCCCTGTCCGGGTGGGTGTGGGTTTGTGTTGCCCCAAATTATCATCACAAACCCACGCTACGCCCTGTCCGGGTGTAGTGTGGGTTTGTGTTGCCCCAAATTATCATCACAAACCCACACTACACCCTGTCCGGGTGAGTGTGGGTTTGTGTTGCCCCAAATTATCATCACAAACCCACACTACGCCCTGTCAGAGTGAGTGTGGGTTTGTGTTGCCCCAAATGATCATCACAAACCCACACTACGCCCTGTCAGAGTGAGTGTGGGTTTGTGTTGCCCCAAATTATCATCACAAACCCACACTACGCCCTGTCAGAGTGGGTGTGGGTTTGTGTTGCCCCAAATTATCATCACAAACCCACACTACGCCCTGTCAGAGTGAGTGTGGGTTTGTGTTGCCCCAAATTATCATCACAAACCCACACTACGCCCTGTCAGAGTGAGTGTGGGTTTGTGTTGCCCCAAATTATCATCACAAACCCACACTACGCCCTGTCCGGGTGGGTGTGGGTTTGTGTTGCCCCAAATTATCATCACAAACCCACTTGGGGGGGGCAGGGCGAGGGGGTTATTGACTCCAGGACCCGGATGGTGCCCCCCACTCATTAAGAGCCACTTTGGTTGAGTTATTGTTTGTGGTCGCCAGGTCGCTTCTGAAGAAGTGTTACATAGCTCAGTGCGCCTTACCTGGTAAAATCTATAGTCCATTGTTCCTTCATATTTAAAGCTAAAGAACTGCTCACCCCATTCCCCTGACCTCTTTCTGAAAAGCTGCCCTCCCCCCCCCCCCTATAAAAGGGTTTCTGTACGATGTTTCGTCTTGTCACCTGTAAAGGATTCTCCATTAGGGGCGGGCTGGTGGCTCAGAGGTCAGAGGTCAGAGCTGGCAACGCTGACAGGCAGCATCATTATCATCACCATCACGACCCATGGGCAGATAGTCCGTAGTAGGTGTCCATTGCAACATTTCGTCATTTGTTTCCACCGTTCCTCTCTGTCTTGTCGTGGCAAAGTGCTCAAGTAGTGGCCACATCTTTCTGGCACCGATCTCTTATGATGTCGTCGACAAGGCCATTCTCTTTCCGGTTCCTTCCATTTGTCCTGAACAACAACGACGACGACGACACTTTTAATTGTGTGCAATGTGGACAGGCGTGGTTCTAACCGGGTTCTCGCGTGGAGCGAGATGATGGTTTCAGCCAGGTGCCAATGAGGCCTCAAGCACGGGCGGAGCGGTGGTCGTCACAAATGTGACGCTGATTCTGCTCTGAAACTGGATGCTACATCATGATACATTCCAGCTCTGAGAATTAAAACATAGATATTGTTTCGACCTTGTAGCAGCCTTTTTACACCTCCGATTAGCACGGTTGGCTACGTACGGGGCGAAAGAAGTTCAACATACTGTACGTAGATACATAATAAAGGTTATTGGGGTTAGATCGTGACAGTATAAATGCGTCGTTAGCCCGCCACCACCCGACACAGCCAGCCAGTAAGCTTTGTCACATAAACAAACTTGCCAATTAGTTAATACTTTCGCCCACCGGTGTGTTGGAGGGTAAAGCCACAACATTTACCACTTGAGTACCGAGACGTTTCGCTGGCAGGTACATTGCCCAGCATCAAGCGGACGATTTGCCAGAATAGTGAAGAGAGTCACCTGATTCCGGTCTTAAATAGAGCAAGATGACACTACAATTGTGAGCCACTCAGGTGCGGAGAGCAGAGGGCGTTTATTGTAATTATGTAACTATAGACAGGTAATCACTGTCAATTAGCATGTGATGCAATTGCAAGGTGTATTACTTAATGATATGCTTCCAGGCTGCAATAAGCCTGTAGCTGTCAGAGCGGTTAAAGTGATTTTGTATTTCTCTCAATTTCAATAGATTCTCGAATCAGTCTCGGCCAGCAGTAATGTGTTCTACACAACACTTCGACGTTTTCAAGTCATTGCATGTCCTTGTTGCCAAGCATGTTCTGCAACTGCCGGCAGTTGTGTTTGTGAGAATTTAATGATTTATTTATTTTGTGTTCCAGCATAGCATTTACCACAAGAGCAATTAAAATGACATACACATGAATAACCTCGTACAGTGTGCGAACAACTCTGCTGGGGAGACAAAGGCGGCCGGGTGGGATGTTGGCCATGCCACCACCGTTGGCGCCCTGCCGGCGTTTGCGAACCACACTTGCTCCAAGCCATCTGGAGGCTGCACAGGGGACCTTTATCTATCCTTTGTGTTCCGTGTGTGGTCAGGATGCACATCACCGACTTCACAATGCCCAGCACGGCGCTGGGTTTCGTTCCGGGCTCGGGGCTCAAGTTCAGCTTCAGCGGAGCGTCGGTGTCGCTGTCCGGGGATTGGCATTACAAGGCGCTGTTCGTGTGAGTCAAGCACAGAGACGCTCACTCACCGAGATGGCCGTGGCTGTCCGTGGTTCTGATCCCGTGGAGTTCAACCTGCACCTAAGAGGATCAGTGGTTGTCCGTGGTTCTGATCTCGTGGAGTTCAACCTGTTCCTACGAGGATCAGTGGTGTCCGTGGTTCTGATCTTTTTTTTTATTGGGTGCAATTGTGAAACAACAGCCATATCAGACACGAGTACATCTAATCGGCACAATCATTGATTCACTGCAACTCAAAGACTCACTCCTACAAGACGCGTGATGAAGTTAGCAGATGTACCATGTGCTCGGCGTTCGAAGGCCTGAAGACCAGAATCAGTGTTCAGGGAGGTAGTTCCATATCCGGACAGCAGTGAAGGGAGCTTTCGTTCAGGGAGCATGTTCTGGCAACTGGGGAGGCAAGGGCGCGGTTTGGCAGGGTTGCGCGTAATCGGGTGGCACGGCGTCTTCCATATGGGGGTCAACTCACTGTGTTCGTGTCTTGTGGTTGTTGTTTGACTTGCATCCCACTGGGATTTTTGCACACAGCGTTGGTGTACGGTGCTTTTTCTGCAATATTTTGATGTCTTTTCCTGGATTTTCTGTTTGCACTTAATCACATATTCACTTTAAGATGTTTTTTATTCATGTTTTTGTTTTTTGTTTGTTGCGGTTGTACCCGATTCAAGAACCGAATGGCTCACAGGGTTATACCTAATAAATGAACTTGAACTTGGATGAACGCAGGAAGGACAGCGGCTCGTTTGACATGCGCATGAGCGGGCTGTCGCTGTCCGCCGTGCTGGTGCTGTCCCGCGATGCCGTGGGGAGGCCGTCGGTCAGCGCCGGTGGCTGCAGCAGTGAGGTCGGCGACGTCGACATCAAGTTCCACGGCGGGGCCAGGTGACTGCACTTTTCTCTTCGTCCCTCCCCCGGCACCTCCATTGAGCGTGGTTGGCTGCCTACGACACGGAAGAAGTTCGACAGAGGCACATACTAATCTCGCCAGTTCAAACAAATTCTCCCTCTAGTACCCGATTAGTGTGGCTGAGATTCTTGCAGCGATTGATTGATGTCATCTGCGGGCCTTTTAAAAGTGTCGGGCCTCATTGTGGCCACGGGCCATACACTGCAGCCTATGATGGGCCTAGGTTTCCAAACTCCATGGTTTAAACGATTGTTGTTGTGTGTGTGTGTGTGACAGCTGGCTGTACAACCTCTTCAAACACCTAATCGAGAATAACATACGAGATCACCTGAAGGGTCAGGTATGTGTGTGTGTTGAACTTCTTTTGCACCGTACGTAGCCAACCGTGCTAATTGGAGGGGTGGGGGAAGGACAGCAAACTAAACACAATAAGCAGTTCTAAAGAAATTAGTTTTGAATCTGAATTTGAAAGTGCATAGCTCCAGTGGCTTGCTAATATCAGAAGAGCATTCCAGAGGGCCGCAGAAGAAGATTTGAAAGCGGCCGATGCGGTGAGCGCCGTCTCCGTCCGATGGCGAGTTAAACGTCACTGCGAGGACGGCCGGAGTTCGCGTGATCGTTCACGAGCCTTGACGAGATCAACAAGGAATTCTGCTTCAGTTGTGGCGAGCGCTCTGTGTGTAATGAGTAGTGCGACCTATATGAGTGCGACAGGTGTGAACACCGGTGCCGTCTTCGCGCATGTGTCTGTGTCTGCGAGCACCTATTAAGGTCGCGATGGCACCAGAGTGGGTGGTATGGCCAGGACCACGAACACGCCACGCCAACTTGTTGTTCTCTGTTCAACGTGGCTAAATTCCAGCTCTAAGAATGAAAACATCGGTTTGCCTGTCACACGACGAACCTCACTCTCATGTGCAGAGCGGGTGGGGAAAGTCCTGCCCTTTGCTGTGTGTGTGTACTTGAAGAAGGGATCTCAGAGGTAGCTCTGGGGTATCCGCTTCCACGGGCCGTTCTGTGTGGATCAGAGAGTCACTTGCAGAAGAAGAGATCTCAGAGGTAGCTTTGTGATATCCACTTCCGTGGGTACATTCTCGAATAACGCGGAGGCTCTGGACTGCTCTTGCGCAAGAGCAGTGTGGCGACGACACAGCACCCAGCAGCAGCACGCATGGGGCGGACATCGGGGCAGAGGTTGCAAACGGGTTTTGATTCCTTACCCGTACCCGTACCCGGCCGCACCAGGGTCGCAAACGGGTACCCGTACCCTACCCGTACCTGTACCCTACTCGATACCCGGCCGGGTACGGATAGCCGGGTATCGGGTAGGGTACGAGTATCGGGTACCCGATTGCGACCTCTGGGATGAAGCCATGTTGCAGGCGCGGGTGGGTTGATTCTAGGAACTTGAATTGTGAGAAGAGACAAGACGTTGGGAAATGAGTGACAAACGGTTACTCACCAGTGACTCACGGCCTACCCATACCCGGCCGGGTACGGGTAGCCGGGTATCGGGTAGGGTACGGGTATCGGGTACCCGATTGCGACCTCTGCATCGGGGTAAACGTGAACAGCAACAAAACACGGCGCTTGTGATGAGTTCACGAGCAACTGTGCTGCCCCCTGTCCCCCCCCTCTCTCGCAACAGCTGTGTGGTCAGGTGACCGAAGCGATCAACAGCGACCTGGAGAACAGCCTGCAGGAGATCCCAAGTGAGACCCCACGTGGGAGACACAACCCCATGGTTACTCGGTTCACCAGCGGTGTGGATTATTTACACATGCAAGCTTTTAGGGGGTGGTGTTCACGCCCTCGCCTGGTGTACAGGAGGTCGTGGGTTCGATCCCGACCCTGATGCCTGCTGCTGTATATTTGGGGTTTGTGTATCTCACTCCCTATGGTCGCGTGGATTTTTCTTCGGGTCCTCCAGTTTTTCCCTCTGTATATAGCTCAGTAGGCCTTACCTGGCAAAATTTTAAAAAGTTTAGTTTTAGTTGACGTACGGCAATGCAGACCATGGGCTGACCTCGCCACACGGACAGGGATTCACTTCTCATGGAATGTTTTTTATTCTTTTCGGCGTCGCTGGTTTACAGACCGAAGCAGGTGGCACGTGACGAGAAATATCTATGTACGCTGAACTTCTTTCACACCGTACGTAGCCAACTATGCTGATCGGAGGTGCTCGTAGTAGTAGCAGTCACAGCCATGAGCGACGGGCATCCTGGATGTGGCGTTACCGGCTGTGGATATTTTCGTGGGGTAGACGTGGCTGAAATGAAGCCCGGCCGAGCGAGTGAAGCCAATCAATCCCCAGTGCTGCGATATTTCGGCGGCCCACATTTGAAAAGTAAATCATTGCAAGGGTTTTTGTGTGAAATAGGTCGTGGGTAAAAGAGTTTGTGTGTCAAAGAGTTTGTGGGTGAAGGCTACGCTTCCAGGGTCAAACTGTACGTCTAGGGTGGGCGCGTGGCTTTTCCACTGCAACACGGCTCTCCAACACAATGCCCGAACAGCAGCACAAGGAAACAACATCAGAAAAGTGCGAGAGATGTGGGCCGTGTGAAGGGTTGTCATGGTAACACGGCGAGCGATGGCGACGATGATGCCCATGTCGCATATGAAAGGTGGAATGTAGTTGTTACTGATGGTGTTTGATGATGATGGTGCCGATGACGATGCTGATGATCACGATACAAGCCAAAGTTCAAGGTAGTGATGTCATTGTTGCTGATGATTTATGATGATGCTCATGATGTCGACGTGTCCAAGAATTCATGTAAATGTCATTCCAAATGTGATCGGGACCCCAGTCACTGCCAAGGTGGACGAATTCACAGAGGTCGACTACTCGCTCCTGAGTCCTCCCGACACCCGCGCAGACATGCTGGACATGCCCTGCAAGGTGAGCGCACTCACCTGCTCACCACTCACCTGCCCACCACTCACCTGCCCACCACTCACTTTTCCACCACTCACTTTTCCACCACTCACCTGCCCACCACTCACCTGTTCAGTAACCCTGTACCGGTGACCAGGCTGCTGTAAGTGTCCTACCGAGCAGACGACTGTCTCTACGTCTCCGTGTCTCATTTCCACGTCTCTATCCATCTACCCACGTCTCCGCTCTCGTGTCTCCGTGTCTCTATCCATGTCTCCATGCGTGTCTCTATTTCTCCATGTCTCTATCCGTCTCTTTAAATGTGACTTTGTGTGTCTCTCCGTGTCTCTATGTGTGTATCCGTGTCTGCGCTTTGCCCCGCAGGGTGAGTTCTACAGCCTGCAGCACCACTCCGAGTTCCCTGTCCCTGCGCCCCCCATGGATCTGGGCACCTCTGCTGACCGCATGCTCTACTTCGGCCTATCCGAGTTCCTCTTCAACAGCGCCGGCTACGCGTACCAAGCCTCCGGTGCCCTCACCTACATCATCACTGAGGCCATGGTGAGATACAGAGACCCTCCTCTCATCCGATACAGAACCCCCATCTCATCTGATACAGAACTCCCATCTCATCTGATACAGAACCCTCGTCTCATCCGATACAGAACCCTCGTCTCGTCCGATACAAAGCCCCTATTCCATGCGTGTTGACATAATATTTAAATAAGTCTTATGATAAATTGCACTCCACCACACTCGCGACCGAATGCGTCGATAGTTTCAACTTGTAACGTGCCCCTGCTACACAATATTCTCTCCCTCAGAGGCACGAGGACGAACCACGCTGGTGAGATGTTACCTAGTTTAACACGTAGGCTTTCGCGACCAATATTATTCATGATCAACGTTTTTGGGTTAGATCGCGTTATTTATAAATGTGTCGTAACCCTCCACCACCCGACACGGCCAATCAGCAACAAAAAAGTGTCACGTTTACAAAAGACAAATAGTTCACTGCTTTAGCCCACCGGTGTGTTGAAGCGTGAAACCAAAACATTTACAATTTTTTGAGTACGATGATTCGCTGGTAATTGCATCCAGCATCATCGGGAAATTCGCCAGAATAGTGAGGCTCTGCTCTTGCTCCCGGTCTTATATAGAGCAGCAGCAGCAGGGTGACGTCATCATTTAACTCATCAGGTGCAACGATTTGAGGCGGAGGGGGGGTATTGTAATTATATACTAGATTAGTAATCAGGCAATTGTTACGATGTTAGTTGTAGATTAGTAATCAGTTGTAATGTATGTTATTGTAATTATATGCTACGTTAGTAATCAGTTAATTAGTGTTTGTTTCGCCTATAAGGAATTATAATATGTATTATTTAATAATACGCTTCCAGGCCGCACTAAGCCTGCTTTATTGGACAGACGGGGCGTAACATTAGTATAAGACTAAAATGGTTTCAAGGTGACATGTGGCAGCCAGGTGGTGAACTAGCACCAAATTTCCTCCCCTCCTCGCCAAGCTCTGCAGTCCTCAATATATCAAGGTGTTGTCAGCCAACTCATGAGTGGGAGAGGAAATCGGATTACCTACACGTGTGAGGGAGCAACACTCGATGCCGTACAGATGGAAACCACACCACGTGTTTGCTGTGCCACCTTCTCTTGGCGAGCCTGGGAATGGTACCTCCTCGACACCCAACGGGCAGGGAGTGTCGCAACATTTTCTCGGTCATCACCAGCGCTTGCTGCTGCTGCCTCCGCCGTGCTGGATTACAGGCAGCCACACGCGTAGCTGCCACCACCACCACCACCACCCGCGTTGAGGTGCCGTGGCTGCTGGCGAACGTGCTCGGCGTGACGCCGTGTTGTTGTGCGCTGTGCACGTGGTCTCTGCTCGCAGCTGCCGAAGGACGCCCCCTTCCACCTCAACACCTCCAGCCTGGCGCCCATCGCTGTGAAGGTGCGTACAAGTGCCCCACAGCCTCTCGGCGCCGGCCGCTTTCACCCCTTTCCCACTGGCGCATCCGAGCCGAGGCATCGCGGCGCCCTCACGGTACTATGGCTGGTTTCTCCACCGGCTAGCGCCGTACCTAGCTGGAGGACGCACCATCGCCGCCACCGCGTCACCCACACGCATCTCCACTCGCTCGCTGCGCGCGACGTCAGTGGCACGACTCGGCTCCTGCGGTGGAAACACTGGTGCCACCTGGGCCACGCCAGCACACCTCTGGCTCGGCTCTGCTTGCGCGTGTTTGTGCGGGGAGCGGTGGCGTAGCAATTAGAGCGCCGCGGAAAACAAACCCTGACCGTCCAAGTTCGATTCCCGCTTGCTGGCCAACACCAGTGACGATTATCGGAACCGGTGCTGGGCCTCCTTGACTCGGCCTCAAATGACTACCTGGTTTGGTGTGCTAATGAGTAGCGCCGGGGGGGGGACAAAGTTGCCACACTGCATAGGCGCTCGGCGACAGCACTTGCCGAGACAGCGCGCGTGGGCTACACGGGGGACCTTTGTCTGTGCGCGTCAGCTCAAGGACTTCCCGGGGCTGCCTGTGGAGGTGAGGGTCGAGTCGAGCGCCGCGCCCACGCTCTCCATCTCCGCCGGCAACGTCACGCTGCACACGCAGGCCCTCGCCACCTTCAGCGCCCTGTGGCCCAACGGCACGCGCAGCTTCCTCTTCTCCATCAACGCCGTGAGACACGCGCGCGCACGCACACACACAACCACACAAGAACACGCACGCACACGCATATATCCCCCTTTAGCCTTAACAGACTGTAGGGGCAAGTGCTGTTCGCCAGCACCTATGAAGGCTGCCACGGCACGCAAGGGGGTGGGTGGCGAGCACCATGGCGATGTTTACACACCGCACCAGGTACTAATTTGAGGCTGATTCGACATAGGGGAGGCCCAGGACCAGTTCAGATGATCGTCACCAGCGTTGGCCGTAGCGGGAACCGAACTCGGGTCGCCAAGTTTGTCCGTTGTTGCTGGAGGGCGACTGCCTCCAACTGCCCAGCAGCGTCCTTCACGAGCCTCCTCCACAGAGGCCGATCTTGACACCGCTGGTACCAGTCATCGGCAAGTCCACTCAGCTCCACATCCTCCTGTACCACATCACTCCATCTCTTCTCTAGCCCATGCCGCGCCCGTTTAGCCCCCTCGATCCGGCCGAACAAAAGCTGTTTAGGCATGCGGTGGCTGGGCATGCGGGCTACCTGACCCTGCCAACGCAGCCTTGCCTGCCGGAGGAGCTCACCGATGGGACTTTGCCCAGATTTATGTCTATGTCTGGGTGGAGCTCCTCACACAATTCAGCCTGGTTAAACCCAGGATGGATCGTAGGCAGGCCAGCCTAAATGTTTCCAACCAGCGAAGACACACATACACACACTGACACACACGCACTGACACACACACATACACACACTGACACATGCACTGACACACACACACCCGCGCGCGTACACTCACTAGGGTTGAGTAGGAGCTCGCTAACAGAGCGCCTCGCTGTGCGTGCGCAGAGCGCCTCGCTTGCTGCCAGGCTGGAGATCGACGCTGACAAGCTGCACGGGACGCTCGCGCTGGACAGGTCAGCGGCGAGCGCAGCACCAGCCAGTGCCACCACCACTGGGAGGGGCCCTGGGTTGGCCGTGTGGCATTAAAAATGGCTAGCCCCCCCCGCCCCCAGTAAACAATAGACTCTAGCCACCCCCCTCCCAGTAAACAATAGACTCTAGAGACCCCCCCCCCTCCAGTAAACAATAGACTCTAGCCCCTCCCCCCCTGTAAACAATAGACTCTAGCCACCCCCCTCCCCCTTCCCAGTAAACAATAGACCCTAGCACCACCCTCAGTCAGGGTCTATGTCTGGGTGGATCTAAGTCTGTGTCTGTGTCTGGGTGGGTCTATGTCTGGGTGGGTCTAAGTCTGGGTCTGTGTCTGGGTGGGTCTGTGTCTGTGTCTGGGTCTGTGTCTGGGTCTGTGTCTGGGTGGGTCTATGTCTGGGTGGGTCTAAGTCTGGGTGGGTCTAAGTCTGGGTCTGTGTCTGGGTGGGTCTATGTCTGGGTGCGTCTATGTCTGTGTCTGTGTCTGGGTGTATGTCGGGGTGTATGTCTGAGTTTGTGTCTCTGTCTGGGTCTATGTTGGGGTCGATGCCAATCTGCTGCTGTCTGCGTTGTTTGCTGCTTGCGTGTGCAGCTTGGTCCTGACGCTGGTGAAGTCGGATGTGGGAGACGTGCACGTAAGAGCACCCACCCGTGCTACTGACGCATGCAACACTGACACATGTGACACTACAGACAAAGATCCCCCGAATAGCCTTAACAGACTGTTCGGGCAAGTTCTGTTAGCGAGCAGCACCTATGAAGGCTGCCGGCACTGTGGTACAACGAGGGGGTGGGTGGCCAGAACCACGCCCAGCCGCCTTTGTCTCCCCAGTGGCGATGTTTACACACCGGACCAGGTACTCATTTGAGGCTGAGTCGACCTAGGGGAGCCCCGGGACCGGTTCAGATAATCGTCACCAATGTTGGCCATGAGAACGGGAATCGAACTCGGGTCGCCAGGCTCGTAGCGCAGTGCGCTAACCACTGTGTAACTGACATCTGTGGTGCTTACAGCTGACTGCTGGATGGGCGCGTTGTGCAGAGCGGAAGGCCCGGGCACGGCTAACAGCTCCACTCTCTGTGTGTGCCACTCTGTGTGCTGCTCCCCTACAGGTCAATTTGCTGCAGTCGATCATCAAATTCATCACTAAAACGATTATCCTGCCCAAAGTGAACGGTAACGCAGCGCCGCGCACACAACGCACCCACGCAGGCCTCTCCACATCTGGTGGTTTTCCGCTCTGCATTTAAAATCAACGTCACGCGTTTATTGAGTGTTTGGCTGATAAAAATGTCCACATCATTGGACTCTCATTTGCGATAGGCAGGTCACTGCGGAAAAAAAGTGATAGAGCTCAGTGGGCCTTACCTGGTGAAACAAAGAGAGTGAGTACCGTCGAAATTGCAGGGGCGGCAGTCGCAGCACAGGACGTTGGCTCGGTACCTGCAAGAGGGCGGCTGAACCGTGCATGGTTGGGTGGCCAGAACCTCAATTTGAATCCGCAATCTCAGCGTTGCCCACTCAGTGTCTCTGTCTGACCACCCCTCCACCCCCCACCCCCCAGGAAGATGTCTTGAATGTCAGGCGTGCCAGGCTAGGTGTCGTGTGACACTGAGTCCCGTCCCCGCGTGTGTATGTGCGTGTGTGCGTGTGTGTGTGCGTGTGTGCGTGCGTGTGTGCGTGTGTGCGTGTGTGCGTGTGTGTGCGTGTGTGTATGCGTGTGTGTGCGTGTATGCGTGTTTGCGTGTGTGTGTGCGTGTGTGTATGCATGTGTGCGTGTGTGCGTGTGCGCGTGTCCCGCACAGAGAGGCTGAGCCAGGGAATCCCCATGCCGCTTCTGAAGAAAGTGAAGATCGTGAACGCCGTGCTGCTCAACAAGGAGGTGCGCAGTGCGGGCCGGAGCGTTCGTGAGAGCGTGCGTGCACGTGCGTGTGTGTGCGCGTGTGTGCGCGCGTGTGTGTGTGTGTGCGCGTGTGTGTGCGCGTGTGTGTGCGCGTGTGTGCGTGTGTGTGTGTGCGCGTGTGCGTGTGCGTGCGCGTGTGCACGTGTGTGCGCGTGTGCGCGTGCGTGTGTGTGTGCGTGCGTGTGTGCGCGTGTGTGTGTGCGTGTGTGTGCGCCCCGGTGGCTAGATGTTAACTCCCTCGCCTGGTATGCAAAGGGCGTGGGTTTGATCCTGACCCTGACGCCTGCTGTATAATTGGAGTTTGTGTCTCTCTCCCCGTGGTCACGTGGATTTTTAACCGGATCCTCTGGTTTTTCCCATCGCATTTAGAATCGGCATCACACGTTTAGAGTACTTGGCCGCTGTACATTTCAACATGACGATAATCCAACTTCGTTGAGCTCTCATTAGTGGCCACGTTGCTTCCCAAAGAGAGCTACGTACATGAGTGGGCCTTACCTGGTAAGATAAAAAAAGTTGAGCTTAGTTTTCGTCTCTCGTCTTTGTCTTTGTGTGAGTCGGGAGCGGTGGCGCAGCGGTAAGCACACCAAGCTACCCAGTGACCCAAGTTCGATTTCTGCTCACGGCCAACACAGTGACGATTATCTGAACCGGTCCTGGGCCTCCTCTAGGTCGACTCAGCCTTACATGAATACCTGGTGCGATGTGTCTAATAACATCAGCACTGGAGAGACAAAGATGGCCGGGCGTGGTGCTGGCTACATACCCCCTCATGTGCCGGAATCCATGCACAAGCATGGTTTCTCTTCAGTGTTTATTGTTTTGTTTTATGTTGAACTTCTTTCGTACAGTACGTAGCCAACCGCGCTAATCTGAGGTGCGGGGAAAGGACAACAAACTAAAGACAAGGAGCAGTTATGAAGAAACGAGTTTGTCAATCTAGATGATGACGGTTTAAAAGTGCACAGCTCCAGTAGCTTCCTAACGTCAGGAGAGCGTTCCAGACGGCCGCAGAAGCGCGCCCAAAAGCGCCGCGCGATGCGGCGACCATCGTCTTTGTTCGGTGGCTGAGCCAGAAGCTGCTGCCGCTGCTGCTGCCACTGCTGCTGCTGCTGCCACTGCTGCTACCGCTGCTGCTGCTGCCGCTGCTGCTGTGAGGAGGACCGCCGGCGGAGTTCGCGGATTGCTGTGGTGGGTGGGGGGGTGTCGGTGAGCGCCGGCCGCGTCGCGAGAGACGATGACCGTCGTTCCGTGCTGTGCCCCCGACAGGGGTTCACCGTGGTGGGGATGGATCTGCGCTACTCGCCGTGACGTCGGGGGCCGCGCAGCCACGGAGAGAGGGGGCGGGGGGAGGGGCCTTGGCTGCCCTTCCGGGGGCGCGTGGGTGCTACACGGTGGACGCCACACACACAGACACACACACACAGACACACACACAGACACACACTCTCTTGTTATGAGTTGTATTGTTCCGATTGTTTACCCGGGAAAGCATCGCCCAGTCTCGTGACTCTTTTTCAAGAGGGTCCTGCCAAGCTTGCAGAGTGGGTGGTAGTGGTGGGAACAATGATTGCTGCTGCGTTTAATCCCCAATGAGTCATGTGCAGTGTAATCTTTCACATGTTCACCGTGACACTGGCACACAGCGGCCTCCTCTTGTCAATGATGCCACGGGAACTTTTAACGTCCACCGTGAATCTGACGGCGCGTGGTAGTACTAGTAGAGCCATGAGGGTTGTTACACCCCAAGTATTAACCGGGACGGCCGCTGGACCCGAACCGCCTACACTAAAAGTCGAAGTGAGTTTGATTTGCTGCCCAAACGACTGAGGCAGTGCAGGCAAATTCCACATTCCAATGGCAGGGGGCGAGTCTATCCAAAGGACCGTTGTTGCCCTCCCCACAAAGTGGTACCCTGTTTATCGACCCTCGAGAGATGATGGGATGAGTCAAATCCACCCCCCCCCCGACCCCCGCCAACCAGGATATGACCTCTCAACCTTCCGATGACGAGCCGCTCGCTCGACAGCTGAGCCACCAGGCCCACGGGGAGTCGAGAATTGTTCTCAACAATTACAGCAGCCTGGGGGTTGGCGAGTTCCACTCATGGCGGGGGCAGTTGTCAGCCTCAAGATCTGCGTTGCCTGAAGCCTCCTGCTCAATATACACACAGACAGACACCACCTCCATCACGGGGCTGCTCGTTCATCGATTGGCCAAACATCGCAATGCAGCAGCAGGGATCCCCTGGTGGGTGAAGCCTTTCCTGGGTGAATAAAGGGTGAATGAAGGGTGAGTGAGGGGTGAGTGAATGGTGAATGAAGGGTGAGTGAAGGGTGAGTAAAGGGTGAATGAAGGGTGAGTGAGGGGTGAGTGAATGGTGAATAAATGGTGAATAAAGGGTGAGTAAAGGGTGAATGAAGGGTGAGTGAGGGGTGAGTGGTGAATAAAGGGTGAATGAAGGGTGAGTAAATGGTGAGTGAGGGGTGAGTAAATGGTGAATGAAGGGTGAGTGAAGGGTGAGTAAATGGTGAATGAAGGGTGAGTGAAGGGTGAATGAATGGAGAATGAAGGGTGAGTGAAGGGTGAGTAAATGGTGAATGAAGGGTGAGTGAAGGGTGAGTAAATGGTGAATGAAGGGTGAGTGAAGGGTGAGTAAAGGGTGAATGAAGGGTGAGTGAAGGGTGAGTAAATGGTGAATGAATGGAGAATGAAGGGTGAGTGAATGGTGAGTAAAGGGTGAGTGAGGGGTGAGTAAATGGTGAGTGAAGGGTGAGTGGAGGGTGAGTGAAGGGCACGCTCGCGGTAACATTGGGTGAGGGCAAGAGACGTGAACAAAATGAAAGTAAAAACAAAATCACGAATCCCCCCGCTGGTGTCTGTATACCATGGCGCTTTGTAAATCCCTCCCCAGGGAGGCCTCCTCTGTGTGCAAGGCTGAGTCTGCAGGGGGGCAGCTTCGTCTGGAAGCGCGGATTCTAACAGCCCAAGACGCGCACTGAGCCGCTCGTTTTCACATCTCGCTTTGTCAACTCCACGGCAAAATCGTCGCCGGGAGATTTTTTTGTTGTACCTTTTGATAAACACAAATTGCCACCAATGTTTGACTCTCGATGATTTCCCGCGCTGTCTTTATTATAAAAGTCCCGCTTGCAAAATGCCATGTGGGTCATGGTGTTGCGTGCACACACACACACGCGCACCAGTTAGGGATTCCACATTTCTGGGAGGCTCAACAGGGACAGGTACGAAACACGTTTTAACACGTAGGCTTTCGCGAACAATATCCATATATTTTTTTATTTAATAACGATAATGGCGGATTTCTCCACAAATCTGGCTGTCGCCTGATGAAGCTAGTTGTAATTACTGGCGACACGTCGTACTCAGATTGTAAATGTTGCGGATATACTCTCCAACACACCGGTTAGTGCTGTACTGGTGACGAATTGGCACATTCTGTTTACGTGACAACCCTTACTAGTTGGCTGTGTCGGGTGGTGGCGGGTTTAACGACGCATTTAAATCTCGACTTAAAGCTTTCGTGACTGCAGGAATTCATATTCTTTGGGTCTTTGGGTCTTTCGGTAAAGTCACGTAGATAGGTTCAAAGAAAAATAAAATTACGTTTCGATCGCATCAAAAAAAGCGTATGGACATTTGTTTCCACATCGTGAACAATGCGGAGGTTGTCACTGTGGGGGAGGCTTGGTAGCACGTGGAAGCAGCTGGCTACACCTGTACGTCGCGTGGCCTGAACTTCTTTCGCACCGCACGTGGCCCACCGCGCCAGCAGGAGGTGCGCGCGTGGGAGTTTCAGCGCACGCCTCGTGCAGCAACCACTCTGCCTTCACCCTCCCTCCCTTTGTCCGACGTTTCGCTCCCAGTCGCACAACCCGAAAACGCAGCGGAGAACCAAGTTGGCATTTTACCCGCACTGAAGCCCCCGCCACACGCCGCCTACCACACCGTGCTCGACCCACGCGCACACGCGCCTGGCGTTGCCATGGGCGGTATTTGTTTCTAGCACGACCCCTTCCACGCCACCGCCACTTTGTCTGAGTGTTGTGCAGTAGAAGCACGCGGAGGCGAGGGATACGACGATGGCTGTCGCCCTTTGCTAAATCACTGCCACACTGAATACTATTTGGGTCTGAGCCTCGGCTCCCCCTTTGGGGTTCAGCCAACACCGCCCGGCCACGAAGAGGGACCCCCCCCCTTGCGGCCTTCCTAGCCCTGACCCCCCACGCCATGACCCTCGTCACGGGGGGGGGGGGGGGTCCCTCTTGGCCGGCTCCTGCCCCCACCTCGGACCCGCCCACGTTCCCGAAGGGGCCCCTTGCACCACCCGTGACTGTCAACCCGCTCGCATCTCCTCCTGTCCGCCTCCTCATTGGCTACTCACATACTCCTCTACACGAGCACGACCCCATACTCCCCACTGACACGTGGTACTAACACGTGGTACTAGCTTGACCCTTCATAGGTAGTGCTCGCTAACAGCACTTGCCCCAACAGTCTGTCAAGGCTACACGGGGGATCTTTGTCAAGTATTGTATAGTGCGGTCCAGATGTATTGTGACCCCTCTCCCCCTGGGCGTTTTGTGTTTCACTTTCGCGCATTAATTTCCGTTTCACAACAACCCCGACTTGCCAAAAATCTAAAGACGTTTCGCAGAATAACCCTCGGCACGGCAGCGGTCACGGGACATCTGGAACAACCCGCGCTGCTGCTCCCTCCCCGTCCGCGAGACGGCGCTCGCTGGCAGCTCCAGAGAGGCTTAGTATCCGGGGCGCGCGCCCTTTAAGTTTCATTTGTTCATGCCCAGCAGCAGTAGAGGTAGCAGCAGTAGTAGTAGAGGCCGCAGCAGCAGTAGTAGTAGAGGCCGCAGCAGCAGTAGATGCAGTAGAGGTAGCAGCAGCAGAGGCAGTAGCAGCAGCAGAGGCAGGAGCAGTAGTAGCAGCAGCAGTAGTAGCAGTAGTAGCAGCAGCAGAGGCAGTAGCAGCAGAGGCAGCAGTAGTAGCAGCAGAGGCAGCAGTAGCAGTAGAGACAGCAGCAGTATTAGTAGCAGTAGTACCAGCAGTAGCAGCAGTAGTAGAGGCAGTAGTAGCAGCAGCAGTAGTAGCGGCAGCAGTAGTAGTAGAGGCAGCAGCAGTAGTAGCAGCAGTAGTAGCAGCAGCAGTAGCAGCAGTAGTAGTAGCAGCGGTAGTACAGTAGCAGTAGCGGCAGCAATAGCAGCAGCAGTAGCGGCAGCAATAGCAGCAGCAGTAGTAGAGGCAGTAGTAGCAGCAGCAGTAGCGGCAGCAGTAGCGGCAGCAGTAGCAGCAGCAGTAGCAGCAGTAGTAGCGGCAGCAGTAGTAGTAGAGGCAGCAGCAGTAGTAGCAGCAGTAGTAGCAGCAGCAGTAGCAGCAGTAGTAGTAGCAGCGGTAGTACAGTAGCAGTAGCGGCAGCAATAGCAGCAGCAGTAGTAGAGGCAGTAGTAGCAGCAGCAGTAGCGGCAGCAGTAGCGGCAGCAGTAGCAGCAGCAGTAGCGGCAGCAGTAGTAGTAGTAGCAGCAGTAGTAGTAGTAGCAGCAGTAGCGGCAGCAGTAGCAGTAGTAGTAGAGGCAGCAGCAGTAGTAGAGGCAGTAGCAGTAGCAGCAGTAGCAGCAGCAGTAGCGGCAGCAGCAGTAGTAGTAGTAACAGCCGTAGTAGTAGTAGCAGCAGCAGTAGTAGTAGCAGCAGCAGTAGCAGCAGCAGTAGTAGTAGCAGCAGTAGTAGCAGCAGCAGTAGCAGCAGTAGTAGTAGCAGCAGCAGTAGCAGCAGCAGTAGCAGCAGTAGTAGCAGTAGTAGTAGCAGCAGCAGTAACAGCAGTAGTAGCAGCAGTAGTAGCAGCAGCAGTAGTAGCAGTAGTAGTAGCAGCAGTAGTAGCAGTAGTAGTAGAGAGTAGCAGCAGCAGTAGCAGCAGTAGTAGCAGCAGCAGTAGCAGCAGCAGTAGCAGCAATAGTAGTAGAGGCAGCAGCAGTAGCAGCAGTAGTAGTAGCAGCAGTAGCGGCAGCAGCAATAGTAGTAGATGCAGCAATAGTAGTAGAGGCAGCAGCAGTAGTAGTAGCAGCAGTAGCGGCAGCAGTAGTAGCAGCAGTAGCGGCAGCAGTAGTAGCAGCAGCAGCAGCAGTAGTAGCAGCAGCAGCAGTAGTAGCAGCAGTAGCGGCAGCAGTAGTAGCAGCAGTAGCGGCAGCAGCAGTAGCAGCAGTAGCAGTAGCAGCAGTAGCGGCAGTAGTAGTAGCAGCAGTAGCGGCAGTAGCAGTTAGTAGTAGCAGCAGTAGCAGCAGTAGTAGTAGCAGCAGTAGCGGCAGTAGTAGTAGCAGCAGTAGCAGCAGTAGTAGTAGCAGCAGTAGCGGCAGTAGTAGTAGCAGCAGTAGCGGCAGTAGTAGTAGCAGCAGTAGCGGCAGTAGTAGTAGCAGCAGTAGCAGCAGTAGTAGTAGCAGCAGTAGCAGCAGTAGTAGCAGCAGTAGCAGCAGTAGTAGTAGCAGCAGTAGCGGCAGTAGTAGTAGCAGCAGTAGCAGCAGTAGTAGTAGCAGCAGTAGCGGCAGTAGTAGTAGCAGCAGTAGCGGCAGTAGTAGTAGCAGCAGTAGCGGCAGCAGTAGTAGCAGCAGTAGCGGCAGTAGTAGTAGCAGCAGTAGCGGCAGTAGTAGTAGCAGCAGTAGCGGCAGTAGTAGTAGCAGCAGTAGCAGCAGTAGTAGTAGCAGCAGTAGCAGCAGTAGTAGAGGCAGCAGCAGTAGTAGTAGCAGTAGTAGTAGCAGCAGTAGCAGCAGTAGTAGTAGCAGCAGTAGCAGCAGTAGTAGTAGCAGCAGTAGCGGCAGTAGTAGTAGCAGCAGTAGTAGTAGCAGCAGTAGCAGCAGTAGTAGAGGCAGCAGCAGTAGTAGTAGCAGCAGTAGCAGCAGTAGTAGCAGTAGCGGCAGCAGCACGCGAGCCCGCGGTGTCCCATCGAGCGTGGGGCGGTGGGGGGCGAATCGATTCGCGAATCGACAGATGGGGAGAGTCGGAATCGAAGTGGGGTTGACTCCAATCCCCCCCCACCACCGCCTTCATGATCGATTCACAAATTTTGGATTCGGAATCGAAGTGGAGTCGACTCCAAACCGCAGGTCTGTCCGCGCGATGTTTTAACCCAATTAAACTGACGGCTCGGCTCGTTCGCTCACGGTCATTGGGGCAACGTGGCTCGCTTCCTGTACGAGGATAGAAAGTCGTCGTCTCGTCTGGGATGGACTTCAACATCGTTAGGGGCAGTCCGGCACCACCCGAGTCTGGCTGGCCTCAGCCTGCTGTTGTCTCTTCCGGAGTGAAGATTTGGTTCGTGGTGACCTCTCGTGGGTCGGTGGGGGCGTGGGTCAGTGGGTGCGTGGGTGGGTGGGTAGCTGTGTGGGTGGGTGAGGGCGTGGGTGGCTGTGTGGGTGGGTGGGTGCGTGGGTGGGTAGGTGCGTGGGTACGTGGGAGGTGCGTGCGTGGGTAGCTGTGTGAGTAGGTGGGTGCGTGGGTAGGTGCGTAGATGGGTGGCTGGGTGCGTGGGTGGTTGGGTAGGTGGGTGAGTGGGTGCGTGGGTAGGTGCTTGGATGGGTGGCTGGGTGCGTGGGTGGTTGGGTAGGTGGGTGGGTAGCTGTTTGAGTAGGTGGGTGCATGGATGGGTGGCTGGGTGCGTGGGTGGTTGGGTAGGTGGGTGAGTGGATGCGTGGGTAGGTGCGTGGATGGGTGCCTGGGTGCGTGGGTAGTTAATTCTCAACTGAACTCAACTAATTTTACTTTACCAGCTGTAAGGCCCCACTGAGCTGTGTAGCTCTTTTCAGAAGCGACCTGGCCATCACAAACGATGGCTCAACCAAGTGGCTTATCATCATCATCGTCATCACGTGGAAGTGTATAGCAGCAGCCACATGCTCTAAACGCCGTGATGTTGATTCTAAATGTGGAGGGAAAACCTGGAGGGAGCCGGAGACAAATCCACGCGACCACGGGGAGAGAGAGACACCGCCAACTCCAAACATACAGCAGCAGCAGGCATCGTCAGGAGTCGGGATCAAACCCACGGCCTCCTGTATACCAGGCGAGGTAGTTAACATCTCCTAGCCACCGTGGAGAGATTCTGATAATCTCACTCAAGTAAATGTGTGTTGGTTTAACATTCACTCAGAGTGACTGCAGGTGCAAGACTGACCTCTGAGTCACCAACACCACCACAGCAAAGTACAGAGAATACAGACTAAGCATGGGGGTGTGACCCGTTCTGGTAATAAAACAGGAGTCGTGTGAAGATGTACAAACACCAAACAGATGAAACCTTTGCATGGAATCAAGTACTGCATTAACCACGCATTCTACTTGTCGTGAACATGCAAACTAACACACTCTGACAATCTGTGGGCATTGTCTTTGAGACTGACTTGTCTACAGCAGAGACATCGGCGGCGGCCTTCTCTGTGCCCTCGTCTCACCACCAGTGTCAGAGCAGAGAACAACGCCAAACGGCGGACAGTACAAAGACAATGCCACACTAACTCGGGGTGAGCAGTTACATCATGGGCTACTTGCTTGTCAGTATCATAGTATGACTACTAAGAAGAGGTTTCGATTTAAAGCTTTCGTGACTGCAGGGATTCATCTTCTTGGTTCTTTCGGTAAAGTCACGTAGAAGGGAAATAATAAAATATTATTTTATTAAAAGTAAAGAACCAAGAAGATAAGAGGTTGGTACGTGCTGTTAAGTCGATAACCTACTTGTCGCACTGCCAACTGCGCGGAAGGCAATCTCTGCGTGAACCGCTAACCCTGCAGGCCACAGCCCCAGCGCTAACCCCGGCTGCTTGTGCCGCTTGTGTCACAGGTGTGTGGCGGCGGGACCCCCCGCACTTGCCGGCGTCTCTCCTCCCCGCCTCCTTGTCCCTCGCCCGCTTTGTCTCTCCCCGCAGCTGCCCGCGTGTAGCCTGTAACAGGCTGTAGGGGCAAGTGCTGTTAGCGTGCGCCGAGAGAGACAGAGAGACACAAGGACAGAGAGATGCAGAGACAGAGAGACACAGGGACAGAGAGACAGAGAGACACAGGGACAGAGAGACGCACAGCAGACGCATTGAGAGACCGATCGTAAGGTAGACAGACTGCGATCGGGACAGAGCTGTAGAAAAAGAGAAGTTAAAGGAGGAAGGGAGAGAGAAAGTGGAGAGAGAGGCAGGAAGTGTGACAAAGACATTGAGAGACGCAGAAGTGGGCAGAAGTTCAGAGAGAGCGAGAGAGGGATCACAACCACAGAGAGAACACGAATTTCTTTAGAAGTGCTTCGTGTGTTTAGTTTGTTGTCCTCCCCCGCTCCACCGATTAGCACGGTTGGCTACGTACGGTGTGAAAGAAGTTCAGTGCACATGCACACAAAAAGAGAGACCTGTAGACGAAAGGGATAGATCAACGTAAATACACAGAAAGAGGGGGGAGAGAGTGGGGCAGAAGGAGAGAGTTGGGTGGGATAGAGAGAGACAGAGAGAAACAAGGGGACAGGGAGAGAAGCAGGGAGAGATAGGGACCAGGCAGAGAAGGGAGAGAGGATGTTGGGCAGGGACGAGCAAGGGGACGAGCATGGGGACGAGCATGGGGACGAGCAAGGGGATGGAGAGATGGTGGAGGAGGAGCTGGTGAGACCCGACGTCTCGCCAGACAAGGTGAGGGAGCTGGTGGAGAGGCTGTACGGCATCAACGCCACCAGCGTCACCGAGCTGGGCAGCTACGACGACCAGAACTTCCACGTGGAGACACGAGGCCACGTGGTCCCTGAACCTTCCTCCTCCTCGTCGCCGTCCGTCGTGTGTCCCCACGGCTACGTGCTGAAGGTGACCAACTCGGCCGACAGCCGGCACCGCGCCAGCCTCGTGGAGGCGCAGACGCAAGCCGTGCGCTTCCTGGGCGAACGCGGGTTCCCCGTGCCGGCGGTCGTGTTCACCGTGGACGGGCGGCTCATGGCGATGGAGATGCTGGGTGAGACGATGCCGGCTGAGCAGTTGGGTCCGCGGTGATGGTGACGGGGTGTGTGTGTTGTTATTATTATTAAGTAATGGGGTTGGGCGCATGATAACCAACAATCACAAACAAGTACCGTGCTGTATGCCACATAAACTAAAAAACTAATAATTTAAATAAACGTGTAAAAACCCGATACGAAATCATCCCTAGACAAATAGGAGTATAAATACTGAATAAATACTGCACTCACCGATAATGATGATCCAAAGCAGGTGTGTGTGTTTGTCCGTGAGTGGGGACCGGCAGTGCTTGTTCATATTGTCTTCGTTATTATTATTATTTAGCTTATCTAGCAAAGCCTCACCTGGGTCTTATGACAATGATTGCTTTGTCAGGATAGTCCCACGCGAGTCAGTCGCGGTGCCATTTTTTCAAACGTAAATTTTGGCCACGGCACCACCACACAACGACGGACTGCTCGTGCGAATTACGTCACGGACAAGCCGGTGAGCGGGTGAGCGGGTGAGCGGGTGAGCCGGTGAGCCGGTGAGCGGTTGAGCGGGGCGAATCGACGACCGCTGGATCACCGCTTGCACGGTGGACCGTGTCGTCGTGTGTGCGAGTAGACGGCGACGGATCGGAGTTTCGCTTCATCGTGCGTCTCTTCACCTTCCTGCCGGGGACGCTGCTGGAGGAGGTGGAACCCAGCGACGATCTGCTCGGGCAGATGGGACGCACGCTCGCCCGCATGAACCGCACGCTGCACGAGGTACGGCGCAGTGCAATTCGCCGCGGTGGCGAGATGTTGACTGCCTCGCCTGGTATGGAGGAGGTCGTGGGTTCGATCCCAAACCTGACGCCTGCTGCTGTATATTTGGAGTTTGCGTGTCTCTCTCTCTGTGGTCGCGCGGATTTATCTCCAGGTCCTCCGGTTTTTTCCTCCACATTTAGAATAAACATCACACGTTTCGAGGCTTTGGGTGCTTCTATAAATTTCCACGTGATAAGCCACTTCGTTGAGGTATCATTTGTGTCCAGGTCACATCTGAAAAAGAGCTGTCGCTCAATGAGTCATACCTGGTAAAATACTAAATTAAAATTTTAGTTTAGATCTTAATTAACTATCGTCATCAGCTGTGATATCTCTCCTGCCGAATGGTCAAGCGAACACGCTATATGCAACGTCTTTTTATTTCATTTGAAAGCTTTAGTCCAGCCTGTTGACGATTCGGACATTGATGACGACGACGATGACAATGTTGAAAACGATCATTGTGATAATGATGAGCATGTTACTGATGATAACGATGTTGCTGATGATTCGGATATTGATGACGACGATGATGATGTTGAAAATGACAATGAAATGTCATTGTTGATGATGATGGTCATGTCATTGATGAAAACAATGCTGTTGGCGATTCAAACGTTGATGATGATGATGATGGCGATGACGATGTTGAACATGATAATTGTAAAGATGATGACCATATCATTGATGACGATGCCGGTGACGATTCTGATGCTGACGACGATGCCGCGTTGTCTCTCCACGCGCTCGCAGGAGTTCCACGAGCCGTGCCGGGCGGCGCTCTGCTCGGACGGGCGGTGGGGCCTCCAGCAGGCCCACCTCATCGCCCCGTTCGTGGACGAGGTGGAGGACGTCTCCCTGCGCGCCACGCTGGCTGACGTGGTGCACCAGTTCCACGAGCGCGTGCTGCCCAACCTGCGACACTTTCGGCCCTGTGAGTGACACGCGACCATTCTGTGCTGCATCTGTGTCCGCTCCCCCTGTCTTGCAGAGTACGTGTGTGTACATGTGTGTGTACATCTGTGTGTACGTGTATGTGTACGTGTGTGTCTGTGTCCATGGCTGCCAAGTGTTGTTAATGCTGCTACCATCATTGACAGTCAAGTGTGGTTCACACTGCCACCATCATTGACTGTCATGCCTAGTTAACGCTGATACTACGATTATCGACTGTCAAGCCAAGTTAATAACCGCTGGCATCTGGTCATCATTCCCTTCCTGACCCACGCAGCGATCAACCACAGCGACTTTCACGACCAGAACCTGCTGGTGCGCCCCAAACCCTGCGCCAGTGGCGGTGGCGCTGGCGGCTGGGAGCTGTGCGGAATCCTCGACTTCAGCGACGCGTGCGCAGGGCCGCTGGTCCTCGACGCGGCCGTCGCGATGGCCGACGTGGTTGCGTCGGCGCGCCACTCCGACCTCCAGCAGGCCCTGCGCGCGGCCGGCGCGTTCTTGGCGGCGTTCGAGCGGGAAGTAGGGGCCCCGCTGACGGGGGCCGAGCGCGGGGCCCTCTTCATCCTGGTGGCCGCCCGCCTGGCGCAGTCGGCGGTGCTGGCGGAGCGCGACTCACGCACGATGGCGAGCGACGGCCCGGCGGGCGGCCGCGCGCGTCGCATCGGCGCGTTCGTCGCTCAGGAGGCGGCGCGGCTCAGAGAACTGTGGGCGGCGGGGGAGGACGAGGCGTGGCGCTGCTGGAGACGGGGCAGCGACCCGCCAGATGAGCTGGGGCTGCCGAGAACGTAATGTCGTTCGTCCCGCACCTCCGTTTGGCGCGGTTGGCTACGTACTGTGCCGAAATGACATTCATTGTACGTACGTATGTACGTGTGTGCATACGTACGTACGTGTGTGCATACGTACGTGCGTGCATACGTACGTGCGTATGACAGCACCGCCAACATCGGGAGTAGGGGACGGGGTGCGCGGGGCAGCTCTGCCTCTTTTTACACTGCACAACCGAGCCGTGCCGGGGCCTGGCATGGGCCCGGGAGGCGCGCCGGATTGTTTTTCCACTGCACAAGCCTTGCCGTGTGAATGAAAGAGTGAGGGGCGTGTGTAGATGATACGGTGATGCTGTGGCTGTCACCGTGCACCGACGAATGTCACAACCAAATCAATGGGATGACTCTCATGTGGATGCACGTATGTTGAACTTCTTTCGCACCGTACGTAGCCAACCGCACGCCAATTGGACCATGTGGAGGAAGGACAACTAAACACAAAAATGCATTCTTAGTCCTGCCCCTGGCCCTGCTGAAACCCATCCCAGATTCATCGTCTTTGCGAGACCAGTGGATTTTGATTTCGTTCCGACTCGGCATGGCAACTAGCGAGTGGCAAACCAGCCGGACCTTGAAGGCCCCTTCGGTTGCTCAGCTTGGCTGTGCCAGCGCCCAAAGGCGGTATCAGATCCGAGGGATAAAACCAAAAGGCCTGGCCAGGAAGTGTCAATCATGCAATAGGGGGAGATGAGACGCTCATTAACCCCGAGAGAAAATCGAGTCACCATTATTATTCGTAGTTGAATATATTTAAATAAAGTACTCTAAACAAATTGCATTGTGATCAATGTCGACTACCACTGCATATTTGGCCTCCTTTGTATTGGCTGGTTCAAGTCCACTCAGCTGACATTTGCATATAGTTCACGTGAATCATCTGTTTATATATAACACGAATCGATTTGTGTATCGTGACCATTATTGGCGACTATTCGATTAATTGCTGTTTGCCAGTGGTGGGCTGCTGGTGCGTGACGTCACTGGAGAGCCATTACCTCTAAGTCTGCCCGAACGTGACGTCAGCGGCGTGTCGGCGGCCACGTTTCACAGGGCGAGCGGTCACCGCTGCCCCTCCAACGCCACTTTGTGGCGTCATCGAAGTGCAGAAATTAGCCTGTGCGCCATGCGCTCCCGACTGTGACGTCACCGCGGTGCCGTACCCTCCCGGCTGACGTCACCGCGGTGCCGCGCGCTCTCGGCTGCCCGGATGTGACGTCGCCCAAGCGCTCGCGCGTGGGAGTTTTCTATTCCGGAAGTGGCGTGTGTGGAGTGCCGGAAATGACGCGGCCCGAGTGTAAGCGGGCGGGGTGGGTGGCGAGAGGCGGAGTGGAGGTGCAGGGAGAGAGGGACGGGGAGGTGCAGGGAGAGAGGGACGGGGAGGTGCAGGGAGAGAGGGACGGGGAGGTGCAGGGAGAGAGGGACGGGGAGGTGCAGGGAGAGAGGGACGGGGAGGCGCAGGGAGAGAGGGACGGGGAGGTGCAGGGAGAGAGGGACGGGGGAGGTGCAGGGAGAGAGGGACGGGGAGGGACGGGGAGGTGCAGGGAGAGAGGGACGGGGAGGTGCAGGGAGAGAGGGACGGGGAGGGACGGGGAGGTGCAGGGAGAGAGGGACGGGGAGGTGCAGGGAGAGAGGGACGGGGAGGGACGGGGAGGTGCAGGAGAGAGGACGGGGAGGTGCAGGAGAGAGGGACGGGGAGGTGCAGGGAGAGAGGGACGGGGAGGTGCAGGGAGAGAGGGACGGGGAGGGTGCAGGGAGAGAGGGACGGGGAGGTGCAGGGAGAGAGGGACGGGGAGGTGCAGGGAGAGAGGGACGGGGAGGCGCAGGGAGAGAGGGACGGGGAGGTGCAGGGAGAGAGGGACGGGGAGGTGCAGGGAGAGAGGGGACGGGGAGGGACGGGGAGGTGCAGGGAGAGAGGGACGGGGAGGTGCAGGGAGGAGAGGGACGGGGAGGGACGGGGAGGTGCAGGGAGAGAGGGACGGGGAGGTGCAGGGAGAGAGGGACGGGGAGGGACGGGGAGGTGCAGGGAGAGAGGGACGGGGAGGTGCAGGGAGAGAGGGACGGGGAGGTGCAGGGAGAGAGGGACGGGGAGGTGCAGGGAGAGAGGGACGGGGAGGTGCAGGGAGAGAGGACGGGGAGGCGCAGGGAGAGAGGGACGGGGAGGTGCAGGGAGAGGGGACGGGGAGGTGCAGGGAGAGAGGGACGGGGAGGGACGGGGAGGTGCAGGGAGAGAGGGACGGGGAGGTGCAGGGAGAGAGGGACGGGAGGGACGGGGGAGGTGCAGGGAGAGAGGGACGGGGAGGTGCAGGGAGAGAGGACGGGGAGGGACGGGGAGGTGCAGGGAGAGAGGGACGGGGAGGTGCAGGGAGAGAGGGACGGGGAGGTGCAGGGAGAGAGGGACGGGGAGGGACGGGGAGGTGCAGGGAGAGAGGGACGGGGAGGTGCAGGGAGAGAGGGACGGGGAGGGACGGGGAGGTGCAGGGAGAGAGGGACGGGGAGGTGCAGGGAGAGAGGGACGGGGAGGGACGGGGAGGTGCAGGGAGAGAGGGACGGGGAGGTGCAGGGAGAGAGGGACGGGGAGGGACGGGGAGGTGCAGGGAGAGAGGGACGGGGAGGTGCAGGGAGAGAGGGACGGGGAGGTGCAGGGAGAGAGGGACGGGGAGGTGCAGGGAGAGAGGGACGGGGAGGTGCAGGGAGAGAGGGAGGAGAGGAAGAAGGGCAGGAGGAGGATCAAACGGCAGCAGCTGCAGGACCGCCGCTGCCATGCGGAGCGCGGAGGAGCGCGAGGAGGAGGAGGAGGCGGGGGCGGGCAGCAGCTCTGCGCGCGCCGCCGCCGCCTCCTCGTCCATGATGCCGGCCGGGCCGAGCCCCTACCAGCCCACCACGGAGCCCGTGCTGCTGCACCGCCGCGGATGGGCGCCCGCCTGCGACCGCGCGTACGTGCGCTCGCCGCCCGGCCTCGTCAAGATCGCGCAGACGGTGCGAGCTGTGGGTGGGGGGGGGGTGGTCTGGGTGGGTTGGTGGTGGGGGAGTCTGGGTGGGTTGGGGGGGGGGGCTGGATGGGGTGGGTGGGGGGATCTGGGTTGGTGGGGGGGTCTGTGTGGGTGGGGGGCTGCAAGAGGTCGAGGGACATGGGGGGGGGTCTATCGGGACAAGGTGCACGCACGCGTAGCGACACGCGCGCACACACTGCACACGCGTGCGTGGTTGATTCCACGTGCGTGTGTGCGTGCACGTCGTTGCATGTTTTCATGTATGTACACATGCACGCATGTTCATATACACGGTGCACACACACACACACACGTGTTGTAGACATTGCACCGCGTATGCGTCCACGCACACTGCAGCCGCGTTTGTAGAAGCGAGCCGCCCGTCACAGTGACAGGTGGCGACGGGAGAGGCGCTCGGTGGCTTCATCGTCGTCACCATCGGCACTAAACACGGCTCCGGCATGTGCCTTGCGAGTCGTCTTCTTCCTCGGTGTTTACCATCAGAAACACCGTGGTGTGTGTGATGGTAACGCCGTGGTGTGTGTGATGGTAACACCGTGGTGTGTGTGATGGTAACACCGTGGTGTGTGATGGTAACACCGTGGTGTGTGTGTGATGGTAACGCCGTGGTGTGTGATGGTAACGCCGTGGTGTGATGGTAACACCGTGGTGTATGTGATGGTAACACCGTGGTGTGTGTGATGGTAACGCCGTGGTGTGTGATGGTAACGCCGTGGTGTGTGTGATGGTAACGCCGTGGTGTGTGTGATGGTAACGCCGTGGTGTGTGTGATGGTAACGCCGTGGTGTATGTGATGGTAACACCGTGGTGTGTGTGATGGTAACACCGTGGTGTGTGTGATGGTAACACCGTGGTGTGTGTGATGGTAACGCCGTGGTGTGTGTGATGGTAACACCGTGGTGTGTGTGATGGTAACGCCGTGGTGTATGTGATGGTAACCCCGTGGTGTGATGGTAACGCCGTGGTGTGTGTGATGGTAACACCGTGGTGTGTGTGATGGTAACGCCGTGGTGTGTGTGATGGTAACGCCGTGGTGTATGTGATGGTAACACCGTGGTGTGTGTGATGGTAACACCGTGGTGTGTGTGATGGTAACGCCGTGGTGTGTGTGATGGTAACGCCGTGGTGTGTGTGATGGTAACGCCGTGGTGTGTGTGATGGTAACGCCGTGGTGTGTGTGATGGTAACACCGTGGTGTGTGTGATGGTAACACCGTGGTGTGTGATGGTAACGCCGTGGTGTGTGTGATGGTAACACCGTGGTGTATGTGATGGTAACCCCGTGGTGTGATGGTAACGCCGTGGTGTTTCTGGTGGTTCCCACTACACTACTCACCTTGGTGTGTGCGTGGACGCACACGTGGTCCAGATGTATTGTGACCCCCCCCCCCCCTCAAAAATGCAAAGCTCGGTTTATTGTGAAACAGGAATGAATATGCAAAGGGTAAAACAACTAACATGTTAGGGGTCGATTAATTGCGGAGTCACGTGGTGTTACCCACTACGCTAATGTCTTACGCGTCTCGCTGCCAGGGACATTCTAACAGGCGCGAGTTCACCTTGTGGAGAGCGACGAGTGTGTGCGAGTGTGTGAGTGTGTGTGCGAGTGTTTGAGTGTGTGAGTGTGTGTGCGAGTGTGTGAGTGAGTGAGTGTGAGTGTGTGCAGTCTCGGAATATCGCCCCCACCTTGACAGGGCGATTGAACTTCGCATTTTGTGAACTTCTCACTCACGTTGAGGGACGTGGGACCACGCACCCACTGATTTGTCACGTCCATACTGTGGTCAAACACAGAGAGCAAGTTCTCCCACCGTGTAGCCTTAACAGACTGTCGGGGCAGTCAGTGGCAATGTTTTAGTGCCTGATCCGGTGTCACTGATGTTGGCCGTGAGCGGGAATCGAACTCGGGACGCCGGGTTCGTAGCACAGACACCCATCAACTCACCAACACACCCATCAACTCATCAACACAGCCATCAACACACCAACACAGCCATCACCTCGCCAACACACGCATGAACTCACCAACACACCCACACACCCATCAACTCACCAACGCACCCATCAACACACCAACACAGCCATCAACACACCCATGAACTCACCAACTCACCCATCAACACACCAACACAGCCATCACCTCGCCAACACACCCCGCTCACCGCACTGAGGGTCACGACAATTATCTCTCTCAGCTTCTTCCCTCGAACCGCTCCACTTGGGAATTCCCTCTTCCCATCGTCGACCTTGTCTGTCTCAAGCTCTCGCTCGCTTCAAGAAATGCGTTCGCTTTTATCTGTCACGACTGCCCATGGTGCTGTTGGTTTGCTGGCCGTTTGACGGTTTTTGTAGTTGTTGCCTTCGTAAGACTTGTTGCTCCTCAGCAGTTGTGTGCAACATCAAAAAGCTCATTCAGATGTTCCGCCTTAAATAGGTCGCATGGCCACTGATGTAGGCTCTACCACCGCATTTGTGTCCGAAAAGTCTGGCGAAAATCGGCAAATCGGCTAAAAAATGCTAAAGTGCAGCCCTGCAATTTCTTGCTCACGCCACTGCCGGCGGAAAGGCTTCCTCTTAGAGGGAGCTCCAGAGAGCCCCGTGGACTCCTCTGCCACACTGGTCAGATGTGTTGGGCCTGCGGGATGTTGACTACCTCGCCTGGTCTACAGGAGGTCGTGGTTTCGATCCCGACCCTGACGATGCCTGCTGTATATTTGGAGTGTATCTCTCCCCGTGGTCGCGTGGTTCTCCGGTTTTTCCCTCCACATTTATAACCAACAACACGCGTTTAGAGTATTCGGCTGCTATAAATGTCCACGTGATGATAAGCCACTTCGTTGAGCTATTATTTGTGTCGCTTTTGAAAAAGATCTACATAGCTCAGTGAGGCTCACGTTTAGTTTAATGTGGTATTCCGTTTGAACTGCTGGGTGGAGAACAGCAGGGGGATATAAGAAACTTAATTTTTTTTCAACTAGCGTGCCAGGAGATATAAACTACTAAGTGCAGTGCGCTCATTGTCACACCATTGCAACATCCTGCAAAATACAGCAACGATGCCCTCAGTTGTTGCAATTTATGTTGCAACATTCTGATCGTTGCCTTCCATCGATACGCGCTACGACTCGTCCCCATGGTTGTGCTCCGCCGGGTCCGTGTTGTTCCCCTGTGGGATCGATGCGTTGAGTGGCAGCGAGCCCTGGACAAACACTCTTCGAGTGCACCCAGCGTGTACCGCAGCCTACGCAGCACAACTCACGTCAGCGCTGTCCAAACAGCACTCGGCGTTCCGTACCCACTCGTTCGGATGACGGCGGCGGCGCGCGTGTGTGTGCGTGTGTGTGTGTGCGTGTGTGCGCATGTGTGTGCGCATGTGTGTGTGCGTGTGTGCGCCTTTGAGTCCAGCACTGCGGAGGCAGCAGCGAGGGTTGGCGGATCACGTGCACGTCGTGAGACTCCGTGCGCGTTGGCGTCGAGGTGGTGCCCATATGCTGGGTTGGCAGGGAGAAGGCGGAACGGCAAACGTGGACTTGCATCTGCATGGGAGGTGGTGGTTTTCCCCGTCGCATGCGTGGACTTTCTCCGGGTGCTCCGGTCTCTTCTCACGCGTAAACACTAATTGACTCGGGCCGATATCACCTTCATATATAGAGGACCGCAGAACTTGGGGAATGTGGCGCCAGCTCACCGCCTGGCCGCCTATCCTGCTTGTCTGTGATCCAGCGCTGTGGGGAGGCAGCAGCGAGGGTTTGTGGATCACACAGACGTTGTGACATTCCATGCGTCTTGGCAGGGACATGCAATGGATTCTGTTAATCTGCATATTCTCAGATGAACATGATCCATTGTAATTTAGATGACTACATTAAGCCCCCTCTGGTCTTCGCTCGCTTCAAGACTGAAACAGGAGGATTTTTCCACACCTCTGGCTGTCGCCTGATGAAGCTGGTTGTAATCGCCAGAGAAACGCCACGATACTCAAGTTGTGAATGTTGTGGGTTCACTCTCCAACACAGCGGTGTGCTGAACTCGTAACTAAAGGGCACTTTTTGTTTGTGACAAACCTCACTAAATGACTGGCGGGTGGTGGTGGTGCGTTAACTAATTGATACTTACGCGATCTAGCCCAAAATATCTTTATGGATAGTATTGGTCGCGAAAGCCTACTTGTTAAACTATCATCAAAGACAAAGATTCCCCGTGTAGCCTTAACAGACTGTCGGGGCAAGTGCTTTTCACGAGCACCTATGAAGGCCGGCACGGCACACGAGAGGGGGTGGGTGGCCAGCGCCACGCCCGACCGCCTTTGTCTCCCCAGTGCCGATGTTTTTACACACCACACTGGGTACTCATTTGAGGCTGAGTCGACCTAGGGGAGGCCCAGGACCGGTTCAAATAATCGTCACCGGTGTAGTCGCTGAGCGGGAATGGGAACTCGGGTCGCCGGGTTCATGGCGCGGTGCACGAACCGCGACTGCTCCCGCTCCCCGAAGAGCAGCGGGTCTCCCAACCTTGTTGGCACCAGGAACGGTTTCGACAATTTTTTCACGGACCTGGGTGTGGGGGGGGGGTTCATCATTGGGTCTTTCCCCCTTTTCAAAGAAGCTCTCCAGCGACGTTTGTGTTTTACTCATGTTGGCTCGTGGGCTCACCAACACTGTAATTGAGCAAGTGCCCGGTGCGGGAAAGAGGCGCGGATGGAAGTGGTGAATAATAAAACAATTGGGGGCGGGGGGCCACGCGCGGACTCACCGCTCTCACCTCCTGCTGCTGCTGCTGCGCGGACCGGTTCCTAACAGGCCACGGGCCGGTACCGGTCCGCAACCCGGGGGTTGGGGACCCCTGCCGTAGAGGATATAGCGACACTCGGAGACACATTGACACTGTAGAGATGTAACGAGGCACCTCCGATTAGTACGGTTGGCCACGTACGTCGCGAAAAAAGCTTAACGTGTGATGGCCGCCGCTTGACGGTGCTGCGATGCTGCTGCCCGTGCGCGTGTCGCGAGCAGTCGCTGGACCTGCTGACGTTCATCGTCGCCAAGAGCGTGCCGGCGTGCTCGCGCTGCGGGGCCCTCTACCTCGTCGAGGCGGTCAGCTTCCTCGCGCTGCTCCTCACCGGCGCCCTGCTGCTGCTCTTCGCGCTCTCTCTGCACCTGCGCCTGCCCAACTTGAACTGGCCGCTGCTGGTGAGCGGCGGGGCACCCCCCCGGATGGGGCGGGGGGGGGGCGCGGTGGTGCAGCCGAGCACGCGGCCTGTAATCTGGAACCGGCGGTTGGTGGATCGCGCGCAGATGTTTTGTTTTGTTTGCGAAACTCCCTTCCCGTGGGTGTCAAGAAGGTGCCCGTACCCCTGGCTCACCAGGAGAGTGAAGTCCGGCAAATGTGGACTCCGCCTGTTCCTTCTGTATGTATGGGAGCCACGGTGGCTAGGAGATGTTAACGACCTCGCCTGGTGTACAGGAGGTCGTGGGTTCCATCCCGACCCTGACGCCTGCTGCTGTATATTTGTAGTTTGTGGTATCTCTCTCATCATCACGGTGGTGAGATGTTAACGACCTCGCCTGGTGTACAGGAGGTCGTGGGTTCCATCCCGACCCTGATGCCTGCCATATATTTGGAGTTTGCGTGTTATCCCCGTGGCCGTGTGGATTTTTGTTCGGGTCCTCCAGTTTTCCCCTCCACATTTAGAATCAACGTGAGATTAGAGTATTTGGCTACTGCTATAAATGTTCACATTATGATAAGTCACTTTGTTAAGCCATCATATGTCATAGCCTGGTCGCTTCTGAAAAAGAGCTACATAGCTCAGTGGGCCTTACCTGGTAGAATACAAATCAATTTACGTTTGTGTCCGTGCGTTTACACGTGTGTCCGTGTTGTGTGCGTATGTGTTTGTGCTTGCCCGCTTCGGTACATGCACACCCATGTGTGTGTGTTTACATGGGAAATGGTATTCTAGTGGCGAACCGAGTTCCATTCCCGCTTACGGCCAATAAGAGTGACGATTAATTATCTGAACCGGTCGTGGGCCCCCCCCCAGGTCGACACAGCCTCAAATGAGTAAATGTGGTGTGTAGTGAACATCGCCACTTGGGAGATGAGGGCAGTGGTGCTGGCCACCCAACCCCCTTGGTGTGCCCTGCCGGCCTTCGTAGGTGCTCCTCACAAACGCCACTTCCCCCCCCCCCCCCCAAGTGTGACTGATTTCTATTTAAAGCTTTCGTGACTGCAGTGATTCATATTCTTGGATCTTTCGGTAAAGTCACGTAGAAGGGAAATAATAAGAGTAGAGGGACTCGCCTTGTTAAGGGGCTCTGCTCCTCCCTCCCAGCTTAAAATACGCTGCCAAGCTTAGCAGTGTTCATTAGGATGCTGTCTTTCCGACAGCTCTGTTCTTTACCTGAGGACGTCTGCTTTTTTTGTATCCGAAACGTCGTGAGAATTTAATGTTTAATTTTTATAATTTTATTATTTCCCTTGTACGTAACTTTACCAAAAAATCCAAGAATATAGTGTGATCGATGGCTGTGTGGGGCATCTTGTCTTTGTCTCGTGCGTGAGCGCAGGACGTGGTGAACACGGCCGTGTGGACGGCGCTGCTCTTCCTGGCGAGCGTGCTGCTGGCGGCACTGGGCGATGGCGGCAGCGGTGCCCACGTGGCGGCCGTGGTACGAGGGGCGGAACGCCGAGTAGAGGGCCTGGCGCGCGGCGCCGGTCCCCAATGCTGACACTTCATCTGTGCCTCGTTCATTCGTTGATTCTCGTGACCATCCAAACCGACTTGCATCATCGATCAGGCGCGCGCGTGATCAGCTACGGCGCCGCGGTGGCTAGGAGATATCAACTCCCTCGCCTGACATGCCGGAGGTCGTGGATTCCATCCCGATCCTGACGCCTGCTGCTGTATATTTGGAGTTTGCGTGTCTCTCTCCCTGTGGTTGCGTAGATTTTTCTCCGGGTCCTCAGGTTTTTCCGTCCGCATTCAGATTTGACATCACGCGATTAGAGTATTTGGGCTGTTGCAAATTTCCACGTGGTCACAAGCCGCTTTGTTGAGCTTTCATTTGTGAAGTCAGGGCGTTTCCGATCAATAGCTACATAGCTCAGTGGGCTTTACCCCGAGCTGACGATGCCGGAGAAAGCGAGCGAGGAGACATCGTCGCCTCTTCGTCGATGGCGCAGCTCGCCTTCTGGGCCCGGTCGAGTTGGCGCGGCTCCCTGGCAGCCATGCTGATCTCTCCCTCGCTCTGTCACTATAGACACGTGCAGCCCTTGCGTTGATCTACTGCTGGATGAGTGAGGGCCTCCACATGCAGATGGCGGTCATGGGAGTTGGTTGGCCATATTTTTGGCCGCGCTGCTCAGTTGCGGGTCGGTGAAGGCGGAACAGCATAGATACGCGCGTGTGAGTACAACAATGGATTTTGCCGAGACAATGCCCAGCACGTAAGCTACAGAAATGCAGCGCTGCATTTAACCGAAGTCCTTCCTTATAGTGGCTGAAGGGCTCATGTGAATGTGTTATACTGTCTACAACTATGGGTCGGAGTTTTTGGCTTTCTATGTATGTCTGTGGGCCTCCTATGGGCCCGAATCTATAGGTCCCTATGCAATTGCTGTATGGGTCTTGTGCGAGTATGTGGCTCCCAACGTGAGTCTATGGATCTCTTTGTCTGTCTATAGGTCTCTGTGCAAGTCTGGCTCCTTACATAAGTCTGAGTCCCCATGCAATGCATTTGACCCCTATGCGAGTCCATGGCCCTTATGTGTTGGCACGATGGCGAGATGTTAACTTCCTCGCCTGGTATACAGGAGGTCGTGGGTTCGATCGAAAACCTAACGCGTGCTGTATATTTGCATATCTCTCTCTTCCCGTGGTGGCGTACATCTTTCTCCGGGTCCTCCGGTTTTTTTGGCTGGTATAAGTTTCCACACCACGAGAAGCCATTTTGTCGCGCGATCATTTGTGGTGGCCAGGTCGCTTCTGACAAGAGAGCTGAAAACAGCTTGGCGGGCCTTAGCCTGGTAACAAGAAATAGTTGACATTCTAAATAGATCTTAGTCGACCGACTGCCTTGCTTACCCCCCCCCCCCCCCCCCCGACAGACGCTGGGCTTTCTGGCGCTGGCTGCCTACGCCCTCAACGTGCTGCTCATCCTGCGGCGGCGGCGACGGCACCGTCACGGTGGCGGCGCAACCGCCCTGGGGGTCGCAGGGGTCACGGCGCCCGGCCAAGAGGCCCCCTCTCTATCCGCGGGTGACTACACGCGGGCGAGGAGCGACTGCGCGGACGACGCGGAGCGGCCGGGCGTCGCACCGTCGGCGTCATCGCAGGACTGGGCCGTCGACGATGAGGAGGTGGCCGTGGCGCCAGTCCCCACTGCACTGAAACTTTAAGATGACCTCGAAAGAATTGGGTGGCGCGGGGTACAACCCACCCCACCTGCCCCACCCCACCCGCCCCCACCCCACCCGTGCCCCCCACCCCATCCCAAAATTCAGAGGGTGTGGCGTGGGATGGTGGCAGCACACCGGAGTATCGCGACGACGAGTATCCTGCCTCAGGGCTGGGTGGGACTCGCCAGAGGGGAAAATAATGTGACGCTTTGTATTTGTTGAGTCACCCTGGTGACGCGTGTTTTGGGTCGTTTCGGGTCCGTGGGGTCGTTTGCTCGGTTTGGCCGGCCGGCCGATACTTCCTGGTGATGCTACTGATGTGGCCGTACAATTTCGCCCCGTTTCCCAGCGATGCCACGAATTGTCGTGATTCAGGGCCACGGTTTAGATTCAGGGTTCTGAATTCAGTACGGACCAATGTCCACGTTTTCTAATGATGTGTCAATTCAACCAATTTGGATCTCTTCTCACGGAGGATGGGAAGTGCGTTTAATTGTGCAAGTAAGAATCGATTATTATTTAAGATTCCTACAAATCGTACGTGAACAAGCACATTTTATATTTAGGCGAATAGGGCGGGGAAAATAGACGACAAACGAGATAGAACGAGAAGAAATAGAAATCGGGCGTTGAGACGGAAAAATGATTGGTTCTTGAATCAAATTGCCACCGTGAAATCGTGACAAATCGTAAACATCGCTGTGCGTTTTGGAATCGTTTGAATCCGACTGTGAACAAGATAAGAGCTTTCTCTGTGGCTTTTATTTTTTTATTTTAAATCGTTTTAATCACTGCGGGGTCATATGTTTCAACAAGAGCATTGTCCATGGAGTGAATTCGTGAGAAGAGAGGAATAAGGGAATGAGGATGTGACTTGGGGTTAGGGATAGAGTTGAGAAGATGCGCGATGCCGCATTGGTCAATACCAATTCACCTGCACGACACACGCATTGGGGAATGACGTGCTCCGATTCACACACACGCAGCAGCAGCAGTGCTCAAAGAACAAGGCGACCCGAGTTGGATTCCTGCCCACTGCTGACATCAGCGGGAAGATTGATATTTAAACGAAGCCCTTGGGTCTCCCCTCCTTCACCAACACGTACTGATCGGCATGGTGAAGTGTGGTCAAAACAACCCCAGGGTGGTCATCCTTGCAGATGAGACTATCCCTGGTCTCTGGAGTTCGCGCGCCTGCTCAAAATACTTTTAATAAAACCCCTCAAACCGGCACTGTCTGGGGATGGCTTCACCCAGCAGTGGCGGTTGACAGAGGCCCGGTAAACAAATTAAAACATTACAAATGCCACATGCAGTGCGTCCATGTGACCACTTGAGCCGTTAAGTTGACCAGAGTGTCGTTAAACAGAAACACAACAAACGGCCCGTAGTGGATTCTGCAATTGGATCGCAAACTCGACTCGCGACAATTGTTCAAACTGTTTCACCTCTTATTGACGTGGGAAAATGGTGGCGTGCGCGTGGCAGCGATGACCTCAAGTGCACTGCTGAAAAGTCGCAGCCCCCCCCCCCCCAACCAGGCACCTGACCCGCCGCGTCGCCACCGCCACCAATGTTTTACATTGTCACGGGGAATTATTTTCTCCGTTGTTTTGCATTGTCGTGTGGAATTTTTCCTCCGGGTCGTCCCCTTGGGGTTTTTTTTTTACCATCCGCGTTTAGAAATGGGCGTGCGTTTCGATTACTTAGCAACTGCTGCTATATATTGCCACTTAATGATAAGTCACTAAGTTGAGCTATCATTTGTGATGGCCACGTCGCTTGTGACAAAAGAAGCTTCGGTGGGCTTCAGGCGGTGGTCAAATAATAATTGTTTCTAGTTTATTTAAACATGTGGCGGACAGGCGTAAATCCTCGGGTAGACGGTGCCATCTCATCCGGAGTTAGTTTCATGACGACTGCGCAAAGAGGCCTCGCGCGGCTGTGATTCTGTTGTGGGCGAGTCGACAGCAGTGGTGGTCCTTTTGGATACTCGGGCCCCACCAAAAGACGCGGAATTTCCATCACCTACTCAGGGCTGCACGCAGAAGATGAGCACCACCTCATTTGAGCAGGAGGCCAAGTACCCAAAAGCACCATCTGGTGTCTCATTTGGTGTCTTCCCCCGACCGCCGTCTCGCGTCAGTGGCGTTGGTGACTCGCTCACCAGGTGAGGGACCGCTCACCTGGTGAGGCACCGCTCACCTGGTGAGGCACCGCACGCCCTCGCTGCCTCTCGCTGCCCCCCACCCTCGGGGAGCGGTGGCGCAGCGGTTAGCGGCTGCGCTATGAACGCGGCGATCTGAGTTTCGATTCCCTATCGCGACCAATGACGGTGGCGAATGTTTGAGCCCTGGGGGGGGGCTCCCTTAGGTCATCTCGGGGGGGGGGGCTCCCTTAGGTGACCTCAGCATTGCAGGAGCTGTTGCAGTGCCTAACTCATCAGCGCTGGAGATGCAAAAGCGGCCGGGCCGTGGTATTTTCCCCCCGCTCCCCTCGTGTGCCATACCGACGGCCTTCGTAGGTGCTACTCGCTAACAGCACTTGCCCTCAACATTCTGTTAAAGGCTATACAGGAGTCTTTGTGTAAATATGTAAGTGCTGCTGTTACATTCTTGTTATGTGACTGTTACACTATTACGTGAGTGTCACACTCCGTTACGCGAGTGCTGCTGTTCCACTATTCGCACTGTGACCACTTAAACTGACAAACGAACAAAACGTGAAAATGGAATGCGGCAAAGCGCGGAGATCAGATCAGGGGTTAGGGTGAGTGTTGGTGAGCAGGCCAAGTCCTCGTTAGTCAGTATTGGTTGTCGTCAGTGGAGACTTGGTGAGGGGTAACGTTGGTTTGGGTCAGGGTGCACCTCCTCCCCGTTACAAAGAGCGGCCGTTAACATTTTGCCACAGTGGACGAGATGTTAACTACCTCGCCTGGTATGCAGGAGGTCGTGGGTTCGATCCCAACCCTGACGCCCGCTGCTGTATATTTGGAGTTTGCCGTGTCTCTCTCGCTGTGGTCGTGTGAATTTTTATCCGGGTCCTCCGGTTTTTCGCTCCACATTTAGAAACACGCCTCTAGAGGAGGGGTCGGTAAACTAAATAACAAGGAGGCAAAAAAAATTTGATTTTAGTACAAAACTGAATATTGTGAGATCCACAATGCAATGTGAATGCATGTGCATCACGTCACGAAGCAGTCTGCGAAGAGAGGGGCAGGTTGTCGATCCCTGGTTTAGAGTATTTCGCTGCTATACATTCCCACACGATAAGCCACTTCGTTGAGCTGTCATTTGCGACCAGGTCGCTTGTGAAAAAGAACCACGTCGTTCAGTGGACCTTACCTGGTAAAATACACATAGTTGTTTTTGTTTAGTTTTGCTTCTGGTGGATTTTCGTTTGCGCTCACACCACTGGTGGTTCGATCACCGCGGCCCAACTTCAGTTGGTAGCGAGGTCAAATCACGGCGGCATCTCCTACTTGGCCCTACATCCTCTTGGGGGGGTTGACCAATGAGGCACCACGTGGTGGCATTTCCACCTCGAGGCTCAAAACTGAGTAGGAGCCGAGCGTCGGCGCCCCCACCAAGTGTGAGAGCACCACCCACTGGGCATTGTTAATTGTCGTTGCGCTGGATAAATGTGTGCACACGTCCGTCAAGTGTGCCCTCGAAATCGCCTACATGGATACGTACGCACGTTGAACTTTTAAACACAGTTCTAAAGAAATGCGTTTTTGAATTCGATTCATGCTATGCCCTGCGTGTATATAATGGCGAGTTTAGGGTGGCCTCTTGGAAATAATGTGAAATATTTCAAATGGCAGGAAACGTCACGTGCCATGCATTACCAGTTCGTTCTGTACCAGTGCACAGAAACCACCAGAGCATTGGATTGTACGTACGTACATGGAACTTCTTTCGCACCGTACGTAGCCAAGCCTGCTAATCGGAGGTGCGGTGGGGAAGGACAACACACTAAACGCAAACAAGCAGTTCTCAAGAAAATATTTGGTGTGCTGCCGTATTGACTCGTTATTTTCACTGCTTCCAGTGGCGTTTTTGCACCTTTCTTTTCCACTGCTTTAAAAAAAACACTCACAATATAAAAAAGTAGGATTGTGAATGCGCTAAATTTGTCCACCTTTGAATTAACAAGGTTTTAAGGAAACCGTTATACCGGGGCCACCCCACAACCTGAATGATCACTGTATTTCGAGGACACTGCGTGCGTGCGCGCTAGCCAGCCACACACACTTGTACGCGTGTGCGTGAGCCAGGCAGCAACACACGTACACACTCGTGTGTGTGCTAGCCAGCCACACGCACACTCGTACGTATGTGCACTCACGGGGTGTGCATGTCGTAAGCAGGGCTCTGATTCCCAATCCCAGTGGGGGGCCTTGAACTTTGATCTTTGGTCTGTATTGTTGTTACAAACGTTGACCGTCGCGAACTCGTGTGCATGAACTACTGTTTAACACTCAGTCGGCTTTCGCGACCATTATGATCCATAATTGAGGTGTTTTTGGGTTAGATCGCATACACACTCACATTTTAAATACGGTGGGTTTACTCTCCAACACACAACCGGTGTGCTGAACTAGCAACTAACTGGAAAGTTTTGTTTAAGTGACAAACCTTGGTAATTGGCTGCGTCAGGTGGTGGCGGGTTTTCCGACATTCATATTTATGCGACCTATCCCCTCTCCCCCCAAAAAAAATAACTTCTGTTGTAGATGAACTTCTGTGTCGGCAGTGGCAAGCCCCCCAGCGGGGTTGCTGCATCGAGCCAGCAAGGGCGTTGTTCTCCTTAGGGGGAGTAAACAGTCAAACTTGATCACTCACAATCTATTTTTACCATCACCCACTGCTGGCTTCATTGGACCACATTTTAAAATGCACTTTTGTTCGCTTTTTTTTCTTTGTTGTTTGTAAATATAGTTTGTGGATCTCCCCCACAGATGACCGCACGGGTGAACTTAACAATTTACTTCTCTCATCCACTCAATCCACCTGCTTTACACAAGGCCTGGGTTCTGGGCGGGTAATTTGGTGTTGCTGCACAAGCGCACGTATTAAATAGCTCAACAAGTTCACCAATAAAGATGGGATTTCCTAGGCGAGTGACTTTTTATAGGTTTTCAAGTGATTCCAGGGCGCTCCTCTCCTATCCACATACTTGATCACACAGGTGTGGACACACACAATCCACACCTTGCACACCTGCTAGGAATTGTACAGACGTGTCCACACACATTCTCCACCATCTGGGGAGTGTGTCGGGAAATATGCTAAGCTGCGCCGAGTGACCGAGCGGACGTGAAACCGCCGAGTCCAGTGATTGTTGGTATCAGTGTTAGTGTGTTGGTATCCGTGCTAGTGTGGGTATCGGTGTTAGTGTGTTGGTATCAGCGCTAGTATTGGTGTCAGTGCTAGTGTGTTGGAGTTTTGGCAATGATTTGCACAGGAGTGCCTTACTGTTATGTCGACTGCTGAGTTGTGTAAGGTGTGTGGCTACCTTTGTCCATGTGTATACATGTGTGTGTGTCGGTATGTATGTATATGTCCGTGCTTATATGCGTGCATGAGTGTGTGCGAGTGCGCACATGTGAAGTTTGTGTCTATTGTATGTGTTGTGTCTGTGTGTGAGTATACAGGGTGTTTCACAAAGATGGACCTGATTTGAAATCGCTATATCTCTGCAACCACGAACCGCCCATGAATTAAACTCTTACCACTTGAGAGGGCGGGGCATAGAGAGGGTGGGGCATAGAGTTTCAAATGATTACCGCGAGATGCCTCTTCCAGTGCACAAACAGCCCCTAGCCTCAGTCATTCGCGAGATGGTGACCCCCACAACACAAGGGGCGTTTTTCATTCTGCAGTTCGGCAAGACTGAATCCGTAATTGCAGTGCAGAGCGCGTTTTAATGGCGTTTTGGCATTGATCCGCCAATGTCAAAGAGCATTCTTCGTTGGAGCCGACAATTTGAGGAAACAGGCCGTTGATGTAAGGGGAAGAGCGCAGGGCGACCACGCACCTCAGCGGAAAACGTGAGAAGAGAGGCGTTTGTGACGAATTCAACTATCGTCTCGATGTTGTCCGTACAGCAAGTGGAGGGCACATCGAGCATTTATAAAATGGTTAGGAAAACTTGATAACTCATTAAACCGTTTGTAACATTTTGTGTAATTGTAACATGTTGCCATCGTGAAATATACTGCTTTGAAATTGGGTTCATCTTTTTAAAACACACTATATACAACTGCCAAACAACAGGGGATGTCTTAAAACAATGGAGGGTGTGGGAGCGTGACAGTGTGGGAAGATGAGTCACAGGCTACTGTGGTCCCACATTCCCATCAGCAGAAGGCGAGGAGGAATGGTGGTTGTGGTGGCTTACAACACCACCGAAGATGCACATCAATGAAGGGATGCAGACAAGGCTGATGATTCAGATGCCTTCTATGACCTGTCCCAGGTGCTGGCTAGAGTGGCTCCTCGGGATAGTCATCCTGTTGGGTGACTTCAGTGTCCGAGTGGGTCACGAGGCAGGCCCTTACACTGGAGTGGTTGGAAGGCACAGGACAGATCAGCTCAATAAGAATGGTGGGAGGCTGCTGCTCTTTTCCGCTCGCCATGGGTTTGTGAGCACCAACTCGCCGTTACACTCTTGGCCCATCCACACAACATGGATGCACGCCAGGCCAAAGCAAGAACATCCGCGTTGTGACGAGACAGCGGATGGCTGTCCACTACTGCCTGTGGAGACCGTGTGGCCTGGTGGCTCGCTGGTCGAGATAGCGGCTCGCAATTGGGAAGGTCGAGGGGTTCGACTCCTGTTTAGGGGGGCGGTGACTCGGCTGTACGTAAACATCAGCGTTGGGGAGACAGATGGCCGGGCGTGGTGCTAGCCACTCACCCTGTCATGTGCCGTGCCGGGCTTCGTAGGTGCCACTCTCTAACAGCACTTGCCTCAACCGGCTGTTCAAGTCGAGACGGGGGATCTCTGTCGATGTGTGTATATGCATATGTGTCTCTGTATTTATGTGTATGTTTCCGTGTGTATGTGTGTGTACACTGATGGCTATGTGCATACATTTACGTGTACAGTATATGTATGTGTGTGTACGTGTCTGGGTTTTTATGATTTTACACTGGAAGCGTGCATTGTGTCCGGGGCGGTTGACATCCACTCCTGCTCCTCATTAAAGAACACACTCCTCACACACTGCTGCTGCTGGATTCTGCTGGGTGATTGTGTTGGTGGACTGTGCTCGAGTGGGATGAGTCCTGCGGTGGACAATTCTGATTGACCCTGCCGCTGGTTGACATTGCTGGTGGACTCGACTGGTGGACCCCTCGTGGGTGACTGCTGCTGGGTTTTCCCAGTTGATGTGTCATGCAAGACTGCTGGTCGACCAGTGGTGGACACTTATGGTAGGCCTCCACTGGTGAACTATGCTAGGAATTGTACAGGTCTGTCCACACACAATCCACACCTGCTGGGAATTGTACAGGCGTGTTCACGCACAATCCACACCTGCTGGGAATTGTACAGGCGTGTTCACGCACAATCCACACCTGCTGGGAATTGTACAGGCGTGTTCACGCACAATCCACACCTGCTGGGAATTGTACAGGTGTGTTTACACACAATCCACACCTGCTGGGAATTGTACAGGTGTGTTCACAATCCACACCTGCTGGGAATTGTACAGGTGTGTTCACACACACACCTTGGACACCTGCTAGGATGTACAGGTGTGTTTACACACCTTGGACACCTGCTAGGAAGACGAGGCTGTTCGGGGACTCCACTGTTGGAGACTGATGGTCGACCAGTCGTGGACAATTTTGGTAGCCTCTACTGGTGAACTCTGCTGAGAGATGATCGTGTCGGTGAACACTGCTTAAACAACTCGTGCAGGGCACTTGCGGGAAACAATTGGCCGCTCAATGCTGCCCAACTTTGCGCTGTTGTTCGATGTTGTGCTCTGCACTTAAAGCAGAAATACTCCTGCAAGTACATAGCGCTTGTTTGCATGCTTGGTGGATTGTTAAGGAGAATGTGCACAGTCTTGTGGGAGCTCGGGATAAAGCAGGATTGAGTCTGAACAGTGGCTTGGATGGGTGCAAGTCGATTGGTTTCTGTAAATCTATTGGGCTCTGTCAGTCTTCGGGTTTCTATGCGAGTCAATGGGTCTATATGCAAGTCTATGGGTCTCTTGATTCTATAGGTCTCTATGTGAGTCTGTGGATCTCTATGGGTTGGTGGCAGCTCTGTGCCACGATTGCCCCTGCCCTCCTATGGATCTCCCTCCCCAGACACCGCCACCTCTGGCATCTGAGATTGCAAGTCTCTACTCAAAACGTTCCCCTGCCACATCGTGCTGTTGCACACCGCTTCTGTTCTCCTCCCGGCCTGTGTGCACGCGTATGTTCAATGGCAGGCAAGTCCGGTGGCTCTGGGCTCGGGGAGCTGAGCAGGCACCGCTGAGACCTTGGGTTCAGATCCAGGCTGCTACCCACGGTTAATGCGGGTTATCAAGCATTCGCGAGTTGATCGTCTCAGCCGGCTCACCAGTTGACTAATAGAACACCCAGAGACTCACACGGAGACCCGTACACTCACATAGAGACCCATAAACTTATACAGAGACCATTAGACTCGCATAGAGACATATAGACTTGTATAGAGACCCATAGACTCACACAGAGACCCAAGCTGAGTTGTGATTAAAAGGGGTTCTCAGCTGTAGCGATTTGATCGTCTCAGCCCATTCATCACTTACGTAAGGAAACGAAACCCTCGTATTAGGGTTGGTCATGCTCTTAATTTGGCTGCATTGCAGCTCTTGAGAAGATAATACGATCAGTGACATGTGCTTTGAAGAACGGCCACTGACCGAAACGTCGCCTGTGTTTACTTTTTTTAAGGCAGCGTTATTGACGAGCTTGGTGAGTGGTTGTGTTGATGGTGGTTGTGTTGATTGTGCGTGTATTGATTGTGGTTGTGTTGATTGTGCTTGTGTTGATGGTGGTTGTTGTGTTGATGGTGGTTGTGTTGATGGTGGTTGTGTTGACGGTGGTTGTGTTGACGGTGGTTGTGTTGACGGTGCTTGTGCTGATGGTGGTTGTGTTGATTGTGGTTGTGTTGATGGTGGTTGTGTTGATGGTGGTTGTGTTGATGGTGGTTGTGTTGATGGTGGTTGTGTTGATTGTGCACCAATACATTTGCTTAAATATATCAGTTTGACTGCCACGTCATGAACATCACTCTCGGCTTCCGGGTGAGTGGGACCTCACCTTGCTGCACCTTGAGGTCACGTGAAGGGATCTCAGAGGTAGTTCTCTGATGTCCACTTCCACGAGCCGTTTGCTCGAGCACAGAGGGGTTGCACTGCCGCGCGAGAGATCGGAATGGGTTTGTCGTCTTGCGATGCCGATACAGTTTGGGGGCGGGGAGAAAAAAAATCCTCTCTAACATGACAAGACAATATGACATCCAGTTGAAGTGACCTCCTTTACAGACGAAAGAGGCAGACGGATGGACAGACGATTGGGGAAAAGGGACAGGCAAATTGGAACTCAGCGGACGATGCTGAGAGCACGGGGGCGGGGGCAGCTCAGCGGTTTGCGCACTGCAATCAGATCGCAGAGATTTTACTCCATGTGTGCTCAAACTACGTCCATGACCGGAAAGACATTTAAAATATTCATAGTGCAGGAGGAATCCGATGAGCTACAAAGCTTTGTTTCCACAGATGTCCACGAGGGGCACAGGGTCAGAACGTTACAACAACTAGAACACGATAGGAGTGAAAAGTAGAGGAATGGTCAACAAATCACTAATAATAAAACTCCAATTTTATTTGAGCAGGTATTTTTCAGACGTGATCTAGCCACACATGGCAGCTCAACTCAGTGGCTTATCACGTGGACATTTATAGCAGCAGCCAAATGTAATCCATCCGGCAGTGGATTGACAAGAGTGCTGAAGATCGACAACGGTGGGACATCTGTGTCCGTGATCTTACTCGGAACGTGCGGCGCATGGCAAGGGGTGCCGTTAGCCCGTGAAATCGCGCAAATTCCCGACTAGATGCAAATGCAAATAAACACTTGTGTGCTCCACGAGAGAATGCACAACACAAGGGCAGCTTTGTTTTGTGACATTGCGAAATAGTGAGGTCATGCGTCCTGTCGAGCCAAAGGGGTGAACTGGCCCAGCAGGCGGTGTTACTGGTCGTTGTGCCCAAGCTATAATCATAATCAGTCTTTGTCCATGTGCACAACACAGCAGTGGCACTGCTGGTCGTTGTGGCACTCACTGCCTGCAAGCAAATGCTTCCCATTAATGACCAGTGGACTCCGAATTCCCTTGTACTATTTAGATATCCTGAGTGTGTGTCATGGCCACTACTGATATCCCTGGATGAATTTCACTGCAGAAATGTAAATTATTACTGTTCGACTAAAAATAAACGAAAAGTTTTATTTTATACATGTTTGTGGAACTTTTTTCGCACCATACGTAGCCAACCATGCTAATTGGAGGTTACCAGGTAAGGCCAGCTGAGCTATGTAGTTCATTTTCAGAAGCGACCTGGCCACAAATGATAGCCCAACGAAGTGGCTTATCGTCACGTGGACATTTATAGCAGCCAAATACTCTGAACGAATCGTGTTGATTCTACATGTCGGGCGCAAAACCGGAGGATAAGCATCCACGTGACCACGTGGAGAGAGACACGCACACTCCAAATATACAGCATGCGTCAGGGTCGGGATTAAACGTACGACCTCCTACGTACCAACCAAGGTAATTAACATCTCCCAGCCACCGTGGTGCCCCTGTTGTTTGGACCAAGAGCGAATCTGCTCAGCAGCAGCAATCGCTGCCTTCAGAGGCATCGTGGGGTTGAACTTTGGACGAGGAGAGCCAAAGGTGTTGGCTTCCAGTCGGGACCTGGACCCCCCCCCCCCCCCCCCCCCCCCCCCCCCCCCCCCCAATGAATTGTAATATTTATATTTTAAATGTGGACACATATGGAGAGATTCTCTAAGTGAAGTACAGTCGTCGAAATGAATAAATCACTTAAATAAACTATGGAGAGTCCTGGATTTGAACCACTCAACCAGCTGCCGCACAGCCGCTTGTCCCACTGAGCCACGGATGTGGTTCGTCACCCACGTGGCCCTGGCGGAGCTCCGAGTGACAGACTCCAACATGGGATAGCAAAGGAAAGACACACTCCAACACAACCACATCGTTGGAGGAACCTGGATTTGAACCCAGGCTTCACTATATTTAGGTGTTTATACCTCGTGACCGAATTAGCTGCAGAGCAGCAGCGACTAATACGGCGGGGAGGAATAAACACCGTGAGCTCTGATGCCACCCTCGGAGCTAGCAGCGTGTAGGGTGAGGAACTCTTATAAACTCCCGCTGGCAACACTGACATTGCATTAGTTCCAGCTGGTCTAGACGAAGGAACACTTTGATAAGTAAATACAGTAGTGTGGAGAACGCAGATTGGAACCCACGGCCTCATGGGTCGCAGCGTTGGCACCGATCCCGCAGAGCCACAGAGGAGCGACGCTCCGTGGAGTCTCTCCCTGTATGGGCAACATTGGAAGAGATTGCTATGGAGCAGTGGCGTAACTCGCTTTGTGGGGGGCACATAATCTCCATTGAAAACTCGTTTTTTGTGTGTTTAGTTTGATGTCCTTCCCCCGCACCTCCGATTAGCACAGGTGGCTACGTACGGTGAGAAATAAGTTCTACTTACATCCAGGAGGGTTCAAGGCTGGGTTTTGGGTTGGAGTCAGGGCACATGACCGCCACAGTTCAGTCCTCATGAAGCACAATCGATGTTGGCTCCCCTCTCGTTCTGCTGGGTGGAGCCATCCGTGAGAATTTGCAGAACACAAAGACAAAGAATCCTTAAACACTGTTAGGGCAAGTGCTGTCAGCGAGCACCCATTAAGGGCGGCACGGCAGGGTGGGTGGCCAGCACCACGCCCGGCCGCCTTTGTCTCCCCAGTGGCGATGTTTTCAAACTGCACCAGGTACTCATTTGAGGCTGAGTCAACCCAGAGAAGGCCAAGGACCGATTCAGAAAATCGTCACTGGTGGTGGCCGTGAGCGGGAATCGAACCTGGGTCGCCGGGTTCGTAGCACAGTGCGCTAACCACTACACTATCGTTCTCCTCCAGATAAACAAAGACATGCACACACAGATGCATTCCACACACACACACAGATGCACTCCACACAGAGACTTTCCACGCACACAGAGGCACACTACATACACACACAGGCACACTCCACACACACACTATCACTCTCGCTCTCTCGCACCGCCAGTAAACAATCTGCGCAGCACAGACGAAACCGGAGACTAGTCTCAAAGTTCAGCCGCTCTCTCTCCAGATTCCCTCCAGCGTTGGAGCGCTGAGCAGCGTGACAACAGCGACCACAGACAGAGAGAGAGAAAGCTAGCAGTGGAGAGCTGCGGAGATAGAGTGGTTGTGACCATGCTGTCCAGCCTACTGTGCGTGGCCGTCTCCACCGTCGTGCTTGCATCGCTGCTCGGGGCCCTGCTGGTGCGGACCCCCCCCGAGTCGGGAGCCCTGCATCGCGTCAAGGCGACGATCGCACTCGCCGCGTGCGCTCTCGTGCGCGCCGCGGCGTGGGGTCGCGGGAACCCCAGCGAGTCAGGGGCGCCGAGGGGGTCCAAGGGGAGAGGGGAGAAGAGACGGCGACAGGAGGAGCGGGAGAGATGGAATGTGGAGGAGGATGGAGAGCGATGGGATGAGGAGGACGAGGAGGAGGAGATGCAGAGCACGGGAGATGCGACTGCGAGGGATGAGGTGCGTGTATCCATTCACTCGTCATATCACCAAAAGCATGTCATCATAAACATCATTAGCGAGCAGAGGCATCACCATTATCATCATCATAAACTAAAAATACTTTTTTTTATTTTAGCAGGTAAGGCCCACTGAGCTATGTAGCTCTTTTTCGGAAGCGATCCGGCAATCACAAATGATAGCTCAATGAAGTAGCTTATCGCGTGGAAATGTATAGCAGCAGCCAAATGCTATAAATGCGTGATGTTGATTCTAAATGTGGAGAGAAAATCGGGGAGAGAGACATGCAAACTCCGGGATCGAACCAACGACCTCCTGTATACCAGGCGAGGTAGTTAACATCTCCTAGCCACCGTGGCGCCCTATCATCATCAACAAGGGCATCTGCATGAGGAACAGTAACAGCAGATATGAGAATGGCGACATTCGGAACAGATACAGATGAGATAGATTAATGAATCGAAATCTTTGCCGTCGCTGCTATGACTTTGACAGTGGTGCACAAGCAAAGTTAATATAAAATTAAATGTAACACATTCATCAACAACATTGTGTGTGTGGCCTTCAAAGGAACGACATAGAACAGGCGACGTTTTGGGCAATGGCCATTCATATCACGTAAATCAGAATTGAATTATAATAGTTGTTTTGTTAATTGGTTTATGTTAAAATTAAGATCTGATGAGCTGATAATTGTTGCAACGCTATTTTGTTCGTAAATCTCTGCCCCCTTTCGCTGCTTGGGTGCCCTTAGAATAAATCTCAGTTTGCTTATACCCCAGCCGCCACCACTGCTCATGATCATCGTTGAGAAAACAAAAAAAAATACACGGACACTTTTTTTACTACTGCGGTCACTAATCTCGTTAACAAAATTCAGAAAGTCTCTGACACGGTCAGAGCTAAGGCATGACATCTGAAGCAGCAGCAGCATTTGAACATTACAATACAATTACTAAACTATTAAGATTAAACAATGTTTATTTTACCAGGTCAGGCCCACTGAGCTGTAAAGCTCTTTTTCAGAAGCGACCTGGCCACAAATGATAGCCCAATCAAGTGGCTTATCATGTGGCAATTTATAGAAGCCAAATACTCTAAAAGCATGTTCTAATGTGGAGGAGAAAACCCGAGGACCAGGAGAAAAATCCACGCAACCACGGGGAGAGACATGCAAACTCCTAAATTCCAGCAGGCGTTAGGGTTAGGATCAAATCCACGACCTCCTGCATACCAGGCGAGGTAGTTAACATCTCTCGCCAGCGCGATATGTTAACTGTTACTAACAGCAACACGATAACCCTCAAGAACTATGAACACATCACCCAGACTTGGAATGCGCCCGATCTGGTCGGACCTCGAAAGCCAAGCAGATGTGAGCTTGCACCAAGCCTGGATGGGTGCCCACTATGCACAAACAGGTTGCCTGTCATAGGGCGGCCCGGTCGACGTTGTGGTTCTACGTAGTTGTACTATACATCTATGCTGCCTGCCTTTACCAATCTGTACTGACCAGCCGGGGAGAAGTATGGTAACAATGGCCTCCACAACCAGTATGGCAGTTTGGAGGCCCTCATCCAGCTGTGGATCGACAGAATGTCTCTATGCTCCTTGCGGGCATTGTGCGCCGCTCATCTCCACCAGTGGAAATTCCACATTCCCATGGCAGGGACCATCTTTAACAACCACTGACGACTTCGCACAACCTATTTTATGGCCCTGTAGAGATGAGAATGATGGTTTGCCTGTGCCAACCCTTGACCCGAAAATAAATTAAAGCATGTGCATTTATTACTCCAGTTACCCAGCAATGTCAGTGTGACGCGCGTGACGTCACTCCACGTCGACCAGCCCCCCTAATTAATAATCATGAACAGGTTACGTCCTCCACATGGACCCACCCCTCATTAATAATAATTAGCGGGTGACGTCACTCCACGGGGGGGGGGGCGAGGCGCCTCCTCCCCCCTCCTCGGCGTCAACTCACAACCCTCACGACAAAGGCAGAACCCTCACGTCACGCGATCTCCGTCTCGCTGTTGTTGAGACATCAAAGTAAAAAGGACGTCACGATGAATAAGGGATTATAACCTTCACATTAAATGTCTGTGTCACCGTGACCTTACTAACTGCACGCGAACGGATGCAAAGAACATCACGTTGCACTCTGCTTTTCGCTTGCAAGTTTCAGACTGAATGCAATACGCCCGTTCTTGGACAGGCTCTAGGCTAGTTGCTATATAACAGTGTACGGAATTAAAGGTTGTTAGCACGCAGCACGGCTATTACAATGAGCATAACGATCACCCAAATTGCTAATTCGTGAAATGACATTTAGAAGAACAGGATTCGTATAACGCGTTAAATTGTCGTATTTGCGACCATTAAGTACTGCACTGTGTGAAATAGGGCTAGACACACAAGACTGCAATGCCGTAACAACGCGCGCATATGCACAAGCTTCCAACGTGCACAGATTTAGCACTTTAATATAAAGCACTGATATCAACAATAATAATTAGCACATTTATTTAGGCGATTAAAATAGCGAGAGCATTGTGGAATGTGATGCAAACTCATGATCACGATTCTCACCTGCTCGCGTAGCTTCCGCATAACCACGTTGCCCTCGATGCGTCGGAAGTAACGAAACAAAGCAAACGATAACACAATGTATTAGCATTATACCTATGTCATTAGTCTAGTATCAGCAGCAATGTTCGTAATGGTTATTATTGTATTCTTAGGTTTTTTCGGTAAAGTCACCGTGTAGGTAGAACATCAAAATTAATAAAAATAAAATAAAACAAAAATCACGACGTTTCGGAGGCAACACAAGTCTCCGTCATCAGGTGGGACCGTCACAGCCGGATTAGCTGCATCAAGTGAGGCAATGATTCAAGATGTAATCCCTTAACAAGCAAGTTGAAGTTGAGTTGCTTGTTAAGGGATTACATCTTAAATCATTGCCTCACTTGATGCGGCTAATCCGGCTGTGACGGTCCCGTGATTTTTGTTTTATTTTATTTTTATTAATTTTGATGTTTTACCTACGTGACTTTACCGAAAAAACCTAAGAATATGAATCCTTGCAGTCACGAAAGCTTCAAGTCTAGAAGTGATTATTGTAGTTGTCGCGAACAAAGTGGGGATCACAGTGGCTGCTTCGGCGCCATGTCGAGCGGCGATATGAGCGCGCTTCTCATTGGTCAGAGGCTCCCCAACAACAGCCGCTCTGATTGGACGAGACGTTCCCCTTTCGTATCTGGGCGCGACCATTAGAGATTTAAAATAGGGGGGAGGGTGGAGGGCGGAATGTGTGAGTCGTAATTACAGAAATTAAGTTTTAAAAGAACACGAAATTAAGTTTTAAAATAAAACGAAGAGGATCAGGATTAGCGGGACCTGGACCGGTGCTTTAAATGTCAGCTCGTTAGGCTGCGTAGATCCGTAGATGTTAAGCGTCAAAGATTTGAAATTATATGAACAGACAACAGGGCAAGTTCAATGAAAGTGTAAAATAATAATGAAAGTGTGTAATAATAAAAGTGTGTTATTGGTTCTTCTGAAGAAGACCGCTTTTGTTGCAATCGAAACGTCGTGGGTTTTTTTGCTTTTAATTTAGATTTTAGTTTTCTATCTACGTGACTTTGCCGAAAGAACCAAGAATATGAATTCCTGCAGTCACGAAAGTTTTAAGTCTAAAAATAATAAAAGTGTGTAATAATAAAAGTGTGTAAGAATAATGATAAAAGTGTGTAATAATAAGAGTGCGTACGAATAATGAAAGTGTGTAATAATAAAAGTGTGTAAGAATAATAATAAAAGTGTGTAAGAATAAAAGTGCGTACGAATAATGAAAGTGTGTAATACTAAAGGTGCGCATAAAAGTGTGTAAGAATGAAAGTGTGTAACATTACAAGTGTGTAATGATAAATAAATAAATAAATCGCCAGATCGGCTCCCCAATGGACGGATCGATGTCCCCGTGGGTCAAGGTCCCAGGTCCCCGCGATAAGCGATGGCGATTAGATTGGTGACGCGTCCGCTCACAGCCGGAGTGTGGGGACTTCACCTCGACTGCAGCCTTGCACCCCTTTGGTTGTCAGTCGTTTAAAAAAATATATAGAATGTCAATAAACACATTGGGGTTTGATAAAACAAAAGTACTTACGTGCCCGTTCTTAATTTGTTTTGATGATTTAGCGTCTAAAAAATTAATCTGACCGCGTCTCACACCCCCAGAAAGGGCATGTCGCACCTCCAGAGCCGGATGATCCCATTAGCAAAGTAGCTACTACACGTGTAGTAGCTACTACACGTGTAGTAGCTACATATGTGGTAGCTGCTACATGTGTAGTAGCTACTACACCTGTAGTAGCTACTACACATGTAGTAGCTACATATAGTAGCTGCTATACGTGTAGTAGCTACTACACGTGTAGTAGCTACTACACGTGTAGTAGCTACTACATATGTAGTAGCTACATATGTGGTAGCTACTACATGTGTAGTAGCTAATACACATGTAGCTACTACACATGGAAGTACAAGGACCGCATGAGCAAAGACGTACGCAAGAAGAAGAAAAAGAAATCGAAGAGAAAGTGCGTCCTCATGTAAATTTAATTTAGCTACTACATATGTAGTAGTAGCTACATGTGTAGTAGCTACATGTGTAGTAGCTACTACACGTGTAGTAGCTACTACACGTGTAGTAGCTGCACGTGTAGTAGCTACATGTGTAGTAGCTACATGTGTAGTAGCTACTACACGTGTAGTAGCTACTACACGTGTAGTAGCTGCATGTGTAGTAGCTGCATGTGTAGTAGCTACATGTGTAGTAGCTGCAAGTGTAGTAGCTGCATGTGTAGTAGCTACATGTGTAGTAGCTACGGGTCCTGCACTTTCAAGGGCCCCGCGCTAAATGCTTTCAAGCTATAAATTCCGGTTGAGTGATTCTGCACTTGCTCTAATATTGTAGTACTATACCACCATCAACTTTTACGAACGACTGGGTGTTTAGGGTTTGCGATTTGTCGTATTATTTGGCTGTATAGCAAACGAAATAATACAATTACTTTACTATGCAACTTAAAAATGTGTGTTTTATATTGATGTGTTTTTTTTAGGGTCCCTTTAGAACATCATGCTACAGGTCCCGCACTAGCTTAATCCGGCGCTGCGTGCACCCCAGGCTAAGAACCACTGATCTACGCTGTGCACGCGATAAGCCACTTCGTTGGGCTATCATTCGTGACGGCCAGCTCGCTCAGTGGGCCTTACCTGGTAAAGTAAAAATAGTCATTCGTTTATACAACCGACGGTTCGTTGTTCTGTGTGGTGACCACAGTTTCTTCACACAAATGTGCATCATCATCATCATCACGTATAACACGTAGGCTTTCGCGACCAACATTATTCATAATAAAGTTTTTTGGGTTAGATCGCGTTATTTATAAATGTGTCGCAACCCTCCACCACCCGACACGGCCAATCAGTAGAAAAAGTGTCACGTTGACAAAAGCCAAATAGTTCACTACTTTAGCCCACCGGTGTGTTGAAGAGTGAATCCACAACATTTAATAATTTTGAGTAACCCAAAAACCTTTATTATCAATCATCATCACGATCAGGGATCCACTGCTGCTGCTGCCATGATTGGCGTGCAGTGGATGCGGCTCAAAGGGGTTGTGATCCACGAGCCTGAGGGCGGGAGATCGAAACCAAGGGGATCGTCCGCATGATCGGGTCAATCGCGGCGGATTGACTTGTGGCTGGTGCGTGATGGGACCCCCTCCCCCCTGGACGATGCGTCTGGTGGTGTCTCGCAGGAGCACGAGGAGTCCCTCGATTTTCATGGTTGGGCACCTGAGGGGCAGACGCTGTTGGTGGCGAGAATCGGCCAGGCCGCCGGGACGGAGCGACAGGTCTGGCTTTACCTGCGCACACCTGAGCACGGGCACCTGCAGGTGAGAGCGTGGCGAGCGTACTCACTCCACTCTGGCATTCAATCCGCTCCGGTATCACACCGCTCCAGTTTTAAATCAGGGCAAACAGCCATTATGCTCCAGTATTCACTCTGCCCCAGTATTCACACTGCTCTCGTATTCACTCTGCTCCAGTATTCACACCGCTTCAGTATTCACTCTGCCCCAGTATCCACTCTGCTCCGGCTTGCTCACTGCTCCAGTATTTAGTCCACTAAAATTCACTCCTCTCCAGTATTCACTCCACTCCAGTGTCGCTGTGTGCCGTTCCATCCGTCAGAAGTGCTGGCTCAGAGCACTTCTGATTAGCACGGTTGGCTACGGACGGTGCGAAATAAGTTCAAGCTACATACACACAGACACACCGCTCGCACACACACACACCCCGCTCGTACACACACACACACCGCTCGTACACACACACACACACCGCTCGTACACACACACACACACCGCTCGTACACACACACACACACCGCTCGTACACACACACTCCCCGCTCGTACACACACACGGACAGCATATCGCAGCATATCACACAGACCCGCACTCCCAACTTCACCGAAACCTGGCCAGGGGCCAACGTTCAAGGATGCTCAGCGATGAACCCAGTAAGGGATGGGGTGGTGTTGGTGGTGGTTGTTGTGGTGGTGATAACGGCAGTGGTGGTGATTGTGGTGGTGGTGATAACGGCAGTGGTGGTGGTGGTTGTGGTGGTGGTGGTGATACGGCAGTGGTTGTGGTGGTTGTGGTGATAACGGCAGTGGTGGTGGTTGTGGTGGTGGTGATAACGGCAGTGGTGGTGATTGTGGTGGTGGTGATAACGGCAGTGGTGGTGGTGGTTGTGGTGGTGGTGGTGATACGGCAGTGGTTGTGGTGGTTGTGGTGATAACGGCAGTGGTGGTGGTTGTGGTGGTGGTGATAACGGCGGTGGTGGTGGTTGTGGTGGTGGTAAAGGCAGTGGTGGTGGTGATAACGGCAGTGGTGGTGGTTGTGGTGGTGGTGATAACGGCGGTGGTTGTGGTGGTGGTAAAGGCAGTGGTGGTGGTGATAACGGCAGTGGTGGTGGTGGTTGTGGTGGTGGTGATAACGGCACCGCCACCCCTTGCTCACAGCTCTTGCACCAACATGCTGAGGAGGCTATATGGGGGATCTTTGTCTTGTGTGTGTGAGAGCGCGCTACGAACCCGGCGACCCGAGTTCGATTCCCGCTCACAGCCAACACCGATGACGCTGATCTGAACCGGTCCTGGGCCTCCCCTAGGTCGACTCAGCCTCAAACGAGGACTTGGTGCGGTGTATAAAACGTCGCCACTAGGGAGACAAAGGCGGCCGGGCGTGGTGCTGGCCACCCACCTCCTCGTGTGCCGTGCCGGCTTTCGTAGGTGCTCGCTAACAGCACTTGCCCCAGCAGTCTGTGAAGGCTATACAGGGGATCTTTGTCTTTGCAGCACATCGCCTACGCGGGCACGGCAGTGCGTGCCGAGGGGGGCCACGCGGGGGGCTGGAGGGCGGGGGGGCTGCGCATGGCGTGCCTCGAGCCACAGCGGCGATGGAAGATTTCGTTCAATGGGATCATGCGGTACTGTGCAGCAGCATCAGCAGCATCATCATCATCAGCAGCAGCATCATCAGCAGCAGCAGCGTCATCAGCAGCAGCAGCGTCATCATAATCAGCAGCAGCATCATCATCAGCAGCAGCAGCGTCATCATCATCAGCAGCATCATCATCATCATCAGCAGCAGTAGCATCATCATCAGCAGCAGCAGCGTCATCATCATCGACATCATCATCATCGACATCATCATCAGCAGCAGCGACATCACCATCATCAACAGCGTCATCAGCAGCAGCATCATCATCAGCAGCGTCATCATCATCAGCAGCGTCATCATCAGCATCATCGACATAATTATCAGATACTCATCTTCATTGTCATCGCAAGTGGCCACTGCAACAGTAATCATCGCTGCATCATTGTCATCAGCAGGATCTCGGTTATCATCATCCGTTGATATCATCTACAGCAGAAGCAGCAATAACTACAATCATCATATCATCAACAATATCATCATCAAAGCATTATCATTGTCATCATCATCCATCAAACGCAATCATCACCCGTAATCGATAATCATTGCCATCCTCACACAACATCCTTGTTATCAGCAGCAGCATTAATCATCGCCATCAATACCATCATGTTTTCGAGCGCGTCTGCGATGACGATAGTGTGTAAGGACTGTTCATGAAACTGTGTGTGAGACTGTGAGACTGTGTGTGTGTGAGACTGTGTATGTGCGTGAGACGATGTGTGTGTGAGACTGTGGGGAGCGATAGTGTAGCGGTTAGCGCGCTGCGCTACGAACCCGGGGTTCGATTCCCGCTCACGGCAAACACCAACAGTGAAGATTATTTGAACCGGTTCTGGGCCTCCCCTAGGTCGACTCAGCCTCAAATGAGTACCTGGTGCGGTGTGTAAAAATCACCACTAGGGAGACAAAGGCGGTCGGGCGTGGTGCTGGCCACCCACCCCCTCGTGTACCGTTGCGGCCTTCATAGGTGCTCGCTAACAGCACTTGCCCCGACAGTCTGTGAGAGGCAATACGGGTAATCTTTATCTTTGTGTGGTCGTGCAGGAAGGGGTCTGTGCAAGGGGAGCATTGCAAAGACGAGGAGAGTGAGGAGCTGAACGAGGAGCTGGAGGAGGATGAGGTGGATGAGGTGGGCGAAGAAGAGGAGGGAGTGGTCCACGTGCGCTTCACCTTCACGTGAGTGACCTACAGACGCACATTGTGTGTGTGTGTGAGGACGTGTGTGTGTGAGGACGTGTGTGTGTGAGGACGTGTGTGTGTGTGAGGACGTGTGTGTGTGAGGACGTGTGTGTGTGAGGACGTGTGTGTGTGTGAGGACGTGTGTGGTGTGAGGACGTGTGTGTGTGAGGACGTGTGTGTGTGAGGACGTGTGTGTGAGGACGTGTGTGTGTGAGGACGTGTGTGTGTGAGGACGTGTGTGTGTGAGGACGTGTGTGTGTGAGGACGTGTGTGTGTGAGGACGTGTGTGTGTGAGGACGTGTGTGTGTGTGAGGACGTGTGTGTGTGAGGACGTGTGTGTGTGAGGACGTGTGTGTGTGAGGACGTGTGTGTGTGAGGACGTGTGTGTGTGAGGACGTGTGTGTGTGAGGACGTGTGTGTGTGTGAGGACGTGTGTTTGAGGACGTGTGTGTGTGAGGACGTGTGTGTGTGAGGACGTGTGTTTGAGGACGTGTGTGTGTGAGGACGTGTGTGTTTGAGGACGTGTGTGTGTGTGAGGACGTGTGTGTGTGAGGACGTGTGTGTGTGAGGACGTGTGTGTGTGTGAGGACGTGTGTGTGTGTGAGGACGTGTGTGTGTGAGGACGTGTGTTTGAGGACGTGTGTGTGTGAGGACGTGTGTGTGTGTGAGGACGTGTGTGTGTGAGGACGTGTGTTTGAGGACGTGTGTGTGTGAGGACGTGTGTGTGTGTGAGGACGTGTGTGTGTGAGGACGTGTGTGTGTGAGGACGTGTGTGTGTGAGGACGTGTGTGTGTGGTCCATTGGCCAGTCATCTCAGTCGACCCGTGGCACCTGCTGGGTCTGTCCTGTGACCTCCTGCCAGCGGACGTTCGACACTTCACATGGGATGTTGGCTACCAACAACAAGGCAACTCCTACGACTAATTGGGAATGGGACGCAAGCGTAGGATTGATCACCCTGTCGCTGGCCGCCTTTGGGGAGGGTGTATAGTATGAAAGGCCGAAACACCCTAGGAACCAAAGGGTCACTACTGACGATGCGCTCCCCAAATTTCACCAGGCTCACTGTTCATGAACTCTTGGAGGTGCTTGCACAAAGGATAGTAACATCTCATCCTGTGTTCTTTGGAATCAACGTGCACCTAGCCTGGCACAACCGCCGTTGTGACGTCACCGCCACTTGGTGGCGACAGGCGGTTGTTGTTGCATCTGTGTGTGTGTGGGGGGAGCGGTGGTGTAGTGGTTGGCACGCTGCACTACTAACACGGCCACCCGAGTTCGATTCCTGCTCACAGTCAACGCCAGTGACGAATTATCTGAACCGATCCTGGGCCTCCCCCCCTGGTCGACTCGGCCTCAAATGAGTACCGGGTGCGGTGTGTAAACATCGGGGAGACAAAGGCGGGCGGGCGTGGTGCTGGCCACCCACACCCTCGTGTGCCGTGCCGGCCTTCATATGTGCTACTCGCACTTGCCCCAACAGTTTGGTAAGGCTACACGGGGGATCTTTGTCTTTGTGTGAGTAGCGGTTAGCGAAGGAGGCATCATCACGGCCGATCCTGCTGCTGACGCGGTCGCCTGGACACTCAACACGCAGTGGGGCTCGGTCCCTTACCTGTCGAGCGGCCAGGTGAAAGGCTGCGGATCAAGGCGAAAGTCACCACGAAATATTCTTATTTGAGGATAAATACTCCGACTGTGCCTCTGCCCCCCCCCCCCCCAGGTGGACCGCCTTCACCCTCCCCTTCGACTTCCCGGCCGAGTCGCCGAGCGCCGCCGCCGTGGCGGACGCAGCGGCGCGCGAGCCCTGGGGCCGCCGCGCGCCCTCGTCGCTGCTGCTCGTCCTGCGCAGGTGACGGGCGGCAGGGCCGCCACGCTGCCCAGCCAGCATCGCGCCAGCAGCAGGGGCAGAGGGGGTGGAGGAGCAAGTGGAGGAGGAGGAGGAGGGGCAGGGGGGGAGTAGAAGCAAGTGGAGGAGGAGGAGGCGCAGGGGGGGAGTAGGAGCAAGTGGAGGAGGAGGAGGCGCAGGGGGGGTGTAGGAGCAAGTGGAGGAGGAGGAGGAGGGGCAGGGGGGGAGTAGGAGCAAGTGGAGGAGGAGGAGGCGCAGGGGGGGAGTAGGAGCAAGTGGAGGAGGAGGAGGCGCAGGGGGGGAGTAGGAGCAAGTGGAGGAGGAGGAGGCGCAGGGGGGGAGTAGGAGCAAGTGGAGGAGGAGGAGGAGGGGCAGGGGGGGAGTAGGAGCAAGTGGAGGAGGAGGAGGCGCAGGGGGGGAGTAGGAGCAAGTGAATAAGAAGGAGTAGCAGGTGGAGCAGGTGGAGGAGGTGGAGGAGGAAGTGGAGGAGAAGGAGGAGCAGGTGGAGGAGAGGGAGAAGCAGGAGCAGGTAGAGTAGGAGGAGCAGGTGGAGGAGAGGGAGGAGATGGAACAGGTGTAGGAAGAGGATGAACAGGTGGAGGAGAAGAAGGAGCAGGTGGAGGAGATGGAGGAGATGGAGCAGGTGTAGGAGGAGGATGAACAGGTGGAGGAGAAGGAGGAGCAGGTGGAGCAGGTGGAGGAGAAGTAGGAGCAGGTGGAGCAGGTGGAGGAGATGGAGGTGTTTGATCCGTAAGGGAGTTTTCAGCCAATTAAATGCAAGGAATTGTAGCTACAAAAATATTTCAGAAGCGACCGGCCACAAACGAAGTGGTTTATCATCATCACGTGGAAATTTATAGCAGTAGCCAAATTCTCTAAACGCGTGGTGATGTTGATTGTAAATGTGGTGGAAAACCCGGAGAACCCGGAGAAAAATCCACGTGACCACGGGGAGAGAGACACACAAACTCTAAATATACAGCAGCAGGCGTCAAGGTCGGGTTCGAACCCACGACCTCCTACACACCAGGCGAGGTAGTCAACATCTCATGGCCACGGCGTCCTGTGCACCAGGCGAGGTAGTCAACATCTCATGGCCACGGCGTCCTGTGCACCAGGCGAGGTAGTCAACATCTCCTAGCCACCGTATCTAGGCTCATCTTTTTGTATCGAATTCTAAAACAATGGCTCTTGTTGGTAATTATCTCAACCACGTGTGTTTTTTAACGAAACGTCCTTTTTTTACAATTGTTGCAAAGTGCCTTAAATGAACGCCCTTCACACATATACACGCCTTTAGGTACTCCTCGCGGGCAGGGCCAGGGGCAGGGCCAGGGGCAGGGCCAGGGGCAGGGCCAGGGCAGGGCAGCTTCCCATCCAGCAGTGGAGCGAGCGAGCGAGCTGGTGGTTGATGCGTGTGGCGTGAGAGCAGGTGGTGGGCCGCAGGGCAGAGCGTGCACCGCGAGCAGTGGGGACAGATGCTGGGCTCGCTGGAGGTGCACGGACGAGGAGGCGGCTCGCAGCTGCTGCTCAGGGCGGTGCGCACTCGCTCGCGAGGTGCGTATGCGTGTATGGTGCGTGTTGTATGTATGTTGTGTGCATGTATGGTGTGTGTGTTGTATGTATGTTGTGTGCATGTATGATGGTGTGTGTTGTACTTCAGTGTATAGCTCCAGTGGCTTTCGAATATCAGAAGGAAGAGCGTTCCAGACGGCCACAGAAGCGCATGTTGTATGCGTGGTACGTGCATTGTGTGCGTACACATGAACTCACACGTGTGTGAGATGGTGAGTGATGGTGTGTGAGATGGTGAGTGATGGTGAGATGGTGTGAGATGGTGAGTGATGGTGAGTGATGGTGAGCGATGGTGTGTGTGTGAGATGGTGAGTGATGGTGAGTGATGGTGAGTGAGTGTTTATCCGCATGTTGTGTTGGCCACAGGACCGAGAGACTCCATCGACCACTACATCTCGTTCCTGGCACACTTCGAGGTGTGTGTGTGTGTGTCCGCTGTGTGTGTGTGTGTCCGCGGCGTGTGTGTGTGTCCGCGGCGTGTGTGTGTGTGTCCGCGGCGTGTGTGTGTGTGTGTGTCCGCTGCGTGAGTGCGTGTGGTGCTGGCCACCCACTCCCTCTTGTGTCGTGCCGGCCTTCATAGATGCTTGTTGACAGCACTTGCCCCAACAGTCTAACCGGACATCTGTGAAAAAAAGTTTCACAGCTCATCGGATTCCTCCAGCATAAGTAAATATTCTTATTCTGATTCCATCTGTTAAGGCGACACGGGTAATCATTGGATTTTTGTTGTCCTTACCCTGCACCTCCGATTAGCACGGTTGGCTACGTACGGTGCGAAAAAAGTTAGACACACATGCGCACATCGTGCGTGTGTGGTCTTGTGGAGGTTGACTCGGCCTCAAATGGGTACCTGGTGCGGGGTGTAGTAAACATCGTCACTGGGGAGACAAAGGCGGCCGGGCGTGGTGCTGGCCACCCACCCCCTCGTGTGTCGTGCTCGCCTTAATAGGTGCTCGCTAACAGCACTTGTCCCAACAGCGTGTTCGAAGCTATTCGGTGACCTTTGTCTGTTGTGTCTGTGTCACTCTGTGCACGTCAGGACGGAACTTGCATTCACGTGACCGCTCTGTGCATCCCTGACATCACCTCTTGGTGAGTGAGTGACCCTACAACCACCACCACCAGCAACAACACAACCAGCACCACCACCAGCACCACCACCAGCACCACCACCACCAGTGCCACTATCAGCAGCAGTTGCAGCGGAAACACAATCGGCCGATCTCGTCCATGAATGTAGAGACACTCCACGGCAGTGTGGTCATGGCCAGGCCACCCACAAGTGCGGACCGTGGAGTCAGCCCACCGTGGGAGTCTGCGCCCCTTCAACAGAGGAGCAGCAGCAGCGGGCCTTGACATTAGCAGCGAGCACCTGAGCATGTTGCAGCCGTCTTGTGCGAGAATACAATGATCAGACACATTCGTGACTCTCCATCAGCAGCACCACCACCACCGCCGTACAGCAATACCCCCCCCCCCCCCCCCACACACACACAAGGACAAAGACCCCCACGTGTAGCCTGAGCAGACTTGTAGGGCAAGTGCTGTTCGCAAGCAGCACCTGTGAAGGCCGGCACGGCACACGAGGGGGTGGGTGGCCAGCACCACACCCGGCCGCCTTTGTCTCTCCAGTGGTGATGTTTACACATCGCACCAGGTACTCATTTAAGGCTGAGTCAACCTCGGGGAAGCCCAGGACCAGTTCAGACAACCGTCACTCGTGTTGAGTGGCCGTGAGCAGGAATCAAACTCGGGTCGCCGGTGAAATCGTGGGGAAGCGCGCGAACTTCTGTGCCACCGCTCAACTCAACCCGCCCCCCCGCCCCCCGCGGCAGCCTCAGCGTGGGCTACGTGATGCGGCCAAACGGCATCAAGCACGGCCTGGAGTGGAGCGACATCTGCCTGGCCGACGTGGAGAAGCACGGCGAGCTCAGAGACACCTACCGGCTCACGCTACGCGCAGGTGAGTGTCCAAATACACCTACCACTCACGCTCCACGCAGATGTGAGTCTATACACACCTACCACTCACGCTACACAAAGGTGTGAGTCCAGACACACCTACCACTCACGCTACACACAGATGTGAGTCCAGACACACCTACCACTCACGCTCCACGCAGGTGTGAGTCCAGACACACCTACCACTCACGCTCCACGCAGGTGTGAGTCCAGACACACCTACCACTCACGCTCCACGCAGGTGTGAGTCCAGACACACCTACCACTCACGCTCCACGCAGGTGTGAGTCCAGACACACCTACCACTCACGCTCCACGCAGGTGTGAGTCCAGACACACCTACCACTCACGCTCCACGCAGGTGTGAGTCCAGACACACCTACCACTCACGCTACACACAGGTGTGAGTCTAGACACACCTACCACTCACACTACGCGCAGGTGTGAGTCCAGACATACCTACCACTCACACTCCACGCAGGTGTGAGTCCAGACACACCTACCACTCACGCTACACACAGGTGTGAGTCCAGACACACCTACCACTCACGCTACACACAGGTGTGAGTCCAGACACACCTACCACTCACGCTACACACAGGTGTGAGTCCAGACACACCTACCACTCACGCTACACACAGGTGTGAGTCCAGACACACCTACCACTCACGCTACACACAGGTGTGAGTCCAGACACACCTACCACTCACGCTCCACACAGGTGTGAGTCCAGACACACCTACCACTCACACTCCACGCAGGTGTGAGTCCAGACACACCTACCACTCACACTCCACGCAGGTGTGAGTCCAGACACACCTACCACTCACGCTACACACAGGTGTGAGTCTAGACACACCTACCACTCATGCTACACACAGGTGTGAGTCTAGACACACCTACCACTCACGCTCCACGCAGGTGTGAGTCTAGACACACCTACCACTCACGCTACACACAGGTGTGAGTCCAGACACACCTACCACTCACGCTCCACACAGGTGTGAGTCCAGACACACCTACCACTCACACTCCACGCAGGTGTGAGTCCAGACACACCTACCACTCACGCTCCACGCAGGTGTGAGTCTAGACACACCTACCACTCACGCTACACACAGGTGTGAGTCCAGACACACCTACCACTCACACTCCACGCAGGTGTGAGTCCAGACACACCTACCACTCACGCTCCACACAGGTGTGAGTCCAGACACACCTACCACTCACACTCCACGCAGGTGTGAGTCCAGACACACCTACCACTCACGCTCCACGCAGGTGTGAGTCTAGACACACCTACCACTCACGCTACACACAGGTGTGAGTCCAGACACACCTACCACTCATGCTACACTTACTTCACCATGGGAGTCGTCCAGTTTATCATGGAAGTCCAGTTCACCATGGGAGTCCAGTTCACCATGGGAGTCCAGTTCACCATGGGAGTCCAGTTCACCATGGAAGTCCAGTTCACCATGGGAGTCCAGTTCACCATGGAAGTCCAGTTCACCATGGGAGTCCAGTTCACCATGGAAGTCCAGTTCACCATGGGAGTCCAGTTCACCATGGGAGTCCAGTTTACCATGGGAGTCCAGTTCACCATGGAAGGCTCATCAATGACTGCTGCCCTGTGACCGCTGTCTATTAAGGGACCGCCACCGTCTCGTATTCGCCACCACGGTGCAGTGCGGCTCGTGAAATTTCAAGTTGATTTTACCGAATTAGAAACCAAAAATTATTTTCTCATTTTCTTGATTGCCAACCCCCTTCTAAACAATCTGAATAACGCACGCTTCTAAACAACAACGACAGCAAACAAAGCAACGCCAACAAACGGGTGCGTGGCAGCACCAATGAGCGTGTCCCCGTGTCCCAGGCGGGCGCACGCACCGCCTGCTCGCCCAGCCCGCCCGCGAGGCGCGGGGCGCGAGCCGCAGCCGCCTGCAGCCGGGGGCGGAGCAGCCGGGGACGGAGATCGACCACGACGACTGCGCCTCCTCCCGCTACCTCCTGGACAACGACGTCCGCGGATGGGGAACCGTGCGGCTGAGCCGACGCAGGTAACAGAGCTGTGTCAGCAGCAGCAGCACGACGAGAAGTAGCAGTGGCAGCAGTCGGAGTAGCGACGTAACGAGAATGAGTGTGCACTGTCGCAGCAGTAGCTAGCAGCAGGACTAGAAGAAGCAGTGGCAGCTGTATTAGCAGCAGCAGCACTATAAGTATCAGTGGCAGCTGTATTAGTGGTAGCAGTCGGAGTAGCGACGTAACGAGAATGAGTGTGCACTGTAGCAGCAGTAGCAGCAGCAGCACGAGAAGTAGGAGTTGCAGCGGCAGAAGAAATTTCATGAGCAGTGTCAGCTGTATTAGCAGCAGCAGCAGCATGACTATAATTATATTGTCGGTGTTTTACTCGTGCGTGTTCGGAGCCCTGCTAAAAACGTCACGATAACATCACGACAGTGATGACGATGGTGACGATGGTGCTGACGACAATGATGACTATGGTGCTGACAATGATGATGATGATGTTGATGATGTTGATGATAATGGCGGTGATGTTGACGATGATGACGGTGACAATGATATTGATGATGAAGATGACGATAACGATGATTACGGTGCTGACGCCGATGATGATTTTGACGATGATGACGAGGATGATTACGGTGATGATGATCGTGACAATGATGATGATGTTGACAACGATGATGATGACGACGGCGACGACGCAGGCAAGAAGGGCACGGCGCGAGCGGAGGAGGAGGAGGAGCTCGCAGGCCTCCGGCGGTGGTCCTCGAGCGTCGTCCCGTGGAGCTGGGGCCCGCGGCCGAGTCTGGGAAGCCTCTTGTGCCTCTGGAGAATCTGGTGCCTGGGGAGTCTCTGGTGCCTGGGGAGCCTCTGGAGAATCTGGAGTCTCTCGTGTTGTCGCTGCACGACGCTCGCTGCCGCGTGGCGCGCGCCGTAGGCGGCAAAGCCGCGCAGCTCGCCACGCTCAGCGCGGCGGGGCAGGGCAGCGCGCCGGTGCCGGTGAGTGACGGCCTGGCTGTCTGTGGCTGTGTGTGTGTCTCTGTGTGTGTGTGTCTCTGTGTGTGTGTGTCTCTGTGTGTGTGTCTGTGTGTGTGTGTCTCTGTGTGTGTGTCTGTGTGTATCTGTCTGTGTGTGTCTGTGTGTGTGTGTGTGTCTGTGTGTGTCTGTGTCTGTGTGTGTATGTGTGTGTATGTGTGTGTGTATGTGTGTCTGTGTGTGTGTCTCTGTGTGTGTGTCTGTGTGTGTGTCTGTGTGTGTGTCTCTGTGTGTGTGTCTGTCTGTGTGTGTGTCTGTGTGTGTGTCTGTGTGTGTGTCTGTGTGTGTGTGTCTCTGTGTGTGTGTCTCTGTGTGTGTGTCTGTGTGTCTTTGTCTGTGTGTGTGTCTGTGTGTGTCTGTGTGTGTATGTGTCTGTGTGTGTCTCTGTGTGTGTATGTATGTTTGTGTGTGTGTGTCTGTGTGTCTATCTGTGTATATCTGTCTGTGTGTGTCTGTGTGTGTGTATCTGTCTGTGTGTGTCTGTGTGCGTGCGTTGGATTTATTTTGCACCGTACGTAGTCAACGGTGCTAATCGCAGGTGCGGGGGGGGGGCGCGCTTTCGGTTGAGCTTTCACGGCCGTCTGGAACGCTCTTCCTTGCGATATTTGGAAGCCACTGGAACTGTGCACTTTTAAATCATCATCAAGATTGACAAACTTCTTCAGAAGCGCTCTCTATGTTTAGCGCTGTTGTCCTTCCCCCTGCACCTCCGATGGGCGTGGTTGGCTACGTACGGTGCGAAAGAAGTGCAACATACACACACGTGCGTTCACACGCGGGTGGGTGCCGTGCGCTGCGCAGTACACGGTCCCTCGCGGGGTCTGCGTCACCGTCGCCGCATTCGACCTCCACGTGTCCGCCGAGCCGACGCTCGCCCTCTCCGTGCGGCAACTCTCCGACCTGGCCTGGTGAGTCGCTCCTCCCGGACTCTCCGGGCCCCCCTCGCCTCCTCCACCACCCCCCCCTCCCACCTCTGACGCACGCAGCCACTCCGTTCGAGACGCTACGACGCGTCAGCTGTGCTGGCTGTGTGTGTCCATCCCGTGAGCGCAAGGGGTGACCCCCCCCCCATCAGCCAACGATTCGTCACGTCTCTCCCAAACTCTCCTCTACCCTCTCTCACACTCTCCCCAACGCTCTCACGTTCTCCCCAACGCTGTCTCCCCTCTTGTTTCTCCCGCTCTTCCCCACTCTCTCCTCAATTCACTCACTCTCACAACTTCTGCCGTACTCTCTCACACTCTACTCTCTCGCCTCTCTCACCTCTCTCACCTGCTCTCACCTCTCTCACACTCTACTCTCTCACCTGCTCTCCGCTCTCCCCTGCTTTCCCCTACGCTCCCAAACGATCCCCATACTCTCTGACACTCCCCCTCTCCCCCCTCCCCCCCTCCCCCCTCCCCCCTCTCCCCGTGCACGCAGCGGCAGAGTGACGGGAGACCTGCAGGACTCCTGCTCCAGGTGGGTGATGGTTGCTGAGCACACACAATGACAAAGGTCCCCCGTGTAACCTCCACGTGCTGTTGGGCCAAGCGCTCTCGGCAAGCACCGATTCAGGCCGGCACGGCGCGCGAGAGGGCGGTGTGGCCAGAGCCACTGCCGGCTGCCACTCCTCTCTCGGTGGGGAGGATTGATGTCCTCAACTGGCGATCCTCCAAAGATGCAGAGATTCAGAGGTAATACCGAACAAAGCTCAACCATGACTGCATTCATCCCCTGCTGGTGCTGATCGGCTCACAGTGAGGACATCACCTCCACTCCTCTACTTAAGAGCGGAGACTGGGAGACTTCCTCAGAATGATGGCTAATCGCCTGATGGGGATGGTTGTTGTTGTTGTAATCACCAGCGAAACTTCACGGCTACTCGAATTGTAAATGTTGTAGTGGCTTTCACTCTACAACACAACCGGTTAGTGCTGAACTAGTAACTAATTGCCACGTTTTGTTAACGTGGCAAACCTTACCAATTGGCTTATTCCTTCAGAACCCCGCACCTCCGATTAGCACGGTGGGCTACGCACGGTGCAAAAACAAGTTCAACACACAAGTACATACATGACAGCTATCGACTGTCTGCAGGAGTCTCATAGCAGCGAAGAATCCCCCAACGTAACCCAGGTCGCCCCTTGCAAAACGAACAATGCCGTTCCCTCCGTCTCACTGGGTCAATGTCACATCTCCTGGTTAAACGTCGGCTGCACGCACGCCACAACAAGGGAAGTATTAACCGGGGCGGGCGCTGGGTTCGAACCACCAACCCCTGCAAAGGGCCCCACCGCGAGCCGCCCACTCGTAACGCGAGACCGGCCGCCCCGTGCCCGGCTAGGTGCACACAGCTGTTCTCCGCGGCTCCCGTGGCGGGGGCGGTGGCGGGCGCCCTGCGCGAGGCCCTGTCACGAAACGGCCTGCTGGAGGCCGGGGCCCGCCTGGCGGTTCGCTCCAGCGCCGCCGGGGAGGACACGGAGGAGATGTCGGCGGCGGGGCAACTCTCCACTCTGCTGGGGGTCTCCGGGTGGGAGCAGGTCAGGGCCCGGCCACCGTGCGGGAGAGAGTGGGGAGTGGGGAGTGGGGAGTGGGGAGTGGAGAGTGGGGAGTGTGGGGAGTGGGGACTGGAGAGTGGGGAGTGTGGGGAGTGGAGAGTGGAGAGTGGGGAGAGAGAGTGGAGAGAGTGGGGAGTGGGGAGAGTGGGGAGTGGAGAGTGGGGAGTGGAGAGTGGGGAGTGTGGGGAGTGGGAAGAGAGAGTGGGAGTTGAGAGAGAGTGGGGAGGGGAGAGAGTGGGGAGAGAGAGAGTGGGGAGTGGAGAGAGTGGGGAGAGAGAGAGAGTGGGGAGTGGAGGGAGAGAGTGGGGAGTGGAGAGAGTGGGGAGTGGAGGGGGTGCTGCTGGTGGTGCTGCTGCTGGTGTTGTTGCTGTTCCTGATGGTGGTGGTGGTGGTGTGTGCGCTCCCCCAGGTGTGCGTGGCGGTGCGCGCCTGCTGGGCCTCTCTCTACGCGTTCCCCGCCGTGGAGTACCGCCGCCAGCGCGGACAGCCCATCGCCTCCCACATGGGCGTCGTCGTGCAGCTCATGGTGCCGGCACAGGCGGCAGGTGAACGGCGAGGCCACCGTGGCGCGCACAAAGACAAAGCCCCCCCGTATAGCCTGCTCACGATGTTGGGGCAAGTGCTGTTAGCGAGTACAACCGATCTTGTCAAGGACCATGACCCACCATCGCAGCAGCAGCAGCGGCTTCTGGCTGGCATCGCGCTGCGATTTCAGATGCTCTTCCGCGGCCGTCTGGAACGCTCTTCCGATATTAGGGAGCCACCGGAGCTGTGCACTTTTGTCAATCGTTTCGGTTGACAAACTCATTTGTTTGGAACTGCGTGTTGTGTGTTAGTTTCCTGTGCTTCTCTAGCACCTCCGATTAGCACGGTTGGCTACGTACGGTGCGAAAGAAGTTCAACATATGTCCAAGCCTGGCATGTGGCGTACGTGCAGGCATGTATGCGTACATGCGTGCGTTTATGCACACACACACGGTCATGTGTGCGGGTGTGCATCAGTTCGTTCGTGTGTGCGTGTAGGAATGCCCTTCACGTGTGTATGTGTGTAGGAGTGCTATCCACGTGTGTGTGCGTGAGTGTGTGTGTGTGAGTACCTGGTGCGATGTGTAAACATCGCCACTGGGGAGACAAAGACAGCCGAGCGTGGTTCTGGCCACCCACCCCCTGTGTGCCGTACTGGCCCTCACAGGTGCTACTCGCTAACAACACTTGCCCCAACAGTCTGTAAAGGCTACACTACGGGGTGGGGGACTTTGTCTGTGCCCCTGTGTGTGCAGGAGTGCTCTTCACGTGCGACCCGGTGAGCGGCCACCCCGGCAGGATGGTCATCAACGCCAACTACGGCCTCGGGGAGGTGCGAGCGTCACGCGCCGGGGTGGTGGTGCAGGGTGGTGGTGCAGGGTGGTGGTGTGGTGGTGCAGGGTGGTGGTGTGGTGCAGGGTGGTGGTGTGGTGGTGCAGGGTGGTGGTGCAGGGTGGTGGTGTGGTGGTGCAGGGTGGTGGTGCAGGGTGGTGGTGTGGTGGTGGTGCAGGGTGGTGGTGTGGTGGTGCAGGGTGGTGGTGCAGGGTGGTGGTGTGGTGGTGCAGGGTGGTGGTGCAGGGTGGTGGTGTGGTGCAGGGTGGTGGTGCAGGGTGGTTTGGTGCAGGGTGGTGGTGCAGAGTGGTGGTGTGGTGGTGCAGGGTGGTGGTGCAGGGTGGTGGTGCAGGGTGGTGGTGCAGGGTGGTGGTGCAGAGTGGTGGTGTGGTGGTGCAGGGTGGTGTGGTGCAGGGTGGTGGTGTGGTGGTGGTGCAGGGTGGTGGTGCAGGGTGGTGGTGTAGGGTGGTGTGGTGGTGCAGGGCAGTGTGGTGCAGCGTGGTGGTGTGGTGGTGCAGGGTGGTGGTGTGGTGGTGCAGGGTGGTGGTGTGGTGGTGCAGGGTGGTGGTGCAGGGTGGTGCAGGGTGGTGGTGTGGTGGCGCAGGGTGGCGTGGTGGTGCAGGGTGGCGTGGTGGTGGTGCAGGGTGGTGCTGTGGTGGCTCATGGCGGTGTGGTGCAGCGTGGTGGTGTGGTGGTGCAGGGTGGTGTGGTGGTGGTGCAGGGTGGTGCTGTGGTGGCTCAGGGCGGTGTGGTGCAGCGTGGTGGTGCAGGGTGGTGGTGTGGTGCAGCGTGGTGTGCAGGCAGGGCGGTCCAAATTTTTGGCCAAATTGAGAAATGACACCCGGCAAAAACGACGCAATCGAGTTAATCACTCGGCAAACCATCCCCCACTACTGGCGGACGGCAGATCTCGGGCAATCGTTCTTCTGGCGGCCTCCGTGGTTTCCTGCCCCGAACGAGCGAGCTGAACTGGAATGGCTCCATCCCCTGAGTAGCGGTTAGCGCACTGCGCTCACGGCCAACACCGGTGTTGGCCTCCGCTAGGATTCACTCAGCCTCAAACGAGAAGTGTCGCTGGGGTGGTGCGCAAACATCTCCACTAGGGAGGCAAAGGCGGCCGGGCATGGTGCTGGCCACCCATCCACTCGTGCGCTCATTGGAGACTGGTGGCAGCACGATCACGATGACGATGATCCTGATTGATGATGACGACGACGATGACGACAACGACGATAATGACGATGATGACGACGATGACGATGATGACGACGATGATGACGATGACGACGATGATGACGATGATGATGACGATGACGACGATGACGACGATGATGACGATGACGACGATGACGATGACGACGATGATGACGATGACGACGATGACGATGACGATGCAGTCGGTGGTGGGCGGATCTGCGGAGCCGGACACCATCACCCTGGCGCGCCACCCAACCGGGCCGCCCCGCGTGCTGCGCCAGCGAATCGGCAGCAAGCGCGAGCAGCTGGTGCCTACAGGTGAGCACCACCTCCACCCACCCCTGGGGGTGCTGCTCTGGAGAGAGAGAGAGAGACAGCGACTGTCGTTGTTGGCTCTGCGTCTACATCAGCCGTGCACACGAAGGAGAAGCAGCAGCAGCAGCGGGTGATGGCTTCTCCCCCCCCCCCGCGTCTCCCCCCCGTGGTGCCCTCTTCCCCCGCGTCTCCCCCCCCCCGCGTCTCCCGCGTCTCCCCCCCCCCCCCGCGTCCCCCCCCCCCGTGGTGCCCTCCCCCCCCGCGTCTCCCCCCCCCCGTGGTGCCCCAGACGGGGGGTGGAGGTGAGGGAGGTGGCGCCCGGCGACTCCAAGCGCTGCTGCCTCTCGCGTGACGTCATCGTGCAGCTCGGCTCGCTCGGCCTGCAGGTGGGCGGGGGGGGGGGATACACGGGGGATGGGGGTGATGGAGACGGGGGGGTGGGGGGTGGAGACCGGGGGATGGGGGTGATGGAGACGGGGGGGGTGGGGGGTGGAGACACGGGGGATGGGGGTGATGGAGACGGGGGGGTGGGGGGTGGAGACACGGGGGATGGGGGTGATGGAGACGGGGGGGTGGGGGGGTGGAGACACGGGGGATGGGGGTGATGGAGACGGGGGGGGGGGGGGTGGAGACACGGGGGATGGGGGGTGATGGAGACGGGGGGGGTGGGGGGTGGGGAGACGGGGGTGGGGTGGAGACACGGGGGATGGGGGGTAATGGAGACGGGGGGTGGGGGGTGATGGAGACGCGAGGATGGGGGAGGCCAATGTGGTTCGCGTCTTTAATTTGACACCAAGGGGACGTGTGCATCGGTTTGGTGATGTTGTTGGTGATTGCGATCATCTTTGGTGATTGCGATCATCTTTGGTGATTGCCATAATTATTGGTGATTGCAATCATCTTTGGTGATTGCGATCATCTTTGATTGCGATCATCTTTGGTGATTGCGATCATCTTTGATTGCGATCATCTTTGGTGATTGCGATCAGCTTTGGATGACTGCGTTCATCTTCCTGACCATTGCGCCACCTGCCCCCTGGTCCCCGCTCGACGCAGGTGGAGGAGATGTTCGGAAGCCCCCGGGACATCGAGTGGGCGCTGGTGGGGCAGCAGCTCTACCTGCTGCAGGTGAGCAAACGCAGACACGGGTGAGCGACTCCGGGACAGGTGAATGACTCTGGAACAGGTGAGAGAATCTGGAGGAGGTGAGCGAAACTTAGGAAAGTGCATTCTACATTCTGCTTGCAAGACATTCCAGTAGATGGCCACGCAGGAAATCCCTGGATTTTATCTTCCACGAAGCTCATGGTCCACCTCAAACCGCATCCAATGCACAAACCATGGCAGTAGATGCGGATACCTGATGTTGCACAAATGGAAAATTCAAAAATCTCTCCCCAACGCACGACTGTGGTGATCCAGAACAGACCGTGTCACGTCTAGCGACGCAATGGCCCCGTCCACAAATACGAAGGAGACATCACGGCGAGTCACTCCGCTGCTCCTGACGCGCTGATCTGGCTCGACCTCCTGCACGTGACATTGTAGATGTTGCTCTGCATCTACATCAGCAGCCGTATAGAGCAAGACGAAGGCTGAAGGAGGGAGTCTCGAGACATCCGTGCGGCGATCCACCAACCCTCGCGGCTGCCTCCACACAGGGACAGATTTTACGGTCGGCCAACAAATGCGGCGTGGCTGGCACCGACCTGGTGGCCTTAACTCTGACCCCGGTGGCATGAACCCTGACCCCGGTGGCACGAACCCTGACCTCATTGGCACGAACTCTGACTCCGGTGGCACGAACCCTGACCCGGGTGGCACGAACCCTGACCCGGGTGGCATGAACCCAAACCCCAGCGGCACGTACCCTGACCCCGGCGGCACGTACCCTGACCCCATTGGCACGAACCCTGACCTCATTGGCACAAACTCTGACCCTGGTGGCACGAACCCTGACCCGGGTGGTACGAACCCTGACCAGGGTGGCACGAACCCTGACCCGGGTGGCATGAACCCTGACCCCGGCGGCACGTACCTTGACCCCGGCGGCATGTACCCTGACCCCATTGGCACGAACCCTGACCCCGGTGGCACGTACCCTGACCCCATTGACACGATCCCTGACCCCGGTGGCACGAACTCTGACCCCGGTGGCACGAACTCTGACCCCGGTGGCACGAACTCTGACCCCGGCATCATCAGGAGGGTGTGCTGCAGGCTTTGCATGAACAGCCCTCGCAGGCCACGAGCGAGCGAGGGGGGGCCAAGGGCCGCATGATAGACAAACGCATCCATCGTGCGGTCATCGGTGTAATAGGTGTGTCTAGTTGGTGTGTGAACAGTCTTAACACCTCCTGTTTTAATGCCAGAAAGGGTATGAAGCCTATTCTTATTTTTACATAATTTGTATACTGGCACAAAGGTCCCATAGATTTAACGCGTTCAACGTTCAGTCAACCTTTGGTGATCATTCACTGTCTCTACTTGTAAGGATGGATGTTGATTTTCTTTGGTACCTTACATAGCCAACCGTGCTAATCGGAGGTGCAATTCGTACGGTTGGCTACTTATCTATCCCCACCCACCCCCCTCAAGGTGCCACTCCACCAGGGCTCCTCGTTGCAAGGCCCGCAGGCCCCTGGCGGCCCCTGGCGGCCATTAGTGCGGCCCCCGACAATACACACCACGTGACAACACCACCCCTCCCCCCCATCATCATCGCCATCATCGTGCTGCTGTCAACCCCTATGGTTTCTAACATGGGGTGCCTCTCACACTGATGATGACTTATCGGCGAAAGTGGCAAATCTCTGCATTACACGGATTCCCACTCACCCCCCCTCTGCCCTCACCCCCACCCGGGCCCCCTCCCCCACCCCGCCAGGCGAGGCCCGTGACCACGCTGGACATTGAGACGGAGGCCGAGGTGCTGCACGAGTTCGACACGGCGATCGCCAGCGACCGGGAGGTCCTCACGACGGCCAACATCGGGTTTGTGCCCAGCGGGGGGACAGGGTCATAAGGGGTCGCGTGGGGGGTCGCGGGAGGTCGTGGGGGTCGTGAGGATCGTGGAGGTCGTGGGGGTCGTGGGGGGCCGTGGAGCAGCGGGTCGGGGCCAGGCGTTAAGGCGCCCCCCCCCTCCCCCCCTCTCTGTGAGCAGGGAGATGATGCCCGGAGCTGTGACGCCGCTGACGCTGAGCGTGTTCATCCGAGCCATCGAGTTCTCTCTGCAGGTGCGAACCACCTCCACCCAGGCCCCTTGCTCCCTCCCTCACCACTCCCCCACTACCTCACCACTCCCCCACTACCTCACCACAACCCCCCACTACCTCACCACTCCCCCACTACCTCAACACTCCCCCACTACCTCACCACTCACCCACTACCTCACCACACCCCCACTACCTCACCACTCCCCCACTACCTCACCCCCCCCCCCCCACTCCCAGCGGATCCCTCCTCTTGGAGTTGGCAGCACTGACTTGCACAGTGACCTTTCCCTTGCACGGTGACCCCTATCTTGCACGGTGACCACTACCTTGCATGGTGACCCCTGCCTTGCATGGTGACCCCTACCTTCCACAATGACCCCTGACTTGCACGGTGACCCCTGCCTTCCATGGTGACCCCTGCCTTCCACGGTGACCCCTGCCTTCCACGGTGACCCCTACCTTGCACGGTGACCCCTACCTTGCATGGTGACCCCTGCCTTCCACGGTGACCCCTGCCTTCCACAATGACCCCTGACTTGTACGGTGACCCCTGACTTGCATGGTGACCCCTGACTTCCACGGTGACCCCTGACTTGTACGGTGACCCCTGCCTTGCACGGTGACCCCTACCTTCCACGGTGACCTCTGCCATCTCTCCTCCGTAGGAGTTCGTGGTGGCCGCCGGCCTGTGGCCGCGACTGATCCCCTGCGCACACAAACTCATGGGCACCACCTGTGCCCACAACTTCATCAACCTCACGGTAAGACCCCTGGGGAGGGGGAGGGGCGGCGGAAGGGGTGACGGGGGAGGGGTGACGGGGAAAGGGGGAGGGGGGACGGGGGGTGAACGGGCAAGCTGTGGCTGTCAGTGCGAGTGTGTGAGTGTGTGTCAGTGTGTGTGTCAGTGTGTGTGTGTGTGTGTCAGTGTGTGTGTGTCTGTGTGTGTGTCTGTGTGTGTGTCAGTGTGTATGTCAGTGTGTGTGTGACGTATGGGGGAGCGATAGTGTAGCGGTTAGCGCGCTGCGCTATGAACCCGGCGATATGGGTTCGATTCCTGCGCACTGCCAACATCAGTGACAATTATCTGAACCGGTCCCTGGCCTCCCCTAGGTCGACTCAGCCTAAAATGAGTACCTAGTGCGATGTGTAAACATCGCCGCTAGGGAAACAAAGGCGGCCGGGCGTGGTGTTGGCCACCCACCCCATCGTGTGCCGTGCCGGCCTTCATAGGTGCTCGCTAACAGCACTTGCCCCTACAGTCTGTTAAGGCTATAGGGGGATCTTTGTCTTTGTCTTTGTTGTACGTATGATGATGATGGTGCCTGTGTGTGTACAATGATGATCGTGGTGTAGTTTGCTGTGCTAATGCCGCGTCTGTCTGTGTGTCCGTGTGAATGTGTACATATTCACAGAATCTCGGGGTGTCAACGGAACACCATAACATTTGCATGCAGAAGGCTTCAATGGATCTCTCATTGCTTGGAAGGGTAAAACACACACACACTCACACCGCACTTTTACGCACTACAAAGACAAAGATCCCCCGTATAGCCTTAGCAGACTGTTGGGGCAACAGTGCGGTTAGCGAGTACATGTGAAGCCTGGCACGGCACACGAGAGGCTGGGTGGCCAACACTCCGCTCGGCCGCCTTTGTCTCCCCAGTGGCAATGATTATACACCGCACCAGGTACTCATTTGAGGCTGAGTCGACCTAGGGGAGGCCCGGGACGGATTCAAATAATCGTCACCGGTGTTGGTGGCCGTGAGCGGGAATCGAACTCGGGTCACCGGGTTCATAGCGCAGCACGCCAACCGCTGCACCACCGCTCCCCCTCCACGTACACACACGCACGCACTCATGCACGTGGAGATAGACGCACACTGACGATTCCTCGCCGGCGATTTGTATTTGCCATCGGCCGTAACGAGAACTGATTCCACACGCGATCCACAACATCCGCCCGTGGACCGCGATCCACGCATCGGCCACCGCGGTGCCGCGCCGTATCCGCGAAGACGACCACGACGATTTGTCATTGTCCCCCCCCTCCGCCTCCCCCGCCCCCCCCCCCCCCCCCCCCCAGGTGAGCGACGAGGTCACCATGGACGACCTGCTGCGTTACCACGGCCGCTCTCCGCTCTGGAAGAGGATCGTCAACGGCGTCCGTCTGCTACGGGTAAGGTCCCCGTAGGCAAATGTGAGGACGGGGAGACACAGTACGGCCGACTCAAATCGCTCTCGTTGGATCTTTAACGTCCGCTGTGGGTGAAGCGGACGACGCGTAGTGTTTGGATTCTCCTGCAGTGTACGTCATCCATCATCAGGTTTTCTTCCGATTCCGTTCCCATGACGTACGTGCAAGTACGTCATGGGAACGGGTTCGGAAGAAAATCCGAAATAAAATAACTTTATTGGTACCGAGGCTCCCACAAGGCCGCGCGGTTTGGTGCCGGCTACCGTCGAGTGCGCCGGTCGTGTCGACACGGCTCTCTGCAGTGAGTGACGACGTCTTTAAGGACAGCGGCGCTGCTACTTCGCCTCTACAAATAAAATTAGCGCCGAGCCGCTCACGCGTTCCAACATTGGGTGATGAATGAGACACACCACCGCCTGCGACTTGCAGATGTCTCGAAACGAAGGGAGAGGGGAACGTGGCGAGGGTCACTTTAAAATAAGCTAATAGCTCAGTGGGCGTTACCAGGTGAGATCAAATAAAAATTGCTTCGTTTTATTTGGATATTTTTTAAAGGTGATTTGTTTACCTTTCCTATAGGTTGCACTGCTTTCTTGTTTCCGTGTTGTGTTTGTCGTTGTAACGTTCTGACCCCATGCCCCCTACTGGACATCTGTGAAAAAGAGCTTTACAGCTCATCGGATTCCTCCTCTAGTCCAAGTAAAGATTCTGATTCTAATTTCACACCACCCCGATGGGGTCACGAGGACACGGTGACCACGTGACCCCATGACTGTAACCTCCTGACCTCCTGACCCCATGACTGTGTGACCTCCTGACCTCGCAACCTCCTGACCCCGTGACCCCGTGACCGTGTGACCTCATGACCTCCTGACCTCGTGACCTCATGTTCCGGCGTCACGTGGGGCGCAGTTCCTGTACGGGGCGCAAGCGCGCGTGCACCGGTGGCAGCGGCGCCTGGCGACGTTCGGCGTCCGCACCGAGGGCAGCGCTCGCGACATGTACGCGGCCATCACGCGGGCGCTGCCCCACTACTTCGAGGTGAGGACGTATGTGTGTGTGTACGTGTGTGTGCGTACCTGTGTGTGTACCTGTGTGTGTGTGTGTGTGTACGTGTGTGTACATCACGCGGGCGCTGCCCCACTACTTCGAGGTGAGGACGTGTGTGTGTGTGCGTGTGTGTGTGCGTACCTGTGTGTGTGTACGTGTGTGTCTGTGTACGTGTGGGTGTGTGTGTACGTGTGTGTGTGTGTACCTGTGTGTGTGTGTACATCACGCGGGCGCTGCCCCACTACTTCGAGGTGAGGACGTGTGTGTGTGTGTACGTGTGTGTGTGCGTACGTGTGTGTGTACCTATGTGTGTGGGTGTGTGTACATGTGTGTGTACATCACGCGGGCGCTGCCACACTACTTCGAGGTGAGGACGTGTGTGTGTGTACGTGTGTGCGTACGTGTGTGTGTGTGTACGTGTGTGTGTATGTGTGTGTGTACATGTGTGTGTACCTGTGTGTGCGTACCTGTGTGTGCGTACCTGTGTGTGTGTGTGTACGTGTGTACCTGTGTATGTGTGTACGTGCGTACCTGTGTGTGCGTACCTGTGTGTGTGTACGTGTGTGTCTGTGTACGTGTGTGTACGTGTGTGTGTACGTGTGTGTGTGTATGTGTGTGTGTGTGTACGTGTGTGTGTGTGTACGTGTGTGTGTGTGTACGTGTGGGTGTGTGTGGGTGTGTACGTGTGTGTGTGTGTGGGTGTGTGTGTGTACGTGTGTGTGTGGGTACGTGTGTGCGTGTGTGTGTGGGTGTGTGTGTGTCTACGTGTGTGTACGTGTCTGTGCGTGTGTGTACGTGTGTGTGTGCGTGTGTGTACGTGTGTGTACGTGTGTGTGTGGGTGTGTGTACCTATGTGTGTGGGTGGGTTGATGTGGGTGAGTGTACGTGTGTGTGTGGGTGTGTGTATGTGGGTGTGTATGTGTGTGACTGTGTGTGTGTGGGGAGCGGTTGTGTAGCGGTTAGCGCTACGCTGCGCTACGAACCTGGCCACCCGGGTTCGATTCCCGCTCGCGGCCAACACTGGTGGCGATTATCTGAACCGGTCCTGGGCCTCCCCTAGGTCGACTCAGCCTCAAATGGGTACCTGGTGCAGTGTGTAAATATGGCCACGGGGGAGACAAAGGCGGTCAGGCGTGGTGCTGGCCACCCACCCCATTGTGTACCGTTCCGGCCTTCATAGGTGCTCGCTAACAGCACTTGCCCCTACAGTCCGGTAAAGCTGCAGGCGATCTTTGTCATTGTGCGTGTGTGCAGTGCTTAGTGCGCTGCACGACGAACCGAGCTCTCCGAGTTCGATTCCTGCTCACGGCCAAAACCAGTGACAATTATCTGAACCGGCCCTGGGCCTCCCCGAGGTCTCAAATGAGAACCTGGTGCGGTGTAAAACACCGAGCTCACACAAGGGGGGATCTTTGTCTGTCTGCGTGTGTCTGTGTGTGCGTGCACACTCGTCTCTGTGTGCGAGTGACTGCAGTCGTGGTCAACCACCATCACGGCAAGCTCCTGCTCGGGCTCATGGAGCATCATCCTCATGTCCATCCTTGCTCAGGGAAAACCAAGTACGCTGCATACAGTCCACCATTCACACAGTCCACCACTCAGTCCACCACTCGCACAGTCCACCACTCAGTCCACCACTCGCACAGTCCACCACTCACTCAGTCCACCACTCACTCAGTCCACCACTCGCACAGTCCACCACTCACTCAGTCCATCACTCAATCCACCACTCAGTCCACCACTCACTCAGTCCACCACTCGCACAGTCCACCACTCACTCAGTCCACCACTCAGTCCACCACTCACTCAGTCCACCACTCAGTCCACCACTCAGTCCACCACTCACTCAGTCCACCACTCACTCAGTCCACCACTCAGTCCACCACTCAGTCCACCACTCACTCAGTCCACCACTCACTCAGTCCACCACTCACACAGTCCACCACTCACTTAGTCCAGCACTCCCTCGTGACGACTCTCTCCCGCCGCGTTGCCAGGCTGGACCAGCGAGCACTTCTCCGACGTGGCGATGCTCTTCAGCTCTTGTCCGGACGTCGTGTCGGCCGACATGCCCACCGCCATCGAGGTGACTCTCCCAGACCATGCCGCCGGCCTGGCATGGGCCTGCCTGGCCTGGCCCACTGTTACCTGAGCCTAGATCTGTAATGTTAGCAAGCAGACTTGTGCCCATCTCTCCCAGTGGAGGTAAAGGTGGATAATGGTGCAGCCCTGCAATTGCTCCCTCACTCCACCGCTGCGGGAAGGGGCCTCCGCTGGCGGGAGGTCTCGAGGGAGCCGCCCTCTCTCTCTCTGGCCTGACTTCTTCGAACGATTTCTCGATCCTCCCTTTTGCTGACCCGCACCGACCTGCGTGGTGAAGTATGGTCAAACAACCCCCGTGACCGACGAGGCATGGGGAGGTCCTCGTGCAGCAGTGGATTGACAAGGGGGGCTGTGAACTGAATGCTTCATGTGATTGTAGCTTTGAGGCGCGGTCACATTCAGGTAAAGGCGTCGCGGCATTAACCAGGGCAGCCGCTGGGCTCGAACCGCCAACGTCTGCCTGAAGCGGCAAACCCCGCTACCGCTCGGCCATGTCACCTTCATCTAACAGTGGATAGACCCTAGCTCATGGCGATGATGATGGTAGTGATGATGGTAGTGATGATGATAAGACAAATATCCCCCGTATCGCCTTCATAGACTTCGCAAGTAGTACCTGTGAAGGCCGGTAAGCCACACAAGCCGGGTCGGTGGCCAGCACCACGCCCGGCCACCTTTGTCTTCCCAGTGACGATGTTTACACACAACAACAGGTATTCATTTGAGGCTGAGTTGACCTACGGGAGGCCCAGGACCGGTTCAGATAATCGTCACCGGTATTTGCCTTGAGCGGGAATCGACCTCGGGTCGTCGGGTTTGTAGCGCAGCATGGCGCTAACCGCTGCACCGCCGCTCCCCACGACGATGACGATGTTGCACTGTGCTGCCCTGCCTCTCCGTGCAGGCTATGAGTGCGGCTATCCGACAGCAGGGCCAGGAACAGGAGTTTGGGGCTCTGGACGTCAAGGTGAGGACCGCAGCCCCCTCTGCCACGAGGGGGGCCGCCACATTCAACAAAGCAGAAGGCCGCAAGCATTGGCAGAGAGTCCAACTGCGACCGCATTGCGAGACGCTGGACAGGAACAGTGCGGCGAATTTATTTATAAGAGAGAAAGCGGCAGTCAGTCATAGCTCTCTGTGTGAGTCTATGGGTCTCTGTGTGAGTCTATGGATCTATGTGTGAATCTATGGGTCTCTGTGTGAGTCTATGGCTCTCTGTGTGAGTCTATGGGTCTCTGTGTGAGTCTATGGCTCTCTGTGTGAGTCTATGGGTCTCTGTGTGAGTCTATGGTTCTCTGTCCTCCTACTGAGCGGAAGTTGAGTGAGGGTAGATTTGAAGCTTTCGTGACTGCAAGGATTCATACTCTTAGGTTTTTTCGGTAAAGTCACGTCGGTAAAAAAGATAAAATTATAATTAATAAAAGTAATAATAGAAATAAAATAAAAGCCTCACTTGATACAGTAAATCTAGCTGTGACGGTCCCACCTGATGACGGAGACTTGTGTTGCCTCCGAAACGTCGTGATTTATTATTTTATCTTATTTCTATTATTACTTTTTTTAATTTAATTAATTTTTTTACTTACGTGACTTTACCGAAAAAGCCTAAGAGTTGAGTGAGGACTTCAACAGAACGCTTTGGCTGCTGAAGCAGACTGCGTGGAGGGGAGTAGAGCGAGACCACAGAGAGAGAGAGACACGCAAACTCCAAATGTACAGCAGACATCATCAGGGTCGGGATCGAACCCACGGTGTCCTGTGCACCAGGCGAAGTAGTCAACATCTCATCGCCACGACGTCCTGTGCACCAGGCGAGGTAGTCAACATCTCATGGCCACGACGTCCTGTGCACCAGGCGAGGTAGTCAACATCTCATGGCCACAACGTCCTGTGCACCAGGCGAGGTAGTCAACATCTCATCGCCACGACGTCCTGTGCACCAGGCGAGGTAGTCAACATCTCATGGCCACGACGTCCTGTGCACCAGGCGAGGTAGTCAACATCTCATGGCCACAACGTCCTGTGCACCAGGCGAGGTAGTCAACATCTCATGGCCACGACGTCCTGTGCACCAGGCGAGGTAGTCAACATCTCATGGCCACAACGTCCTGTGCACCAGGCGAGGTAGTCAACATCTCATGGCCACGGCGTCCTGTGCACCAGGCGAGGTAGTCAACATCTCATCGCCACGGCGTCCTGTGCACCAGGCGAGGTAGTCAACATCTCATCGCCACGACGTCCTGTGCACCAGGCGAGGTAGTCAACATCTCATCGCCACGGCGTCCTGTGCACCAGGCGAGGTAGTCAACATCTCATCGCCACGGCGTCCTGTGCACCAGGCGAGGTAGTCAACATCTCATGGCCACGGCGTCCTGTGCACCAGGCGAGGTAGTCAACATCTCATGGCCACGGTGGCGCCTGTGTGCAGGACGCCGCGGAGTGGCTGCGCACGGAGCCGAGTGGGGACGCGGGAGCCAAGTTCCGCGCCTTTCTGGAGAAGCACGGCCACCGCTGTCTCCGGGAGGTGAGGGCGTCTCCATCGTGTCCTTTCAGGCCGAGTCAACCTAGGCGAAGCCCACGATTGATGTTGTTGTTTTCCGTGAGCAGGAACTTGGGTCGTTGGCAGATTCTCAGCGCATTAACCGCGACACTGCCACTCCATACAAAAAACAAAGATCCCCATTATGGTATTCGCAAGCTGTTGGGGCAAGTGCTGTTAGCGAGTATCGCCTATGAAGGCCGGCACTGTGGCACACGAGGGGGTGGGTGACCAGCACCACGCCCGGCCGCCTTTGTATCCCCAGTGGCGATGTTTACTACGCACCGCACCAGGCGATGTCGTTGTGTGTGTGTGTGCTCACGTGACGTCTGCGCTGACGCACTCCGGGGGGTGAGAGCATCCGTGCGCGTCATCCTGTGTCACTTAAGGCCGAGTCGACCTAGGGGAAGCCCACAATCGGTTTAGATGCCCGTCCCCCTCCCCTCCCCTCCCCCCGCGACGAAGGCCGAGTTCAGGGAGAAGTCGTGGGCCAGCGACCCCAGCACCATCGTCGCGGCGCTGCAGGCCGCGCTGCTCTGCCCCCAGGGCCTCCAGGGCCCCCAGGGCCCCCAGCGCCCCCAGGGCCTCCAGGCGACGCACAAGGGAGACGTGGGGGTCCACGAAGCCGTCGCTCGCCTTAGATCTCCCGTGTCGGCCGTGGGCAGGTTAGGCCAGTGCTGTGTCCTCACGTGTGTCCCCGTGTCCTCGTGTCCCTGTGTCTCAGTGTCCCCGTGTCTCCGTGTCTCAGTGTCTCAGTGTCCTCGTGTCCCCGCGTCTCCGTGTCTCCGTGTCTCCGTGTCCCCGTGTCCCCGTGTCCCCGTGTCTCCGTGTCCCCGTCACCTCCGTGTCTCCGTGTCTCCGTGTCCTCGTGTTTCAGTGTCCCCGTGTCCCCGTGTCCTCGTGTCTCCGTGTCTCCGTGTCCCCGTGTCCCCGTGTCCCTGTGTCCCCGTGTCTCTGTGTCTCCGTGTCCCCGTGTCTCCATGTCCCCGTGACCTCCGTGTCTCCGTGTCCCCCTGTCCCCGTGTCTCCGTACCCCTGTGTCTGTCCCCGTACCCTTATGTCCTCATGTCCCTGTAGCCCCGTGCATCCTCGCCTCCCCCGCATCCCCGTGCCTCTGCCTCAATGTCTCCCTGTCCCCTATTCCCCCGTTATCTACCCCGTGCCCCCCCCCCCCGTGCCCCCCCCCCCGTGCCCCCCCCCCACGTGCCCCCCCCCCCCCCCAGGCGGATACTGTCGTGGGTCCTGCCCCGGGCTCGCCGTGCCGTGGCGGACCGGGAGCAGGGCAAGTCTATCGCCATCAAGGTGAACGACGAGTTCAAGTCCGCATACTGGCAGCTGGCCAGGGCCATGCGACTGGAGGTGAGCGAGCGAGCGGTGAACGAGTGGAGACGCGGGGGGGGGGGGACACCGAGTTTGAGTCGCGCGCACGAAGATACACGCCCCTAGCCCCGCCCCCTGGCCCTGCTCGGCCCCCAAGTCACACGACTAAGACAAGCACCTCCACCATCGTCTTTGCAATTACACCACCACCACCATCATTATTACACCACCACCACCACCATCATTATTATTACACCACCACCACCATTATCATCATCATCATTACACCACCACCATCATCATCATTACACCACCACCACCATCATTATTATTACACCACCACCATCATCATCATTACACCACCATCATCATCATTACACCACTACCACCATCATCATCATTACACCACCACCACCATCATTATTATTACACCACCACCACCGCCATCATTATTACACCACCACCACCATCATCATTATTATTACACCACCACCACCACCATCATCATCATCATTACACCACTACCATCATCATCATTACACCACCACCACCATCATCATCATTACACCACTACCACCATCATCATCATTACACCACCACCACCATCATCATCATTACACCACCACCACCATCATTATCATTACACCACCACCACCACCATCATTACACCACCACCATCATCATTACACCACCATCATCATTACACCACCGCCATCATCATTACACCACCACCACCGCCAGCACTGCTAACAATTTTTTTACTCTGTGTATTTTACCAGGGAAGCCCCACTTAGCTTTATAGCTCTGTTTCAGAAGCGACCTGGCCACAAATCATGGCTCAAGCACGTGGCTTATCATCGCGTGGGCATTTACAGCAGCCAAATCCTCTAAGTGTGGAGGGAAAAACCGGAGAACCCGGACAAAACTCCACGCGACCACGGGGAGAGAGACACCACAACTCCAGAGTCGGGATCGAACCCACGACCTCCTGGATACCAGGCGAGGCAGTTAACATCTCATAGCCACCGCGACGCTGCGGCTTAGAAAGTAGCGGGTGGGAGTTAAAACTACCCGAACCGTGCTGGCTCTGCTCGTAATGCACCAGTGGAAAGACGGGGGGTGGTAGCACGCGTGCCCATTCTCACTCCCCCCCTCCCGCCTCGCCTCGCAGGGCTTCCTGCCGGACGACGACCTCCTCTTCTTCCTGACGCACGCGGAGATCGCCACCGTTCTCAACGAGCGGCCGCCCAACCTCGTCGTCAAGTGAGACGCCGTTTGTCGCTTCGATCACTTTTCTCTTGTTTGGTTCTTTCGGTGAAGTCACGTAGAAATAAATGTAATGTAATAATAATAGAACGCGACGTTTCGATTGCAACACAAGCAACCATCATCAGGTAGAAATGAATGAGAAAACAAACCTAGTAAACTTGGAAATATAATGCGATGCAACACAGAGAGTTGGCCAACACAACAGTCAACACCCCACCTGGTTGATTACGTTCTTACTAAAAAAAAAATCCAGAAGACCCGGAGAAAAACACCCATGCAGCCACGGGCAGAGAGACACCGCAAACTCCGAACAAACAGCAGCAGCAGGAGTCAGGGTTGGCATCGAAGCCCCCAGGACCTTCTGCACACCAGGCGAGGGAGTCAACATCTCCTAGCCAACACTCCGCTCGCTTGTCGTTGTGACTTTCTGACCCGCCCCCCTCTGATACAGACCTGTGCAAAAGAGCTTCATAGCTCATCGGATTTCTCCAGGACGAATCAACATTCCGATTCTTCTCAAGAGAATCTGATCCTGTCTTCGAGCCGCGAGAGAGCGGCGAACAGCGCCAACCACCCGGCCACTGCGGCTCTGGATGTGGTTGTCGGCTCAGCATCGCTCTGACCTCTGAGCGCCCCCCCCCCCCGCTCCCCCCCGTGTCCCCATAGAGCCCAGAGGAGGCGCAGGGCGCTCGCCCTGCAGATGTCGTTGAATTTCCCGGAGATCAGCGTCGCCAAGCCGCGTCCCGTGGCGAGCTGGGAGGGGACGGAGCGTGCTGGGGGGCAGAGCCTCACGGGTGGGGAGGGGGGCATTGTCAGCACAACCACGTGGACGCATCAATATCGTCATCGACACATCAACGTCATCGTCGTCATCACCATCAACGTCGTCATCGACACATCACCATCAACGTCGTCATCGACACATCAACGTCATCGTCGTCATCACCATTAAGACATCAACATCGTCATCGCCACGCATACATCATCATAACATCAACATCATCATCACCATCAATACATCAACATCGTCATCACCATCAACACGTCAACACATCAACATGAACACATCAAAATCAACACGTCAACACCATCACATTAATATCAACAAATCAATATCATCACCATCACATCAATATCAAAATTTCCGTCAATATCATCATCATGATCACCATCGACATCAACATCGTTATGGTCACCATCAACATCACCATTGTCATCAACATCGCCATGAATATTCCCAACAATATCACCATCACCACACCGTCACACCAACGCAGCATGATGCGTGGTGTGAGTGCTGGCTACAGTGGTGCTGTGCAGGCATCCACATAGCCTGGTATTAGCGGTGTGCTGTGTGCTGCGGTGTGCTGTGTGTGTGGTGTGTGTGTGCTGTGTGTCTGGTGTGTGCTGTGTGTGTGTGGTGTGTGTGTGGTGTGTGCTGTGTGTGGTGTGTGCTGCGGTGTGGTGCATGCTGTGGTGTTAGCGGTGTGCTGCTGTGCTGCGTTGTGCTGCAGGACTGCCAATCAGCCAGGGTACTGTGAGTGGGCCGGCTCGCGTGGTGCGCTCCCTGTCCGGAGCGAGCTCCATCCAGCGCGGGGACATCCTCATCGTCACCAGCACCGACATCGGCTGGAGTCCATACTTCCCCCTCCTAGGGGGCCTTGTCACTGAGCTGGGGGGGCTCCTCTCTCACGGTGAGTTGTGGGGGGGGGGGCGGGTTAAAAAGAGCTTCATAGCTCATCGGATTCCTCCAGTATAAATACATATTCACATTCTGAGAATATTCAGCTCCTGAGAATATTCAGAGCTATGTGGCTCTTTTTCACAAGCCACATGGCCATCACGTGTCATAGCTCAACCAAGTGGCGTCATCGTGTGGAAATGTACAGCAGCAGCCGAATTCTCTTAACACGTGGTGACGTTCATTCTAAATGTGGAGGGAAAAACCCGAGGACCCAGAAAAATCCACACGACCACGGGGAGAGAGAGACACCACAAACTCCAAATATACAGCAGCAGGCGTCTGGGTACCCACGACCTCCTGCGTACCAAGCGAGGTAGTTGACATCTCCTAGCCACCACGGCGGCCCGGAACGACCGCAAAGAAATGCCCCACAGGCGGCGGCGGCGGCGGCGGCGGCGGCGGCGTTGACTTCCCATCGCGCAAACAACGACCCCGTGGGTGCTGACGGAGCCCCGCGTCGACATGGCCACATCTCGCTCGCCGCGTGAGTGACGACCGCCTCCCCGGCCCGCCGCACTCTCTCCCTGCCAGCGGCAGGCGGCAGCAGCTGCCTGGATGGCGGCGATGCCCCCCCCTACCCCCCACCCCCCAGTTGGTTGTGCACGAATGTATGTTGAACTTCTTTCGCACCTTACGTAGCCAGACGTGCTTATAGGAGGTGCGGTGGGGGGACAACAAACTGAAGACAAAAATAAGTTAAATCTCGACTTAAAGCTTTCGTGACTGCAGGAATTCATATTCTTTGGGTCTTTCGGTAAAGTCACGTAGGTAGTAGATAGGTTCAAAGGAAATGACAAAAAAATAACAAATCACTTTTTCTTTGAACCTATCTACGACACGTGTAGTAGCTGCATGTGTAGTAGCTGCATGTGTAGCCGCTGCATGTGTGTAGCAGCTACATGTGTGTAGCAGCTACATGTGTGTAATAGCTACACGTGTGTAGTAGCTACTACATGTGTAGTAGCTACTACACACGTGTAGTAGCTGCATGTTTAGCTACTACACGTGTAGTAGCTACGGGCCCCGCACTGTCAAGCGCCCCGCGCTAAATGCTTTCAAGCTATCAACTCCGGTTCAGTGATTCTGCACTTGCTCTATTACTATAGTACTATACCCCCTTCAACTTTTACGAACGACTGGGTGTTTAAGGTTAGCGATTTGTCGTATTATCTGGCTGTATAGCAAATAAAAAAATACAATTACTTTACTATGCAAGTAAAAAAGATTGTGTTATAATGTTTAAGTGTTTTTTTTTATTAAGGGCCCCTTTATAACATCATGCTACAGGCCCCGCACTTGCTTCAGCCGGCACAGTCACCACCACCACCACCACAGTGTTGGCTCTCCTCTCAACGATGTGCGGCTTGAGCAGAGGCAGCGGCGCCTCTCTGCTGTCCAGCGCTTGCGTGAGACGACGCCACAAAGCGGCAGTCGTCTCAGCGCCGTGACCGCAGTGCATCTGCAGGCCGTCGCCTCGGATCTGACCACGATCCGTGCGTGTCGCCCGCGTGTGTGGATACGCGTGTGTGTGCGTGTGTGTGTGGGTACGCGTGTGTGTGGGTACGCGTGTGTGTGCGTGTGTGTGTGGGTACGCGTGTGTGTGGGTACGCGTGTGTGTGTGTGGGTACGCGTGTGTTCGTGCGTGTGTGTGTGGGTACGCGTGTGTTCGTGCGTGTGTGTGTGTGGGTACGCGTGTGTGCGCGTGCGTGTGTGTGTGCGTGTGTGTGCGCAGGAGCGGTGGTGGCTCGTGAGTACGGGCTGCCGTGCATTGTCAGCTGCAAGGGAGCGACGCATTTCTTCACGAGCGGTGAGCAAGGCAACCCGACTCCCCCCCCCACCACTCGCACCCCCACCCTCACACCCGGCTCCCCCCTCTCTCCCCTCTCTCCCCTCTTTCCTCTCGCTCATCCCCCCCCCCCCATCTCTCCTCCCTTCTCTCCCCGTGCAGGAGAGACGCTTCTGCTGAACGGGACCCAGGGCTTCGTGCAGAGAGTGGACGAGAAGTGACGGGCGGTGCAGACTGCGTCCGTCGGAAGCCCCCCTCAGTGGCACCCCACTTGAGAGCCCCCCCCCCGGGGGCACCCCACTTGAGAGCCCCCCCCCCCCGGGGGCACCCCACTCTGTCTCGGCACAGAATACGAGTGGGGGGGGGCAGAGATAACAAGCTGCGATGGTGGGCGCTGGAGATGATGATGGTGGTGATTCATCTTCTTGGTTCTTTCGGTAAAGTCAGGTAGAATGGAAATAATAAAATTAAATAATTCTCACGACGTTTCGGCCACAACGCATGCGTTGTGACCGAAACGTGAGAATTATGTTATTATGTTTTATTTTGTTATTTTATTATTTCCATTCTACGTGACTTTACCGAAAGAACCAAGAAGATGAATCCCTGCAGTCACGAAAGCTTTAAATCGAGATGGTGGTGATGATAATGATGAAGGTGGTGATGATGGTGATGATAATGATGATGGTGGTGATGATGGTGATGATGAAGGTGGTGATGAAGGTGATGATGAAGGTGGTGCCGGTGATCGCATTCACGGTGATTACAATGCAGAAGAGCGTTATGTTGATGATGGCGATAAAGTCGAGTTACAATCTTGATGACAATTGCATCGCTGTCGATGAGTAAATGATGATGATGATGATGGTGAAGACGATTTGTGGGCAGTGTGCAGTGCAGCGGTTAGCGGTTCGCTACAAACCCCGAGTTTGGTTCCCGCTCACGGCCAACACCAGCAACGACTACCAAAATGGATCCGTCCTGGGCCTCCCCTAGGTCGACTCAGCCTCAAATTACTACGTGGTGCGGAGTGTAACCATCTCCACTGAGGAGACAAAGTCAGCCAGGTGTGGTGCTGGCCACTCACATCCTCGTGTGCCTTGCCAGCCTTCATAGGTGCTACTCGCTAACAGCACTTGCTCCTACCGGCTGTTGAGACTCTATAGGGGATCTTTGTCTGGGTGAAGACTGTGAGATCGCAATGGCACTAGACGCAAAGATGAATATAGTACCGAAGTTATGCGTGAGTAGGTGATGTCAGTGTGTCGTTTGTAATTGACTAGATGAAGAATGTGGTTGTCCTACGTGAGTCGGTGATGGTTGTCCGACAACTCGGTATGAATCACTGATGGAGATACCGATAAAGGATATTGCCGATATATCGACGTGGTTGGGTGACCGCGTGCTTCTGTAAACACGCGGCTTGCACAGAAAGTCTCGCGCGACGATGAAGAGAGCGAGGGAGCTACCCCACAATGCAATCACTTGGAACTCTCCCCCCCCCCCCCAGACATCCGTGCTCCCAACTTCCTGCTTCTCCTTCGCTTTATAGAGATGTACAGAGAGCCATAGACTCACATAGAGACCCGTAGACTCACACAGAGACCCAGACTCACTCCGAGTTTTATAGACTCACACAGATACCCAGACTCACCTACAGTTCCATAGACTCACACAGAGACCCATAGACTCGCACAGAGACCCAGACTCACCTACAGTTCCATAGACTCACACAGAGATCCATAGACGCACCTAGAGTTTCATAGACACAGTCCCATAGACTAACCTCGAGTTTCAAAGACTGACATAGAGACCCGTAGACTCACACAGATATCCATAGGCTCGCACAGAGACCCATAGACTCGCACAGAGACCCATAGACTCACACAGAGTTTCATAGACTCATGTAGAGACGCATAGTCTCACAGAGAACCATACACTCAAACAGAGAGATGCGCTGGACGTATACATTGAAATGTTAACGGTGTAAACAATTGCAATTGATAATGATGCGTGGCCTGCAACAATGGGATATGACCTCTCTGGGCGGAGGAGAACATCTCCCCGATGGCTCATTCAATGTGGGCCAAACACTTGGATGTGTGAAGGAGTCGTTGGCTCTCGGGTCAGAGACACCGACCCCCTGGGCATCCGCACCGTTGGGGTGAGCTTGGCTTCTCAGGCCGAGCGAGTCGCTGGGGGTTTCGTCTGCGGGAGTCTCGAGTGCCAAGAAGGCCTTGACTCACCTCTCGCTGTAGAGATATTGAGGCCTTGACTCTCCTATGGCTGTCGAGATATTGAGGCATTGGCTCCTATGGCTGTAGAGATATTGAGGCATTGGCTCTCCTAACTCTGTAGAGATATTGAGGCCTTGACTCTCCTAACTCTGTAGAGATATTGAGGCCTTGGCTCGCCTCTCGCTGTAGACATATTGAGGCATTGGCTCCTATGGCTGTAGAGATATTGAGGCCTGGGCTCACCTATGGCGCTAGAGATATTGAGGCCAAATCCCCTCCACCTCTTGTGTGCGTTGCCGAGTCCACCACACCATGGCAGGCGTGCGTTTATGAGAGTATTTGGCTGCTGATGTACGTGTCCACGCGATAAGCCACTTTGTTGAGATATCGTTTGTGATAGCCAGGTCGCTGCTGAAAAAGAGTTGAATAGCTCAGTGGGATTTACCGAGTAAAATAGCAAAACATTGTTTAAATCGTAGTTTTAAATAGTTGACGTTCTTGTTGCTACAGGCTGATGCCCTCGCCAGCACAGGGTGATGCACTGCCAGCTGCAGAGTTCAACTACTGAACGAGGGGGAAGCAACGTCCACAAAACCATTGCATATTTACAGCCTGGGTCAGTGGGAGGACCGGTAGTGGTGGCGGGTTGCTTTTGTTTAGACTCGTTGGGAAGGCGACTTCGTGCTAGTGGCTGGTCAGGGTTAGAGTCGGTGGGAGGCTGGAGTTAGTACCAGTGACTGGTCAGGGTTAGAGTTGGTGGGAGGGTCTAGTTAGTACCAGTGGCTGGTCAGGGTTAGAGTCGGTGGGAGGCTGGAGTTAGTACCAGTGGCTGGTCAGGGTTAGAGTGGGTGGGAGGGTCTAGTTAGTACCAGTGGCTGGTCAGGGTTAGAGTGGGTGGGAGGGTCTAGTTAGTACCAGTGGCTGGTCAGGGTTAGAGTGGGTGGGGAGGCTGGAGTTAGTACCAGTGGCTGGTCAGGGTGAGAGTGGGTGGGGAGGCTGGAGTTAGTACCAGTGGCTGGTCAGGGTGAGAGTGGGTGGGGAGGTTGGAGTTAGTACCAGTGGCTGGTCAGGGTGAGAGTGGGTGGGAGGGTGGAGTTAGTACCAGTGGCTGGTCAGGGTTAGAGTGGGTGGGAGGCTGGAGTTAGTACCAGTGACTGGTCAGTGTTAGAGTGGGTGGGAGGCTGGAGTTAGTACCAGTGGCTGTTCAGGGTTAGAGTCGGTGGGAGACTGGAGTTAGTACCAGTGGCTGGTCAGGGTGAGAGTGGGTGGGAGGGTGGAGTTAGTACCAGTGGCTGGTCAGGGTTGGGGCATATGGGGAGCATGTGATCTGGGAGATGTCGGATATGAGGGGATGTGATGTGGGAGATAGGATGGGATGTGTGTGATGGGATGGGGGAGATGGAGATGTTTGGATGGGATAGCGGGAAACAGAATCGTGTGCCACATGCCGTGCAGACGTGGCACACGTGTCTCGTGGCACACGTGGCAGCCAGGGCCTGCTCCGGCACAAGTCCAGGCGTTCTCCATCCCAAATCCTCCCGAGACCCCCTCCGCCCCCAGCCCTGAGTCCAAAGCCAGATGGAGGCGATCGTGCTGCTGCTGGTGGTGGTGGTGAGAATATGGGGAGCGGCAGTGCAGCGGTTAGCGCCGCGCTGCGCTACGAACCCGGCAACTCGAGTTCGATTCCCGATCACGGCCAACACCGGTGACGATTACCTGAGTTGGTCCTGGGCCTCCCCTAGGTCGCCTCGGTCTCAAATGAGTACCTGGTGCGGTGTGTAAAAACATCGCTAGCACTGGGAGAAGAGAGACGTGGGCACGGCGGTTTGGGTCTCGACACGCGCCCGCACCGGCTGGTGCCTGGCGCACGCGAACATTGGCGAGCACGTGCGAGCACGTGGCGCGTGCCTCGGAGATGTTGACTACCTCGCCTGGTATGCAGGAGGTCGTGGGTTCGATCCCGTCCCTGACGCCTGCTGCTGTATATTTTGAGTTTGCGTGTCTCTCTCATCATCATCACGGTGGCTATGAGATGTTATCTACCTCACCTGATATACAGGAGGTCGTGGGTTCGATCCCGTCCCTGACGCCTGCTGCTGTATATTTGGAGTTTGCGCGTTTTCCTCGTGGTCGCGTGCGTTAAGAATATTTGGCTGCTATAAATTCCCACACCATAAGGCACTTCGTTGAGTTATCATTTGTGGGCAGGTCGCTTTTGAAAAGAGCTACGTCGCTCAGTGGGTATTAGCTGGTGAAATAAAAAAAATTGTTAATAGTAATAGTATTTCTGGCACAAATCTGCCACTCAAACCGCAATCGTATTAAGTGTGGACTTTCATAGATGCTCAGCACTTGCCCAAACAGTCTGAATGTATATACGTGTGAATGTATGTGAATGTATGCGAGCACTTGCCCCAACAGCCCGAGGTCGGCTTTATGGGGGATCTTTGCCGTGTGTGTGTGTGAGCCCGACCCAAGCACCCGCATCTCATTTCCCGTCGGATATAAAACCCCCATCACTGGCACCCCAACGTCACTGGAGCTCTCATCACCACCACCACCACAGCAACAGCAGCAACAACAACGAGCAGCCGTGCAAGGAGAAGAGCGAGGCTGTGGCTCTGTAGGCACCGAGTCGGTGACCGTGATGATGATGGTGTCGATGATGGACGTGGTGGTTGCGCATCGCGTGACGCGCTGCGGCCTCCTCCTCCTCCTCGCCGTGGCTCTGCTGGCTCTGGTGGCACCCGGCGGGGCGCAGACGATCAAGCAGAGACCCCCGCCAAAGAAGGCCACCGGGCGCCCCGCAGGTAAACGATGAGAGAGGCACCGTCAGCCGAGAGCTGATTTGTCCCAAGCTGTAGTCCAGCCGTCCCCCCACGTGTGTCGCAGTATCTTGGTGAAGCGAGGTGGGCATACGAACTACCTCGACTGGTATGCACGAGGTCGTGGGTTCCATCCCGACGGGATATGTGGAGTTTGCGTGTCTTTCTCTCTCTCTATCGACCCCGTAGTCGCGTGGATTTTTCTCGTGGTCCTCCGGTTTTTCCCTCAACATTTATAATCTACGCGCATTTAGAGCATTTGGCTGATATAAATGTCTACATGTGTGTAGTAGCTACATGTATAGTAGCTACATGTGTAGTAGCTACGGGCTCCGCACTTTCAAGAGCCCCGCGCTAGATGCTTTCAAGCTATCAATTCCGGTTCAGTGATTCTGCGCTTGCTCTATTACTATAGTACTATACCGCCTTCAACTTTTATTAACGACTGGGTGTTTAAGGTTAGCGATTTGTCGTAGTATCTGGCTATATAGCAAATAAAAAAATCAAATTACTTTACTATGCAAGTAAAAAAATGGTCTTTTAATAATTACGTTTTTCTAAATTTAGGGTCTCTTTATAACCTCATGCTACAGGCCCCGCACTAGCTGAATCCGCACTGCGTGTGGACATCAACACGCCTGTAATCCAGCACTGTGGACGCAGCAGCATATGTCGAGAGAAGGCGGCACAGCAACGCGTGGACGCTGCCTGGCCGTGTTTTCCCTTCGTCTCCGTGGAGTTTCTCCCGCATGTAAACACGCATTAATACGTAGAGGATCGCAGAGCTTGGACAATTGAAGTGTTGGTAGCGCCGGCTCCTGACCACCGCCTGGGTGCTGCTGCTTGCCTTCCCGCTCCTCGTCTGTGGTGCCTCCTCCTGGCGCCTCTGAGTCGTCCTCTCTCTCTCTGAGTCGTCCTCTCTCTGAGTCGTCCCCTCTCTCTCTGAGTCGTCCTCTCTCTGAGTCGTCCCCTCTCTCTCTGAGTCGTCCCCTCTCTCTCTGAGTCGTCCCCTCTCTCTCTGAGTCGTCCTCTCTCTGAGTCGCCCCCTCTCTCTCTGAGTCGCCCCCTCTCTCTCTGAGTCGTCCCCTCTCTCTCTCTGAGTCACCCCCCCTCTCTGAGTCACCCTCTCTCTTTCTCTGAGTCGCCCCCCCCTCTCTCTGAGTCGTCCTCTCTCTGAGTCTTCCTCTCTCTCTCTGAGTCTTCCTCTCTCTCTGAGTCGTTCACTCTCTCTCTCTCTGAGTCGCCCTCTCTCTCTCTGAGTCGTCCTCTCTCTCTGAGTCGTCCTCTCTCACTCCAAGTCGTCCCCTCCCTCGCTTCCTCTACGAGAACGAGGAGCGAGTGCTGTGTGCTGTGTGGTGGTGGCGGCGGCGCAGCGTTGCAAGTTGCCACAAATATGATGAAGCATCACTATCACCACCATCATCACCACCATCACAACCATCACCACCACCATCACCACCACCATCACCACCACCACCATCACCACCACCATCACCACCATCATCACCATCACCACCATCACCACCATCACCACCACCACCACGATCTCCATCCCCTGCAGACAGCCAGGCGGTGCTCGCGGAGAAGTTGGCGCGAGACATCGAGGACCTGCGACGCGAAGTGAACGCGCTCAAGGAGATGCAGGCCCTGCACACGAGTACGTGTGTGTGTGCGTGTGTACGTGTGTGTACGTGTGTGTGCGTGTGTGTGTGCGTTTGTGTGTGTATGTGCGTGTGTGCGTGTGTGTGTGTGCGTGTGTGTGTGCAGATGGACGCGGGCGTGGTGCTGGCCACCCACCCCCTTGTGTGCAGTGCCGGCCTTGATAGGTGCTCGTTAACAGCACTTGCCCCTACAGTCTGTTAAGGCGATACGGGGGATCTTTGTCTTTGGTGCATGGAGTGAGTGCGCTTCTGCGGCCGGCTGGAACGCTCTTCCTTCTGATATGAGGAAATCATCTAGATTAAGAATCATTCATTTAGAACTGCCTATTGTGTTCAGTCTGTTGTCCTTCCCCCGCACCTCCGATTAGCACGGCTGGATGAGTGAATAACTCTGGGATGATTCACCATGCATCTCTGGGTTAATTCACCATGCATCTCTGGGATATTTCATCATGCATCGCTATCAAACACCGCATTACACTCATCCATCATCATCTCTCGTCATCACCATCACACAATCATCATTTACCTCTCCCCCCCCGGACCCCCACACAGTGTGCCTGCGTGGTACCAAGACGCGAGACAACACGTGCCTGCTGCTCTTCGCCGCGCCTCGCCCCTTCCACGAGGCGTCCGAGGAATGCTTTGCTCGGGGAGGACAGCTTGCGCTGCCCGCGGACGCGAGGGCAGCGGAGGAGCTTGTCGCCTACGCCTCCCCTCGGCTGCCCGCGGCGACGAGCGGCGCCCCGCAGCGTCTGTGGCTCGGCGCGAGCGACCTGCGCGAGCCGGGGGGCAGCTTCGCGGACGCGACCGGAGCCCCGCTGGGATACGCGCCGTGGGCGGATCCAGCGGCTCCGCGCGGCGGCGGCGGCGGCACCGCGGCGGCTTCGTGCGTGCGGGCGGCCCTGCAGGGAGAGCGCCCTGCCTGGGACGTGGCCGCGTGCAAGATCGAGTTGCCCTTCGTGTGCCAGTTCTCCATACCGGCTTGACGGCGGGAGGGAGGGATGGGGGCATGCGGAGATGATTGGTTTGATTTGTGAGATGATTCGTTTGATTTGTGAGATGATTCGTTTGATTTGTGGGATGGTGGACGGGTGGTTGGGGAGATTGGGGCGGGTGTAGGAGAGAGTGGAAGGTGGAGGGGAAGAGGTTGGCATGGTGATGTAGGAGGAGAGAGATGCCAGTGCGGTTGGAGAGAGACGAAGGAGATGGAGGAGATTGGAGTCGAGAAGGGAGAGTGGAGGGAGAGATGTCTGTTGAACTTCCTTCGCACCGTACGTAGCCAAGCGTGCTAATCGGGGAGGGGGGATGGATGGAGGAGATGGAGTCGAGAAGGGAGAGTGGAGCAATCAGTGGGCTCGCCATCGCTTCCTTCCCTCTGCTCGGTCTCGCAGTAGCGATAGCAACTCAAGTGTGTTAATTCAGGCCATGCTCACTGAACAGATTAACAGACATCAGTAATCGTCGCGATAAATAATCACCTTTATAATAATGATCTAGTATTTCAGCAATATATTAGTAAATCATTCATGACTATCAAACATCATGGTTACACGATTCATACTCACACATCGTCATCTCTCCTTATCATCTTCATCACGCAGTCATTTATAATACAAATATATAAATCATCAGTCATATTTCATGGTCATGAAGAGACAATATGATTCTTCATCATCGTCACGTCATTATTATTGATAATCACCATCGCATCAGTCATACTTCATACTCATCGTCATGATCATCATCATCAGCACACGCCTAAGCTCGTTTAGCCCGAGCACATCGTGCTATATATTATATATAATATATATATACATAAATATATACATATATACACACACGTGCTGTGTGTGGGTCCTCTCACCACCCCACACTCACCACCCACCACTCACCACCCTACACTCTCACCACCCTGCACCCACCAGCCGACACGCTCGCTAGACACCAGGGCGAGGAGGAGGAAGCAGGCGGGGCGAGGCTGCCCCCACCCTGCCCATGTCAGGGCGAGGCTGCCCCCAGGCTGCCCATGTCAGGGCGACGCTGCCCCCACCCTGCCCATGTCAGGGCGAGGCTGCCCCCAGGCTGCCCATGTCAGGGCGACGCTGCCCCCACCCTGCCCATGTCAGGGCGAGGCTGCCCCCAGGCTGCCCATGTCAGGGCGACGCTGCCCCCACCCTGCCCATGTCAGGGCGAGGCTGCCCCCAGGCTGCCCATGTCAGGGCGAGGCTGCCCCCACCCTGCCCATGTCAGGGCGAGGCTGCCCCCAGGCTGCCCATGTCAGGGCGACGCTGCCCCCACCCTGCCCATGTCAGGGCGAGGCTGCCCCCAGGCTGCCCATGTCAGGGCGAGGCTGCCCCCACCCTGCCCATGTCAGGGCGAGGCTGCCCCCAGGCTGCCCATGTCAGGGCGAGGCTGCCCCCACCCTGCCCATGTCAGGGTGAGGCTGCCCCCACCCTGCCCATGTCAGGGCGAGGCTGCCCCCAGGCTGCCCATGTCAGGGCGACGCTGCCCCCACCCTGCCCATGTCAGGGCGAGGCTGCCCCCAGGCTGCCCATGTCAGGGCGAGGTTGCCCCCACCCTGCCCATGTCAGGGCGAGGCTGCCCCCAGGCTGCCCATGTCAGGGCGAGGCTGCCCCCACCCTGCCCATGTCAGGGCGAGGCTGCCCCCAGGCTGCCCATGTCAGGGCGAGGCTGCCCCCAGGCTGCCCCCACCCTGCCCATGTCAGGGCGAGGCTGCCCCCAGACTGCCCCCAGGCTGCCCCCACCCTGCCCATGTCAGGGCGAGGCTGCCCCCAGGCTGCCCATGTCGGTATCGGTGGCCAGGAGGGAAGAGGCACAGACACAAGGGGGGGCGGGGTGGAGCAGATCGTCCATAAACTGTCGCCCATATGATGACATCATCTTCGTCTCAACACGAGCCTCGCATCTCGTTCTCTTGTTGAGTCGACTGCGTGTAACCCCGACGAAGGCTCAACTTGCAGGCGAGTGCAGATCAGCTCTCACTTTGGGGGGGGGGGAGCAAACCTCGTGCTGTGCCCCCTCCCCCCCAAAATCCGGATTCAGGGACCCCCCCCTGCCCCCCACTTGCTATCCCCTCAAGTCCTGGCCAAACGCCGTCGCGAGCAGCCCGCGGCGATCACGACGTGATTCACCAACCCTCGCCTCCGGAGCGCCGGCTCGCTGCTGCTGCATGTTCAGTCTTCTCTTCTTCGTCATCGTGGCGAGGAAGGGTCGCTCGCTGCTTTACTCTGCTGGATTCAGAGGCATTTACGGAATAAACAGATCTGCACATGAGTCAGTGGTGTGTGATGAGAGAATGTTGTGCTGTGCCTCGAGGCCTGTGTCCGTTCTCTACTGTGGCCGGTGGCGTGACGAGCGTGGGGGGCAGGCAGGGGGGTGCCTTGCCCCCCCCCTGGTGGCCACAGCTACGAGTTGGGGGGCCCCCCTTGACAACCACCGTGATGACATTTGTTTTCAACAACGACAGTGTCAAAGGACACACACATCCTTATTTAAAACGCGGTTTTAAGTTGACTTTTTTGTTTATGAAAATGTTTTCATTGAAGCTTGGGCCACCGTGCCAGGAGACAAATAAAATATTGGGGGGGGGGGGTCCACTTGACCGATTGCCCCCCCCCCCCCCCGAGCTGATGGTGACGGTGGTCCTCTCGTGTGCACCTGGTGGCGTGATGCGTGAACATCACGTGATGCGTGAACGTCACGCCACGAAGGGAGGCAAAGGCGGTCGGGCGTGGTGTTGGCCACCCACCCTCCTCGCGTGCCGTGCCGGTCATCATGAGGTGCTACTCGCCCCCAGCAGCCTGTTCAGGCGACACGTGGGGGGGGGGGGGTCTTTGTGACGCAGTAACACGTGGGGGGGGGGTCTTTGTGACGCAGTAACACGTGGGGGGGGGGTCTTTGTGACGCAGTAACACGTGGGGGGGGGGTCTTTGTGACGCAGTAACACGTGGGGGGGGGGTCTTTGTGACGCAGTAACACGTGGTGGGGGGGGGGGGGGGTTCTTTGTGACGCAGTCCCTCGCCCGTGCAGTCTCCCGCCGGCTCCGCCAGGCGGCGCCACCGCAGCAGGTTGCGAGGGCGAGTTGGGCTCCAGGGGGCGCTGCTGTCCAACGGGTTCCCCCCATGGATGTTGGCGCTGCGTGGGGAGCGGTGGGTGTAGTGGTGAGCGCTACGCTGCGCTACGAACCTGGGGACCCGGGTTCGATTCCCGCTCACGACCACCAACACCAGTTACGATTATTTGAACCGGTCCTGGGCCTTCCCTAGGTCGACTCAGCCTCAAATGAGTACCTGGTGTGGTGTGTAGTAAACATCGCCACTGGGGAGACAAAGGCGGCCGGGCGTGGTGTTGGCCTCCCACCCCCTCGTGTGCCGTGCCGGCATTTTTAGGTGCTCGCTAACAGCACTTGCCCCTACAGTTTGTTAAGGCTACACGGGGGATCTTTGTCTTTGTATGTACGTTGCAGTCCACCCATTCGGTTGAGCCGTATTCTTGTGCAGAGATGTTTAGTTTGCAGGTCCACACGGCGCAACGCCGTTTCAATGCGGGCAACGCAATAATTGTTTATGTGTTTGTGTTTCTCCCGTGTAGGATGAGCGTTGTGTCCTATAAAGGGGCACGGGGTGACAAATCAGGGTCTGAATGAGTCTGTAACAGGGCAGGGCGCTGATAAGGGGTTGACAGCTTTGGGTGGTGGATGTATGTATGTGGTGGATGTATGGGTGGTGGATGTGTGTATGTGGTGGATGTGTGGGTGGTGGATGTGTGTATGTGGTGGATGTATCGGTAGTGGATGTGTGTATGTGGTGGATGTATGGGTGGTGGATGTATGGGTGGTGGATGTATGTATGTGGTGGATGTGTATGTGGTGGATGTGTGTATGTGGTGGATGTATGTATGTGGTGGATGTATGGGTGATGGATGTGTGTATGTGGTGGATGTATGTATGTGGTGGATGTATGGGTGGTGGATGTATGGGTAGTGGATGTGTGTATGTGGTGGATGTATGTATGTGGTGGATGTATGGGTGGTGGATGTATGGGTGGTGGATGTATGTATGTGGTGGATGTATGGGTGGTGGATGTATGTATGTGGTGGATGTATGGGTGCTGGATGAATGGGTAGTGGATGTATGTATGTGGTGGATGTATGGGTGGTGGATGTGTGTATGTGGTGTATGTATGGGTGGTGGATTTGTGGGTGGTGGATGTATGGGTAGTGGATGTATGTATGTGGTGGATGTGTGTATGTGGTGGATGTATGGGTGGTGTATGTATGTTGAACTTCTTTCGCACCGTACGTAGCCAACCGTGCCAATCGGAGGTGCATGACCAGCAGTGCCCCCCTCACTTCTGCAACTTGACGACCCGCCCCGACTGGACACCTGTGATAAAGAGCTTCACAGCTCATCGGATTCCTCCTGCAGTCTCAATCAAGATTCTGATTCTGAAGACGACCACGTGACATCTGCCTTGTGACGTTGACGAAGCGCAGTCTTGGCGAGGAATCGATCGCGAGCCGTTCACGGAGTTCAAGTTCCTGCAGCGAACAAACTTGAACAGCGTGGAAGTTAATCTAGAATTGAAGCTTTCTGTAAAGTCACGTATGTAGAAATAAAATAAAATTAAAATTAATAAATTAAATAAAAGTACATCACGACGTTCCGAACGCAACACCACGTGGACGTTGCTGGTGGTACAGCGGCGGTATACAACAAGAGGCAAACATTTTCGCTGTAATTTTTTAAAATGTATTTCCCCCCCCTCGCGTTTCGCAACCCCCGGTCAGAAAATCTTGCGGGGCGATGGCGGCGGTGCGAGTCAAAATAAGTTCCCGTGATTCAGTTCCCGTGATGTCGCAGCGGTCGGGAGATGTTGACACGAGCGGCTGAACACGAAGCTTCGCAGTCTGTGGCCATACAGCAGCAGCAGCAGCCAGGGGACCCGTGGCGATTGGCTGGCTGCGA